TCCAAGCTCTGTAGCCTGTTTCTGGACACCTCAGAGCGATGAGCGTCTGGCCAGAAATCTAGATGACCAAGATGAACCGTTTCGACATGTTTCGACCAATCGAATCGTTTCAAAGTTTCAAAATGTTTCAAATGTGAAATGCTACTCCGGAACTTGTTCAATTCGCATCCTGTGGCTGGGGCATTCAGAAATTGTAGCTGGTCCCACTGTCTAATCTTCACCAGGGAAGTCAAGTTCATCGCCATCAGGTCGCACCTAAGCGATGGCTCACTTGCGATATCTTACGATATCTTGCGGTCATGGAGAATGCGGTTTGAGGAACAAAAATGAACAAAACACGCACGATTCGTTTGAGGCTGATGCCGGACGTAGGCATGTTGTCTGGTACAGGAGTCACCCAATTGTGAAAGACCTTCTCTGATCTGATCCTCATGGCTCCACTGTCACTAGAGTCACTAGTCACTAGACTACAGCACTACAGCTCCGCTGAACGGGGTGGGCTCCTCTGTCACTGGGACGTGATCATCAGCCACTGTAAGTGTCTCATGTGGCAACCACCTCAGAAGCTCGCAACATCACCCGGATTTCACAAATCTAACATGCTAACATGCAGATTTCTATCATTATACAGCTTACAAGTAATTTACAGCATCAAAAAGTCTAGAAATATGTCCAAATCACCAAAATCTGATGTCTCACCTGGCTTCACCTGTCAGCATCACCCTACATTTGTTACATGATGTTGTATGCTTCCATTCTGAGATATTCGAGATATTCTGAGATATGTGAAAAAAAACTGTGCTTCCCCGCAGCCTTTCATAGCCTTCCTCAGGTGCAGCCGTCCATGAAGCCTTGGTGTCGCCTGCAGTCCTTCCCAAACGCCATCGATCGCCATCGCAAACCCATCATTTGCGGATTCGGGGATCGCTGATATAACTTCTATACCCATAAAAATATATAAAAATTATGATTTTGGATATTTTGGGGACTTTTGAAATTGTTTTTTCCACACATTTCCACACTGTATCCGATGTATCATAACAATATGATACGATTTGTATCGATTTGTTTCCGGACCCGGATCCAGCGGATCCATGATGGAATTGCCTCACAACCCTCTCCTGGGTGGTGAAGCCACTTCAGGAGGATGAAGTTGCCACTGGAGCCTCGTGGTTTGGAAAACACGCATGGAATGCGCACCTGTCGACACTCTCTTTAAGCATTAAACGTCAAAGTAAACTAAGTAAACTGTCCAATCTCAATATTCTCAATTTCATCTTTTTAATTCTCTCTAATTACATGGTGATGTTTCTGCCATGACTCTCTCATTGTTTTGCCGAGTTATCGGAGTGCCTGTAATAAGTGTAGGCTGCAGTCAGGGCTTCATCCACGACCATCTGAACCGTCTCAGGAAAAAAGGCGGAGCATTCTAAGTAGCCCCAACCACCAAAACCTCGGTGGCCATCCGCAGCCACAAAAAGTCACAGAACTTTATCAAAAGTGTGCACATAGTCAGTCTATATATGTGTGTGCTGTATATACATATATATATATAGTGTGTACTATATCCTGTATATATATTACGTATTTGTGTGTTTACATGTCCACCAGTCTATCTATCGCTAAGCTACTAGGAACTATGACTTTGTCTATAAGTAACCTCATCTTCGCAAACACTGAGACAGCTGCGCTTCACCAGTTCCTCTGCCTCTTCTTGAGGGACCTGCCAGAGTCATCATCTGTCATCTGTCACCTATGGCACCTATGCTGGCCACTATACCGGTCCAATGTTATCCAATGTTGTCCATAGATATCAATCAGCTGGATGTCATCTGTGGAAAGAACCGCATCTGGAGCAAACCCAGGACTGCTACTCTGATGACGCTGGGTGTGACACCGAGTTGACGTCACCAGTCACCTCCGACATTGACGAAGTCTAGCATGTCAGAACTGCAATTGGGATAAAGAAATATATATATATTATATCTATTATCTATTCATATCTACTAGACTAAGTATCTACTATATTCCCACATCCTGCGACCATTGCATTTTGTACAACTTTCTCTCTCGCCAGATTTTTAGAGAAACAGTACATCGTTGTTTCATTATTTCTCACCTCTCTTTTCTTTGTGCTTGTAAAATAAAATGTTCATCACGTTGTCACCGGCCTTGTTCCGCTCTCGAACGTCTGCCGCTAATGCAACCAGCAGCCAGGGGGCTTCAGCTTGCATCTCCCAAAGTGTTGGCCTGAAATCACTCAAGTCATGATCTGATTCCTTCATATTCCTTCACTGCAGCCAACATATCACGCAACCCATGGTTCATGTGACACAACGTGCTGAAGGTGGCAGATATTGTTCATAGTGATTCATCCCGACCGATAGACACAGCCACTGAGCATGGAACAGCCATTGCTGCCTGATGCTAGCGAAGGTCTCCGGCTGGTCTGCTCGGAAGCACAACATGTGCACCTGAATCACAGGGGGAACCATGGGGCACAAGTCCGCGCATTGCCAGCAAATGCACGACATATAGCGCCGAAACTAAGGCCGTCACGTGAGCGGCATGGATAGCGGCTTCTCTCATGGCATCAAACTTGGATCCTGGCGGCACCATGCGGAACCAAAGTCTCGCAACGTCTTGCTGGGCCTACGCCCCAACTGTCCCCAACTGTCCCCAACTCCATCGTGGAAACCCATTTTTCGCAAAAAAAATGCCACGCATGGCTTCACAAAGATTCACCCGTAGCATCTGCTCAAGGATGTGGGGACCAAACGACGGCTCCACAAAAGCTCCGCTTCCCCAACACATGTGTTGATTGTGTTGCGAGGATTGTGGGGAATCGCTGAAGCAGAATGTACCAAAAGAATCCAAAAGATATCAAGATATCTATCTATATATATATATGGATATATCTGATATCAACATATATTAACATAGGCCTGAAATCTTTGAAACTTTTGCAACTGTTTCCACTGGAGAAAATCCAATGGTAGCGTACCCGGGGCCCGCCGGGCCCGGGGCGGTTTTTCCGTCCACGTGTGGAAAACGCGGTCACCGAGGACCGGATCATCGGCGCATGGACTGCGCAGCACGGCCGTCGCACGTCGAGATGCTTCGATGCTTCGATGCTTCGCATCGTCTCGCGGAAGGAGAGGCGCTTTTCCACGTTTCCAAGTTGGTAATGGCCAGGGATGGCCAGGAGCCAGGTTTTTTTTTGTTGCCATTCCCGTTTCCTTTGAGAAAATCAAATTTAAATGGCAAGAAACGATCTGCCGTGATCTTTGATGAAGGCTCAGATTGTCTTTCACGAAGCTTTCCACATGTTTCCACCACCGTTCGGTCCCGTCCTGAAGCTTCGTCGGTAAATCGCACCCGGCAGGGCTCTCCATCAAGCTCCACCATGGCGACCTCGATGTGCCAATGCAGTCTATCACGTCGCATAGCTGCCATCTTCACATATCTTCACAAGATGAAACAACTGGCGATAACTCCAGTTATAACATGTTATAACTGTTATTATAACTGGTGAAAATGATGACAAATGCGAGTGCTTTCTCTCCAGTTCTGAGAGGTGAACCAGGTTTTGCAGACTACAGAGGGGCTTGTCAGGCATAAAGCTGAAGTCCTCCGCTTGCCATGTGTGCACGATGGGATTCACAAAACCCGAAGCCTGCCCTAAAATGGCTGGAGCTACAGGGATGGGCAGGGTTTGTCTATGTAACAATGTAACGTCTATGTAAGTCCTTCAAAATACAGGGCCAGAAAAGTGTTGACCTTGTTTGAATGTTTTGAATGCAACATGTTTTCCATTGCTTTCCCGAGTCACCGAGTCACCGAGTCCTCGGCATTTTCACCTGCTTGAGCTTGAGCGCCATAGCATTTCAGAAAGGACGAGTGCCCGATGCCAGCATCGCCCAGCATGCAAATGTGTAGGCATCGATCTCGAGGGTCAAACTGCATGGCCATATTGGCCCGCCTAGAGCGGATTCAGATTTGGTACTGGTAGGGTGACCTGATGTTACCTGTGAATACCTGTGATGGGCATTAAACAATTTTTAAATATGAGAAAGATCGCCACAATGGTCCCCTGTCCCAAGACATCCCAAAACTCACACTGCTAAAGTGTCCAATCATGTCCAATCTACATCAATCTACCCCATGAGTGACTTTCCACACCATCTCTCCGAAATTTCCTCCGAAAATTTCAAAACTGTTCTGTCGAAACTGAGTCGTTCACAGCCTGCGCTGCCACGTTCCACTCCTTCCCCTGATCCAAAATGGCGACAGTCGGAACTCAGGTCGATCCCTGGCCACCCCGGCCATGGAAGCTGAATGGCCAAGGGATAGAAAAATGTCAAGATATTCTGATATTGATATGTTATATGTGATATATGTGATATATTATATTATTTAATATATGTGTGTAAAAATGTATTTGCAATGTGTTTATGGATATTGACATATGTTGCCACGAAAGAAAAGTTGCAAACATGCTCAACAATTTAAAACTGCTTGAATCGGTGATCAGAAAGCTTCAAAACCGACTCAGGACAATTTAGATGATCTGTCAGCTGGTCAGCTTCAGCTTCAGTGCTATTGTTCCATGTTCCAACATTTTGCCTAAGACTCCGCCAAAAAGATCATAAAAGATCCAAAAGATCCAAAAGATCCTTCGAATTCCCGGTGGATTCAGTGGATTCTGCGCAAAAATCCCAAGGTGCACAGCATTGCACAGCAAGCTCTGATGATTTTGCACATTTTTGCACGTTGGATCCTTGATCCTAGCGGTCCTAGCTCCAACTCTAGGGGCCCAACTGCCACTTGGACATTTTCACCAAGCCACCAGTTGAGCTCTCACTTTAAAATTGGGTGACACATCGGACACATGGTGAGACTTGGACATCTTCAAACATGAGATCCAAATGGATCCAAATGGTCAACAAATATTGAAAGCACTGGCTGACCATCTCACAGAAATCCGGAGCTGCTGTAGCTCACAAAGTCACCATCAATCTGCTATTGTTTCGGAGTATCTCATCGAACTCTTGCATGGTCATGGTGGTAGAGTCCACACTTCCCATGCTGTTGACTGTTCCCACGGTGCCCACGGTGCCCACGGTGCCCACGGTGTCTCCTGTATCTGTTCTACCACGAGACGCCTGAGATACCGACTGACTCCGACCACTATCTGAACCATCGCTGCCTGAAGCGTCTCGTCTTGCGGCAGCAACTTTGAATGGGAGAAAGTGGGGAAGCAAAAACAGAGAGCCATAGCCGTGACTGGCTATAAGGCTATACTGAGTATAACCCAAAAAATGGAGACTCGGAGACAAATGAAACCATTGGAGACTTTCAAATCAGAGTCGCCAAAAAGAGAAAATGGAAGTCCAAGTCATAGTAATTAATAATTACATAGCAATTATTTTAGGAAAAGGCAGGACTTGTTCGAACCAGGTGCCCCAATTGCGCAGTGGATTTTCATGATGTTCAACATGTTCATCACATTTCACCAAAACAGGAACAACTTTGTCAAATTCCTGCACCATGTCATGAATCGATGAGGTTCAACGAGGGCATGCACAAGGAAACCCTTCTGCATGGCATGAGGAATCAAAACTCCGCAATGTCACAAGAGCAGTGCGTTTTGTCGAAGGAAACAGGCTTGTTGACCTGGCAGTTCTCCTAATATCTCTGAATCTCTTATAAAATCTTATGCGTCTTTTTGCAAATCTTCTAAAATCTTACAAGATCTTATAGAATCGTATGAAGATGCATTTTGAAGGCATTTCGGATCATTTCGTTTTTTTCCAGTTCCTGCTGCCCAGCAACTGTCTTGGATGATGAGACTCAGCGTCAATGGATCCTGGCCGAAGCTGCTTGAGACGAACCACGTTGCAGGAGATCGCAGTGTTTCATCATGTTCAGCGGAACCTTCCACTGTGTAAATACAGTGCATCTTCTAACATCTATGATCTGTAATCTATGATCATCTATGGTCGACTATGCCCTGCGCGTAACAGCTATCTCAGCCAGGGACAGGGGTTTCGTCGGGCTCTGGAACAGGCTCCATTGGTTTTGTCCTCCCCCGCTTGACCCAATGCAGACACCATGTTCGCCATGCTATGCCATGCTCTACAAAGGCAGTCCATGGCAGTCCTTCGTCTGGCCTTTTTTTCTTCTTCTCGCTTCTTCCTCCTGCGCTTTTGTTCTTCTTCTTTCCGCCCTGAGTTCCATGATGTTCGTCAAAGGGAGGCGTTGGAAAGCAGCGTGGGGAGCAGGTGGCAAATGCACGGAAGCTCCTCAATTCTTATCAGTGGCAATTCCATTTCATGCCATTTCATGCCATGTCATGCCATTTCATGCTATTTCATGGCATTTCATGCCATTTCATGCCAGCATCCCTTATACTTATATAAAAACCTCTTCCCTACTAGCTATGTTCAATCTGAATATATTATATCTGAATCATATGTGAATCATATGTAAATATATATCGCAGGCAGAAGAATGCGTTGAATCTCCTGTCCCTGGGCTGCACCGACTCTTCTGTGCTTCCGAGTCGACGATGCGGCGCTTGGCCTCACGGAAGGACTGGCGCTTGGTCTCACATGGTCTCACGGAGGATTGAAACGTGAACCTTTCTGGGGTCTTGTTGGGACATTTTGTGTAAGAGGACCAGGTGCAGGTGCATCATGGTGCATCATGGTGCATCATGGTGCATCATCATAATCATCGTTTATGATCTATGATATCCATGAACAAAATGATGGTTGATGATGGTTGATGATGGTTGATGATGGTTGATGATGGTTGATGATGGTTGATGATGGTTGATGATGGTTGATGATGGTTGATGATGGTTGATGATGGTTGATGATGGTTGATGATGGTTGATGATGGTTGATGATATATGATAGATATATGATAGATATATGATGGAAATGAGATGGTGATGATATAATAGCTGATTATAGCTAGCCTATATAGAGCTGCCTCTTTGTGAAATGCTTCAAGTTGAGACTGGCGTTGAGAATATCGGAAACTTAGTTCTGCGACAGCGAAGCACATCGGTCACATCGGCCTTGATCGCTTCGCTGCGGAGTGGATGTGCAGATCCTGGCGGTGGCGCTGACATCGCTTCAGAGTGCATTACATCTCGTGCATTCGTGAAATTTCGTGAAACAATGGAATTTCCATGGGAATTTCCATGTGAATTTGTGAATTTCCATGGATGGATCTTTTTGTTTATCTTTTTGTGATGGATCAATGTGTCTTCATCCATCGCTTCTTGTGGATCCATCGCAAGATCACCCACAAGGGCTGCTGGCATGTGATGTGCATCTCTCTCTCCTTCACAGGTGGCTATGGCCAGCTCCATTCTCGACACAGCGTCAGGGCTCAAGCAATGGAAAGTCCTTGAAACAACATCATACGACATCGATCTGATCTGCCAGTCTTGCAGCCTCAAATCATAGCATGTTCATCCATGCCCTATCAGTGCAAGCCTTCAAAGAAAAGTTCAAAAGATGTTAAAAGATGTTAAACGATGTTAAAAGATGTTAAAAGATGTTTAAAGATGTTAAAATATTAAAAGAGTGTCAGAAAAGAATCCCATTTTTTTATGGCCATCCTGGGCCGCTTGAAATACAACGAATTCAGAGATGGATTCAGAGATGAATTATGGCAGCATGCTATAGCTATAGCTTTAGCATCTTTAGCTGGTGATTTCGGATGATTTCGGGATCCCTTTGTGGACAAGTTTCGCGGTCTGCTCCGTGAAGTCGCTTTCCATCTTACTGGCTTTCGTGAGGAGACCAATGAAGCCTAATCCGAAGCATTTCATGCGGACAGCGTGCGGATATATGGGGCATATCAGTGGCATATAATGAGCATGTAGCGGGATATATCATATGAATTAGTGCCTTGGTGTGACAATCATATATAGTGAAGATCAACGCAGATTAATGAGGGATCTGATTTGGGTTTGTAGAGAAATGCTAGATATATTCCAATGTGTTGCAAGTTTAATGAGGTACAAATGATGGTCAAACATGAGATATCGTGGAATTCATAGATATAGAAAGCATGTTGTTTTTCCCAGCCATACCCTGCAATGAGATTAGATTGGGGCCCCATTTTCGATGAAACCTATCTGATATGATGTTTGATCGCCTTCACTTGTAGCGGTTCACAACCAACCCATCCCCCCCGGGCACCTTGGAAATTCAAAGGTTTCTTGCCCATTGCATCTTGCAACAACTCCCTAATGGCCTGGCGGAGGCCAATTTCTGTATTCAAGATTCAATCAAGATCAATTAATATCAATCAATTAATAATTAATATCAATCAAGATCAATTAATAATTAATATCAATTAATATCAATACCATGTCGCTGCATCTATCTGATTCTGATCTATCTGAGTCTGTCTACATCTACGTCTGCACATTTTCTTGGTCATTGCGTGTCATTGCTATGTTCTGCGTCTGCTACCAACTCTGGTACCAGGTTCAATGATCCATGAAATTCCATGAACACCATGAACTTTGTGCGCGTCGGATTTCCGGCCTCAGCTTTAAGCACCTTTTTCAAAAACTCCGAAAGGTCATTGGCAGAGATGGTGCCATCCTTTGAAAATCGGCAAGAGATGCCACTTCAGTCGTGGACTCATCCTTGAAAGACGTATGACAATGGCACAATGGCACTTCCACTTTCATCATCCGCATAGACTTGCTGCTCAAGCTTATTGTCTATTTAAACGTCATGAAATGTATAGACCACATAGAGTCATGTAAACCATGAATTCTGAGGTACAGGGTGGTGAACGGGTAATCGCACCAATATTATATATGGGGGTTGTCCTAAATTACTGTTCCCACAAAGGCCTCTTGGGCCGAGCTTGCGCCAACCTTGCGCGTTTCTTGCGCGACCACACTCCCGGATCACTTTCATCATTTCAGTTGTTTTTCATCATTATTCTCGTATTTGTTTTCGAATGTTAAATATTTAGTATTCACTTAGTATTTCGTACTGGGAAGTAGTTTGTGCAAGCTTTGTAGTACACAGTAGTACTGGGAAGTAGTTTGTGCCAGCTTTGTAGTGCAAAGTAGTACTGGGAAGTAGTTTGTGCAAGCTTTGTAGTGCAAAGTAGTGCTGGGAGGTAGTTTGTGCAAGCTTTGTAGTACACAGTAGTACTGGGAAGTAGTTTGTGCAAGCCATGTAGTACAAAGTAGTACTGGGAAGTAGTTTGTGCAAGCTTTGTAGTGCAAAGTAGTACTGGGAAGTAGTTTGTGCAAGCCATGTAGTACAAAGTAGTACTGGGAAGTAGTTTGTGCAAGCTTTGTAGTACACAGTAGTACTGGGAAGTGCTTTGTGCAAGCTTTGTAGTACACAGTAGTACTGGGAAGTGCTTTGTGCAAGCTTTGTAGTACACAGTAGTACTGGGAAGTGCTTTGTGCAAGCTTTGTAAACACAGTAGTACTGGGAAGTAGTACTGGGAAGTAGCTCTGTACGTGTTGAACTTCTGTGGTTTCAGAGCGGTTTCAGAGTGGTTTCAGACCCCTTCGGGGGGTCTAGCTGACCTTGATGAAAAGAACAATTTACAGACAGAAAAGACTTGAACACAACATACAAGGAAATACATTTAAAGAGCAGATAAATAGATAAATAGATAGATAGATAGAGATAAAGCAGCCAACGCGGTCCGGAAGACATGCAGCAGCAGCCCGGAGATGGTGAGCAGGAAGGTGTTTCAGAGTGGTTTCAGACCTCTTTTGGGCTTTTTTGGGTACCCCCAGCTTTGGGAGATGAAAAAAGAAAGAGAAAAGGTAGAGAAAGAGAGAGAGAGAGACAGAGAGAGGAAGAGGGAAAGAGAGAGAGAGAGAGAGAGATAGAGAGAGAGAGACAGAGAGAGGAAGATGGAAGATGGAAGATGGAGACAAACAGAAGGCGAGAGAGAGGGAGAGAGAGAGAGAGACAGAGAGAGGAAGAGGGAGAGGAGACAGAGAGAGAGCATTGTAAATGGTGAGCAGCGGGGTGTTTCAGAGTGGTTTCAGACCTCTTTTTGTCCGTAGGCTACCTCAGCTTTGGAGAAAAAACAGGAAAGAACGGGAAAAGAAAGAAGAGAAGGGAGAAAGAGACAGAGAGAAAGAAGAAGTCTTGAGACGGTGAGCAGGAAGGTGTGTCGAACTGGTTTCAGACCTCTTTTGGGGCCGGTTATGGGGCTACCTAGTTCTTAAGACATCCAAAAGAAGGGGCTCAAAACAAATTGTACTTGAAACACATGCGGTCCGGAAAGACCTGCAGCGGTCCGGAAAAGCAAGCACCCAAAACGTACTCTAATTGTAGCCATTGTGGTCCGGAAAGACCTGCATGGTCCGGAAAAGGAAGCACCCAAAAAGTATTCTAATTGTAGCCATTGTGGTCCGGAAAGACCTGCAGCGGTCCGGAAAAGCAAGCACCCAAAAAGTACTCTAATTGTAGATATCGCGGTCCGGAAAGACCTGCAGCGGTCCGGAAAAGCAAGCACCCAAAACGTACTCTAATTGTAGACATTACGGTCCGAAAGACCTGCAGCGGTCCGGAAAAGCAAGCACCCAAAAAGTACTCTAATTGTAGATATTGCGGTCCGGAAAGACGTGCAGCGGTCCTGAAAAGCAAGCGCCCAAAAAGTATTCTAATTGTAGACATTAGGACCGCTGCATGTCTTTCCGGACCACAATGGCTACAATTAGAGTACGTTTTGGGTGCTTGCTTTGTCTCTCCTCTCTTTCTCCCTTCTCTTCTTTCTTTTCCCGTTCTTTCCTGTTTTTTCTCCAAAGCTGAGGTAGCCTAAGGACAAAAAGAGGTCTGAAACCACTCTGAAACACCCGCTGCTCACCATTTACAACGCTCTCTCTCTCCTCTCCCTCTTCCTCTCTCTGTCTCTCTGTCTCTCTCTCGCCTTCTGTTTGTCTCCATCTCTGTCTCGTGCTATCCTCTTTTCCCGACCGCTGCATGTCTTTCCGGACCGTAATGTCTTAGGTGCTTGCTTTTTTTGCGGACCGCTGCACGTCTTTCCGGACCGCGATATCTACAATTAGAGTACTTTTTGGGTGCTTGCTTTTCCGGACCGCTGCAGGTCTTTCCGGACCACAATGGCTACAATTAGAATACGTTTTGGGTGCTTGCTTTTCCGGACCGCTGCAAGTCTTTCCGGACCGTAATGTCTACAATAAGAGTACGTTTTGGGTGCTTGCTTTTCCGGACCGCTGCAGGTCTTTCCGGACCACAATGGCTACAATTAGAGTATACGTTTTGGGTGCTTGCTTTTCCGGACCGCTGCAGGTCTTTCCGGACCGCAATGTCTACATTAGAGTACGTTTTGGGTTCTTGCTGTTCCGGACCGCTGCATGTCTTTCCGGACCGCAATCGCTACGATTAGAGTACGTTTTGGGTTCTTGCTTTTCCGGACCGCTGCAGGTCTTTCCGGACCACAGTGGCTACAATTAGAGTACGTTTTGGGCGCTTGCTTTTCCGGACCGCTGCATGTCTTTCCGGGCCGCAATGTCTACATTAGAGTTTTGAGTGCTTGCTTTTCCGGACCGCAATGTCTACAATTAGAGTGCGTTTTGGGTGCTCGCTTTTCCGGACCGCTGCATGCCTTTCCGGACCGCAATCGCTACGATTAGAGTACGTTTTGGGTGCTTGCTTTTCCGGACTGTTGCACGTCTTTCTGGACCGCATGTGTTTCAAGTACAATCTGTTTTGAGTCCCTTCTTTTGGATGTCTTAAGAACTAGGTAGCCCCATAACCGGCCCCAAAAGAGGTCTGAAACCAGTTCGACACATCTTCCTGCTCACCGTCTCAAGACTTCTTCTTTCTCTCTGTCTCTTTCTCCCTTCTCTTCTTTCTTTTCCCGTTTTTTCCTGTTTTTTCTCCAAAGCTGAGGTAGCCTACGGACAAAAAGAGGTCTGAAACCACTCTGAAACACCCCGCTGCTCACCATTTACAACGCTCTCTCTCTGTCTCTCCCTCTTCCTCTCTCTGTCTCTCTCTCTCTCTCTCTCGCCTTCTGTTTGTCTCCATCTTCCATCTTCCTCTCTCTCTCTCTCTATCTCTCTCTCTCTCTTCCCTCTTCCTCTCTCTGTCTCTCTCTCTCTCTCTCTCTCTCTCTTTCTCTACCTTTTCTCTTTCTTTTTTCATCTCCCAAAGCTGGGGGTACCCAAAAAACAAGCCCAAAAAAAAAAAAAAAAAAAACAAAAAACAAACACACAAGCCAAAACCCCAACAAACAAAAACCTCCCTCCCCCCCCCCCCACCCCCCCCACCCCAACACCCCACCCCCCCGCCCCACCGAACCCCCCCCCCCCCCCCACGCTCCCCACCACGCCCCCCCCATCCCCCCCACCCGCCCCACGACCCCCCCCCCCCCGGTGCTTTCTCCCCCCCTCTTCCCCCCCCTTCCTGCTCACCATCTCCGGACTGCTTCTGCATGTCTTCCGGACCGCGTTGGCTGCTTTATCTCTATCTATCTATCTATCTATCTATTTATCTATCTATCTATCTATCTATCTATCTATCTGCTCCTTTTTCTTTGGATGGCCTATTTACCACCCTGGTTATCTATGTTTATCAACTCGAGATATTAATATTTAAGATCTAAATCAGATACGGTAGTAGTAGTAGTAGTAGTATAGTAGTAGTAGTAGTAGTAGTAGTAGTAGCAGTAGTAGTAGTAGTAGTAGTACTAGTAGTAGTGGTAGTAGTAGTACTAGTACTAGTAGTAGTAGTAGTAGTGGTAGTAGTAGTAGTAGTAGTGGTAGTAGTAGTAGTAGTAGTGGTAGTAGTAGTAGTAGTAGCAGTAGTAGTAGTAGTAGTACTAGTAGTAGTAGTAGTAGTAGTACTAGTACTAGTAGTAGTAGTAGTAGTAGTAGTAGTGGTAGTAGTAGTAGTAGTAGTGGTAGTGGTAGTAGTAGTAGTAATAGTAGTAGGAATAGTAGGACTAGTAGTAGTAGTAGTGGTAGTAGTAGTAGTAGTGGTAGTGGTAGTAGTAGTAGTAGTAGGAATAGTAGGACTAGTATAGTAGTAGTAGTAGTAGTGGTAGTAGTAGTAGTAGTAGTGGTAGTGGTAGTAGTAGTAGTAATAGTAGTAGGAATAGTAGGACTAGTAGTAGTAGTAGTAGTAGTGGTAGTAGTAGTAGTAGTAGGAGTAGTAGTAGTAGTAGTAGTGGTAGTGGTAGTAGTAGTAGTAGTAATAGTAGTAGGAATAGTAGGACTAGTAGTAGTAGTAGTAGTGGTAGTGGTAGTAGTAGTAGTAGTAATAGTAGTAGGAATAGTAGGACTAGTAGTAGTAGTAGTAGTAGTAGTGGTAGTGGTAGTGGTAGTGGTAGTGGTAGTAGTCGTCGTCGTAGTAGTAGTAGTAATCAAAATGTTAATTAAAAATAGTATTTGTAATAATGATAACAATAGTACTTGCGCGTACCTTGGGCCGCCCTTGCGCGAAACTTGCGCGATGCAGGTTTTAGACCATGGGAAAAATGCGAGAATAGGTCCTTTACTAAAAACCTTTCTGGGGTTTTTGGACGGCTCCCATATATATATCATGAAAAATCACTGAAAGTTAAGACAGTCTCCAGACGTTGCAAGTTGAACACCCAGCCTGATCCCTATCTAGAATCTTGAAAGTCTTTGCCCCCAAGTCTGTCGAGAGAACCTCCTGTCGCAGGCGCCGCACACGTTGTGGCAGTTGTGGCATCCAAACTCGCTCGACTCAAATATCTCAAATTCAAATCTCTGTTCGAAAATCCCGAAGCAAATCCAACTTGCAGGAAATCCAATCACCATTGATTGCTGATGGCTCCTGGCTTCCAATGGTGATAGCGATGAAGGTGGTAAAATCCAAAGCTCCAACACCATCCACATCCGCCTTCGGGATTCGTAGGATTCGTGGGGGGAACATCTTTGGATCCGATCTGACAGGCCAAATTGCGCCTCAATGAGTAGTCGGTACAAGTCGGTTGGAACATCTTTACCTGCACTGAAAAAACATGAAAAAACGGCAGGAAGCTGCTGAGCATGCTGAGTGCTTCAAATATCTTCACAAATCAACTTCAAATCAACTCAAAATAAGTCAAATGTCAACTCAAATGGTCAATGTCTACAATTCTGATCAATTCTGACCAATGAGGATTCCGCATCCCAGTTTGGGCAGTCGATGTTCCAAGTCTTCCACCTGGTCAGGTCCACCACAAACGCAAGAATGACGCAGAATGACGCAACAAAAACATCTCAATCACATGAATCTCACACGAATCACAGTGTTGTTTTCAACTGTAAGACTGTGTCGATTCGCCATGTCACAACCAGTCACCACAACTTTCTCGCCATCCGGCATTCGGCCCTTTTCTTCGCTGGGACCTGGCAATGGTCATCGGTTCTAGAAATTGCGCCAATATTCAAAGGCCTGGTCAAGATGAGCCTGGAGTTCCTCCGGCGGATTGCAGCAAGTGTCGCAATGGAGGTAGCAACACCACTGTTTGTATGACATGTGCCACTGGCTGCATTCGTGGCCCTCCGCTTCGAGAATGTGACGCAAAATCACCAGTGCTGCAACGCTGCGGTGCTTGCCTCTCCTGCAATAAATCGCCAGAGAGAACTCGCCTGCGCTTGCCTCGCACCTTCCCAACTCGCGGTGAAACCGGGTTTTGGCCTCCCTCAGCCAATACCAAAAGTTTCGATGACAGACCAAATTAGCCACAATTTGGTAGTGTCTTCCAGAGTGACCCAGCTGAGACAAAGCCCAACTGTTTGGATCAGGAAAATCTCTGGCATCCAAAATGATGTTGGCATCGGCTCCTTGTCTTCTCAGTGCAGCCGAGATTTCGCTGTCTGAAATTTGACATCTCGCTCCACCGCCGAGAAGCTGACAGCGATGTGTCAGTTCGGGATCCAACGTCTCGATGCCAAATGACGACAGCACAATCTTTCGAGGTCTGTCGAGTCCGAGTCTGTCAGTCACTGTGGAGGGCGATGCCGGCGATGCTTGCAACGGGGGTTCTATATGTTCTGTCGATTCAGTTGATATTTCTTTCCAATCGACTGGTGGGACTGATGGGCCCGGCCACTCATTTGGCCAGTCATTTTCCCGAGCATCTGGGGCTTCAGCAGCTTCTGGAATGGCTTGTAAATTATTGGGCCTTCCATATAGCACCGGTGCCAGGGGTGAAACTGTACCGATCGCTTGCTCCGGATATGCCGGTTCGCCCAAAGCGATGCTTGGTACCCAGCCCCGGATCTTGGAGGGTCTGCACAACATGATCTTTGTCCAAGGACCAGAAGCATCCGATTCTTCCAACAGTTCCACGAGTTCGTCAGGCAAGACCTTGACCTCGTATGTTTGCATTTCGTTCTGAGGACTGGTGTTGGGAAATGGTCTCAGATCTGCCTCTTTCTTCATGTATCGGAAATGTCGTAAGGCCATCAGCTCTGTGTCTGGATTCCAGTGCTCTTGTTTCCACTGTTTGGCCTCGGAATCTGACATCCGCCTCGAAAGATTGGCCAAAGGAATCCAACCCATGCTATGATCCCGTTGGTTCTGACACCACAACCGTTCTTTTCTGGCCGAATTCGAACTGCGCGAACTGCTCGAACTGCTCGAACCGGTCGTCTTGGGCGGTTCGGTGGAGATGACTTCCAGAATGTCCCCTGAAACACAGCGGCAGAACGGCCGAGTGCTCCCTTTACGCACTACCAGGAGGTCACCAACACTGCGTCGCGGTGACACATGTGCTGCACGTAGCCAGCCTTGGGGATTCCAAAGGTTGCCGCCACCACTCGAGTGAAGGACGACACCAAAAAGATCACCCGTGCTGTCCACATGCTGGACCTCCACTAAAGAGCCACTGGAAACATCGAGGAATCCTTCGCCAAAATGGTGATCTGCTATGACCACCACTTCATCACCTACCAAGATGACAGGCGGGTCGCAGGACTCAGACACGGATTGAACCCACATCTTCACCTTTTCCTCTGGTGTCATCTTGTGACTGAGTTCCCATGGCAGTGGGATCCCACAACTGTCACCATGCATCGCACATGTTTGATGCTTCTGGCGGCAAATTGCTCCTGGAAATCGCATGAAGATTGATGTAATTGATGTAATGAATGGATGCATCAAGTAGCAGGAGGAAATGATGCAAAGCTAATGGGCCAATTATTCAATGTCCTGTTGCATGTTAGTCCCCCCATTGCACCATTGATCACCATTGTCAAATGTTTTGCATATGCTAAGGCGCCAGGCAGTCAAAAGCCCATCGGGGCACCAACCATCCATGCGTTGAAATGCTGCCCGAAGTGGTGCCAAGACTTCCTTCCCAAAGTGATAAAAACGGCACCCATGGGTTAATAACGGCCAGCATGAGTCCACTGCACTACCAGTATCTACATGTATTCTACATGTAACTCCCCTTTAAATATCTTTAAAATGAGTGCAAGCTCTGTCACTTCTGTTTCTGCCAGAAGAAACGTCTCTCGTCTACAGCTAGCTTATGCTAGCTTGGCCATAGGGAAGCATTGTGCAGAATCGAAGGGTTGGGGGGAACAAATGAACAGGATGTTGGGAAGGTTCAAAATGGTTCAAGCATGTTCAAACATGTTTTCTTAAATGTGTTCAAAGTTGTTTTGCCATGTTTTGCCAAGTCCTCATCAACGGTATCCGCCGCCACCAGGAGGATCATTCGAAGTAAGCCGTTCGCGTTGCAAAAGGTTCTCAGTCTGGGAATGAAATTCGTCAGCCGTGGTGCAGCTCCCCACCACCTCAGCGGCCAGGGCCAGGATGCCAAAAGGTCATTCAAAAACTTTGGCAGCAACCCATAGCGAAACATCCCAAGAAAACAATCCATATATTATGACATATTGACATATAGAATACATATATATATGTATATATATATATAGATTATATATGACTATATATTGAGATTGGGATAGCTTGACATAGATTGGCTGATATTGGCTTCAATATACTTCAATGTTCATGGGGGCACCTAGGGAACCTGGGGAACCTGGGGAAGCTACGAAAAACCAATGGTGCATCACTCTGATAATCTCTGATATCACCAGACCTTGGAGGGACATTTTCCATGTTGGATCCATATGGATTGACGCTGGGACTCCCAGCCCACCAGGTGCCACACGCGGCTGATCTCGTGTCAGATCCCTGTGGCTGCTGGCCATTAACCAACAGAACCCCAAATGTTACCACTACCAGTCACTACCAGTCACTACCAGTCACTACCAGTCACTACCAGTCACTACCAGTCACTACCAGTCACTACCAGTCACTACCAGTCACTACCAGTCACTACCAGTCACTACCAGTCACTACCAGTCACTCATAGGAAACTCATAGGAAACTCATAGGAAACTCATAGGAAACTCACAGGAAACTCACAGGAAACTCATAGGAAAATCATAAGAAACTCATGAGGAAACTCATAGGAAACCCATAGGAAACTCATAGGAAACTCATAGGAAACTCATAGGAAACCCACAGGGAACCCAAAGGAAACCCATAGGAAACCCATAGGAAACCCAAAGGAAACTCATAGGAAACTCAAAGGAAACCCATACGAAACCCATAGGGAAGCCATAGGAAACCCATAGGAAACCCATAGGAAACCCATAGGAAGCCCATAGGAAACCCATAGGAAACCCATAGGAAACCCATAGGAAACCCAGAGGAAACCCACAGGAAACTCATAGGAAAATTGAAGGAAAACCATAAGAAACTCATAGGAAACCCATAGGAGACCCAAAGGAAACTCATAGGAAACCCATACGACCCTCATAGGAAAATCATAAGAAACTCATGAGGAAACTCATAGGAAACCCATAGGAAACCCATAGGAAACTCATAGGAAACCCATAGGAAACCCATAGGGAACCCAAAGGAAACCCATAGGAAACCCATAGGAAACCCAAAGGAAACTCATAGGAAACTCATAGGAAACCCATAGGAAACCCATAGGGAAGCCATAGGAAGCCCATAGGAAACCCATAGGAAACCCATAGGAAACTCATAGGAAATTCATAGGAAATTCACAGGAAACTCATAGGAAACTCATAGGAAAATCATAAGAAACTCATAGGAAACTCATAGGAAACCCATAGGAAACTCATAGGAAACTCATAGGCAACTCATAGGAAACCCACAGGGAACCCAAAGGAAACCCATAGGAAACCCATAGGAAACCCAAAGGAAACTCATAGGAAACTCATAGGAAACCCATAGGAAACCCATAGGGAAGCCATAGTAAACCCATAGGAAACCCATAGGAAACCCATAGGAAGCCCATAGGAAACCCATAGGAAACCCATAGGAAACCCATAGGAAACCCATAGGAAACCCACAGGAAACTCATAGGAAAATTGAAGGAAAACCATAAGAAACTCCTAGGAAACTCATAGGAGACCCATAGGAAACTCATAGGAAACCCATAGGAAACCCATAGGAACCCATAGGAAACTCATCGGAAACTCATGAGGAATCGCATAGGAAACTCATAGGAAACTCACAGGAAACTCATAGGCAACTCATAGGAAACCCATAGGGAACCCAAAGGAAACCCATAGGAAACCCATAGGAAACCCAAAGGAAACCCATAGGAAACCCATACATAGGAAACCCATAAGAAACTCATAGGAAACGCATAGGAAACCCATAGGAAACTCATAGGAAACCCATACGAAACTCATAGGAAACTCATAGGAAATTCACAGGAAACTCATAGGAAACCCATAGGAAACTCATAGGAAACCCATAGGCAACTCATAGGAAACCCACAGGGAACCCAAAGGAAACCCATAGGAAACCCATAGGAAACTCATAGGAAACTCATAGGAAACTCATAGGAAACTCATAGGAAACCCATAGGAAACTCATAGGAAACTCAAAACAAACTCGTAGGACCTCCCTTCGAAAATCTGGGCAAGTCAGACCTCGCGGATTTGCTCAGCTCTTTGCCTCGGGCACGGGTGCAGGACATGCCGGGAGTTTTCCTGGACATGTCCTCAGTATGCTTATCGCAACACCTTCTTCAAATTACATACTGAAATACATCAACCAACATCAACCTATATCTACCATCACCCACCATCACCCAATGCAGGAGGCCGCCAACCACATTCTTGAACGAACAGATCAGAGACGTTCTTCTCTCAACGGGGTTCCTGCAAAACTTCCTTGATACATCTTGATACAGTATTTCTTTGTGCAATTTTCATTTATATGTCACACAACTACATGTAACTATATACAGTGCATATATACATATAGACACACACACACTATACACACACTTTTAACTTTTAACTTTTAACGGTTGCATCCTGTTTTGGCGATACTGACTCTATTGGCCTCCGTAGCCGGAGCATCTCAAATCGGGGTCTGGGAATCATCTGGGGCATCTGCCTTTGGTGTCTTTACTTTTGAAATCGTCCTTGTCCTTTCGGCTTTGACCTCAGTCACAGCACAGAACAGGACCCGGTGAGAAAAGCCGATAGTTGAGCAGATTTGTTAGGGACAAGGATGGACAAGAAAATGAGAAAAAAATACTAATCATTTCATTTCCAGTCTCTGTCCAAAGGTACATAGCTCCCAAATGTCGAACCGGTTCCCCGCCAAGCGACTCTTGTCTCTGGAAAGGTCTCCAGCCGTCTGAGCACGTTTGAGCTTTGCCTTGTCCTTGCCGTCCTTGCCGTCCTTGCCATCTGCCACATCTTTAGGCTTTTGGCCTAGCCACGGTGCACTGTGCATCACGGTGCATCACGGTGCATCACGGTGCATCACGGTGCATCACGGTGCATCACGGTCCCATTCCTTGGCGCATCTTGGCGCCGTTGCTGGGCCGCTTTGCATTGCTATGCATCCCATGCCATCCCTGCCCGTAAAAAATTGGTGAGTTACATAGTTACATAATTAATATACATATCGGCAAATGGTCGATAAACAATACCAAGATGAACTCTGAACGCGACATCGCGACATCAGTAATTACACCGATGCACATCTTGCAACGTGACGATCAGCACGATCGGGGCGGCTTTCTTTGCCCAGGCGCTTCGTTGAGGCTTCGCCTTCCGCCCTGGCACCTCACCTCTCCTGTCGATATGCGCAGTTTGATGCAAGACACCAGTGACTTGGACAACCCAGAGATTGCAACATGTGATACTAGGATATACTAAGACTACTAAAGTGACTAATGCTAAATGGTACTAAATACAGCTAAAAACTACATCAAAATATATACCGTAATGCTACGGGCTATGCAATCGTTATCGTTCTGCCCCCTAAATGTGAAATCATTCTTGGGGTGACGGTTGCCACGTCTATACCAGTAGTACCGCACAAGGCGATGGCGGAAGTTTCAAAGATAGGAAACTATAGGAGAGGTGAGTTGCTGTGATGCATGGATGGCAGAGCGAATCCATTGATGGACCGAAAGGTGGTTGTGATTTTTGGAATGGTTGCAGGGGTCACCTCACCCACAACTGCAGGATGTAGTGTGGCGTAGCGAAGCGCAATGGAGTTGCAGTTGTAGTTGCAGTTGTAGTGGTAGTTGTAGTTGTAGTGTAGTGGTAGTTGTAGCTGTAGTTGTAGCTGTGGTTGAAGTCTAGTGTAGTGTAGTGCTAGTTGTAGCTGTAGTGTAGGTGTAGCTGTAGTGTAGTTGTAGCGCAGTTGAAATTGCAGTTGTAGTTGTAGCTGCAGATGTAGTTGCAGTTGTAGTGTGGTTGTTGCAGTTGTTGTTGTAGTTGTTGTAGTTGCTGTAGTTGCTGTAGTTGAAGTGTAGTTGAACTTGTAGCTGTAGTTGTTGTAGCTGAAGTGTAGTTGACATGTAGTTGAAGTGTAGCTGAAGTGTAGCTGAGGTGTATTCGAAGTTGAATTCGTAGTTGTAGTTGTAATGTAGTTGAAGTGTAGTTGAAGCTGTAGTCGTGTTGTAGTGGTAGTTCTAGTTGTATTGGTAGTTGTAGTTGTAGTGTAATTAGTGTAGCGTAGTGTTGTGTAATGTAATGTAGCCTAGCTGTAGCTGTAGTCTAGTGTGCTACATTTAAATATATGGATTTTTAATATATACGAACAGGTATTTAGACTATGTCCGGGAAGGTTTTCCTTGGCCCGCCCGGCCATTTAAACATACGGAACCCCATTCATTTAAACATACGGTAACTACATTTAAATATACGAACTGGTATTTCATACTACCTCCGGGGCTTCGCGGTCTGGCCCGCCCTCCAAATATTTAAATGTCGCTATTACCGTAGTGTAATGTAGTGTGGTGTACTGGAATTTGTGTAGTGTAATGTAATTAGTGTAGTGTACGTAGTGTAATTAGTGTACTGTAGCGTAGTACATTTGTTTTTGCATTTGTAGTTGTAGTGGTAGCGTAGTGTGGTTGCAGTTGTAGTTGCAGTTGTAGTTGTCAAGCTATCTATCTATCTATCTATCCATCTATCCATCTATCCATCTATCCATCTATCCATCTATCCATCTATCCATCTATCCAATTATCTAATTATCTAATTATTATCTATCTATCTGTCTTTCTTCAAGATTGAAAACGAAGAAATTCTGCGAGACTTTCTCATGATTTGAACTTGACGACTTCAAAAACGAAGGAGACTTCCTTCAAAAATGGAACGCTGAGCGCAGAGCTGACGGCCTCTTACCAATGCGTTTTGTGATTTTTGCACTCCACCTGTCTAAAGTACTGCGCCTGCCACGAAAAAGTGATGCCAGGGCATACGAAGTCCGGCGGCACCTGTCACGCAAAATCATTTTAGCAAACCTAAAGATTTGATGCCCCAAAATGCAACCCCTTTCAGGAAATCAGCGCCCTGACCTCCTAACATCTAAGATGAACATGTCTCTTGTCCTGCGCCTGCCACGCGAAATGCATCTTTGCAGATCCTCTTGAGATGTCCCACACCTGCCATCGTTTTTGGACATGCTAGACAACCCTAACGTTCTGCTCACTTTTGGCACGGTGCGGAATCCTTAGCACTTGCCACACAAAACCACATCTGAACCGTCAAAAGTGGTCCGAGCATGTGGTGTTTTTTACTTAGAAACACACTTCGCGCCACAACCGCATGCAATTTTTCAACATCTCAACTTCTAAAAGCGGTCTGAGACCGTCAGTTTTTTACGTGCTTCGCGCCACAACGGTGTGCACTTTTTCGGCATCTCAACTTCAAAAAGTGCTCCGGAGCTGAGGCGTCTTTCGCATTTTGACTTGGAAATGTGCTTCGCGCCACAATGGCGTGCATATTGTCATCTCTCATCTGGCCAGATGGCTCCGCACCCGCCGCTTTAGCGAGCCTACTTTTCGACCCTCCGGAGACACAAATCATTGGAAAACACACAGTGTTTCGCGACTTTTCTACCTTTTCGCGCACCTGCATCCTCTTTCCTCTGACTCTTTCTCTTCTCTGATCTTCTTTCTTATTCTCTTCTCTTCTCTGACTCTTCCCACCTCTGCTTTTCCATCTGTCCATATTGTCGGAAGTCTGACTTCTAAACTTCCTTCGATAATATATTATTTAAAATTTAGAATTGTCTTCTGCTGCCATTGTTTATTCAACAACGAAATTAAGGGTTGGGACATGACTGAGAGCGCCTCGCATGCACAAACCAGTTGTGCTTCAAGGCTTTCTCCGCAGTGAAGGAGGAGTCCCTCTCTGCTCCTGCATCAAACCCCCTGGTAATCTAATAATAATAATGGACATGTGCCATGTTTAATGGGTAAATATGGTAAATCATTTGCAAAATAATGGATAAATTATGTCCAAATTAATCACTAATCTGCCATTGCTATGTTCAATTGCTAGAAGGTATCACGAAATATCACGGATGTCAAACCTCAGCACGGCTCAATGACCTGACCCTTGCCATCTCTCACGCCGTGAAACGGAAGGGCCAAAGCTCATGATTCGCAGAGTGGGTATCGAATAATATTGACATAGAATGAATAGAATGAAATGAACAAAGAAACAATAATCAAACTCTATATATATATAATATTATATAATATATTATATATATATAAATTGTTGATATGTGTGATATTGTGTGATATATGTATATATGAATTCAGAATTAATTAAGATGTAGACATCCACAGGTTGAAGCATCGCCGCATCACCATGAGCCTGCGAACCGATTCAGCAAGTCCGAAGCGTCTTTGCTGATGGGCACTGCAACGCCTCCCTCGCTATAGACGAAGGTGTCACTGGCCTCATGGATAGCAAATATGTTGATCCAACCTGTCCAAATATGTTGCAAATCCGCTGGCTCTGGATTCCCCCCTCTTTGGACTTTTTTCTATTGAAAATCCTCTTCCCTAACTTCCCTAACACTTGATCCAACCTGTCCACTTGTTGCGTTCGGTGGCCTTGCTGCTTGCTTCTCTCCCAGAGGTCTTCACGCCACAGCACCATCCAAGCAAAGCCTGCATTGGCCACGTCAAGAGCTGAGCCTGCACATCTCGGAACTTTGTGGAGATTTTCCACCATTGATTTCTAGCACCTACCGATACCTACAGTATCCCAATAACCCCCAATATCCCCCAATTAAAAGAAAACCATCCCGTTGCTTTGCAAATTGGCAAATGGTCTCTGTCAACCTGCCGTTGGTTTTCCCAACTCCCCATCTGTCTGACCCTCATCACCAAGCCAGCGGATGGGATGTCATAGGTACGGCTGCCAGCATGAGCACCGAAGTCAATCAACTTGGTGACCTCATTGCAGGTAGTCGGTATCCGGTTGCCGTGTATATCTATATAATATATCTATGTAATTCTTTATGTCTGGGTTATATATATATATTATATAATCTGTGTGTGTAAACGAAATCAATATCACTATCACTTTGATAGATCGGTGTATTTTGGGGAGCCGCTGACAATACCAAGAGAAAAGTTTGAAAAAAACCTGAGTGTTCAACATTTTGTTCTGGCGGTTTTTCGAAATGAAGCATCAACACCTGACAAAGCTCACGCAAGTTGGGGGCTGAAATGGGCTGAGTGCCACGTGGCAATTTGAGCTCCGTTAAGTGCTGAGTGCCACGACATTGGCAGGGCAAATGTCCCCATGACTCAACGACTGGGATTGAAGATAGTGAAGGGCACCCAGCAGCTGCCACCTGCCACTGCTGCCACTGTTGCCACTGGCAAAGTCGCCATGGCAACGCGTAGTCTGACCATGTCTGACTGGTTGAAGTTGAACTGAGATATACTGAGATGCAGACATGATGACAGCACCAGCAGCCTACAAGATCCATCAAGATCCATCCACAAAGCTACGGCCTACGGATCGGTATTGGATCAGTTTGGCTATGCTAGAGACTGCGCCTCTTCCAACGGCGGCCAAAACTCCTTCGCATAGCTTGGGAGTGGGCCACCTGACGAACACATCGTGTTGCAAGCGTTTCCCAATGGTTTCCAAATATTTCCAACGTCTCATCTGTTCTTTGCTGAGTCATGCTCAAGAAACACCAAGGTCACCAAAAAAATGCCAAGCTGCCAAGCCTTTGCAAAGTTCTACAGAGAGAAAAGTGTTGGTAGCCGCAGGCTCCTGAAGAGCACCACATGTTGTGACTAAACCATGGGTATCCCATGAGCATCCCATGAGTCAACCTAAGTTTTAATGTTTCATCGCTTCTTCATGTCCTCAAAGGTCTCAAAGAGCCGCAGGACATTTGGATGATCCAACTTGGTCATCAAAGCAATTTCGAATCCTTGCCGCTTCGAAGCCGCTTAGACCGGTCAGCTGAAGTTTCACCGCTTCACGGATTGCATACCGCAACAACAGCTGCAAGTGTTGCGATCCGTTGCAATCCGTTGCAATCCGTTGCATCGTTGTGCAACTTTGGGACAGCCCCTAGTGCAAAATTCCATGAGACGAAACCAACCTTTGTGATTTTTCATATCTTTCATGCCTTTGTTCGCCTTTGTTTCTAGCTACAGCAAGCTACAGCATGTCCTGAAGGATCCGATTTTCGCGACATGATCTTGATCGCTCTCTTCGCATTGCTACGGTGGCAGGTAGCCTCTCCCAATTTCAAATCATTGCGGGCCACGTCTTCTGTCTCAGGGCTCTGTAAAACACTTTCAGGCAGTTTGGGAGTTCGGGACCTATCATCACCAAGACGTGGAAAGAAATGAAGATCGTTTGTTTCAGCCGCCGCCTGAATGACTTGTCCAATGCCACCCTGACCCAAACTCTGTTCAAAGGCATAATGTTTGCCAACCTCAAGGCTGAAGTGTGGTCCAGCGAAGCCAGCAACGCACGACTGTCCCGTTGATCCCCAAGACTTGCCAGTTTCTGAGACAGCAGCTGGTGTTTCAAACCTGGCTCATGGATGCTGAATCAACAAGAACCCAAAGGGGAAAGCTTTGGAAAGCAAGCCCTAACAATCCACAAACTCCACAAACCTATTGTACTTATTCATACTCATTCTATATATTTCTATTGTTTTTTGTTCCTCTTTTTTCTTCCCATTCTGGAATTGTCTCTCCCGCCTCAGCACCAGGTGGGATCGGCAAATCATCGAACCTGCGACAGCCGCCCGTCAGATCCCGTGAGATCCCGTGAGATCGTCACAGCCTCACCTTGACCCAAGCCATTGGGGTCGAGGCGACCACCGGCTGGGAGGTCTTAACAATTCTTAACAGCTACTGAGCTCTTAACAGTTGTGGTTAACAGTTGTGACAGTTGTGACAGTTGTGACAGTTGTGACAGTTGTGACAGTTGTGGTTCCGAAACTGAGGCGTTTGTTGGCGCCTTTATCTTTTTGCCTGTCTTAATCCGCTTCAGAAAACTTCTTTATATTGTTTTGTGATGGCTTGGGCTGCGATTGACCAGAACTGCCAGAACCTACATAACAAGCAGGACGAGGACAGTAAGGCTGAAGGTGTTGGAAGTTAAACGTAGTTGGACTTCTGAAGCTGGAGCCACAGGGTGAAAGACAGAGAACATCAGAAACCAGGCAGAAGACAATCTTTCAACATGCTTAACTTATCGGAAGAAACCGAACATATCATATACTTCATGCTATTTCAGATTGTAGGATTTGTAGGCCATCTGGAAGAATACAAGTAGCATCAAGTAGCATTCTTAGCATCATGTGCATATCATGTGCATATCATGTGCATATCATGTGCATATCATGTGCATATCATGTGCATATCATGTGCATATCGGCATATCGCATCAAATCGAGTCATCCTTTTCCGCCAGCCCGGTCTCAGTATCGGTGTCCTCGGTGTCACCTGATGCAGAGATGGGACTGCTGTGTTCGGCGCCTAAGAGCTGTGTGAGAGCAGCTCGGTAGAACCTGAGTCAGGATGGCGACGGAGGAACCACGTACCCCAAGTGGATCTAACAGGAATCTAACAAATATTCGTAGTCACAGTGTCACAGCTTCAACTAAAAAAAATCCGAAACACCAAGAAATGTCACCTTCCGAAATGAGGATTGCGTCAACACGCCCACTACATCCTGCAATAAGGGCACCATGTGTCAAAACGTAGTCGGGATATGAAGAAAATAATTCTTTCATAAACTTTATTAACCCTGCTGTACCTGTTTGAACTTTTCAAAGATCCAATTTTTGCTAAGAAAAATGTGGTTTTACCATGTTTTACCATGTTTTACTCAAGTCCCACAGGACCAACATGGACCAACCCTTACCGGGCTATGCAGATCTGAGGAGTGGACTGAGATGTGATTTGCCACGCGTCCGCGGAGGATTTTTTCATTGCCTGGCGAAGGTCTTGGAGTCCCTGTCCTCCAAGGTCTTCCAAACGATGCAACCTCGAACGTCTGCGAAATCGCTAACCAGTTCAAACATCTATGGAAAGTGGCTGGTCTATAGTTGATCGGTTGATCTATGGAAATTATGGAAATCTCTGGTGCATGGCATGTTCCAATGAGGCTCCAGCAAATCTGTTAGCGAGTTGAAATAATTGATGTGAGGAAGTCGCAAGTAGTTGGCAGTGCCCTGAGCACTGTGGCACTGCAAAGCAACAGGATGCAACAGGTCTGAACAGGTGTCCACCCTGGTGTCCACCCTGGTGTCCACCCTGGTGTCCACCCTGGTGTCCACCCTGTGTCCACCCCTTCGGTTATATCATGCCAATGTCATAGCAGCCATAGCATATCATATCCAAGCACTGAAGCATGTTGGAGTTTGCTCGCTTTGCAGTAGGTATCCAAGCTATGGCATGCCGAAGGTGGTCAGGATTCAGCGTGTCTTGACCTCATCTCTGAGCCAGCCAATCTTGACATATCTTGACAGAATGAACATAAATGTGTTGAGATTCTGAGATATATTGAGATGTTGGCCAGAAAAGGCCGTGAAGTTGCCTGCAGCATCTCAATTTGAAGCGCTTCAAAATTGCAACTGTCACATTCCGCATATATCCGCATATATCCGCACACACACATATATATATATATATTATATTATATATATATATATACATATTTATATTAATATATAATATTAATTATATTTAATTATATATATATATATAGATACTCAATATACTCCCATTGAAATTCATTGCCATCGCTGGTTCAATCCTCTCCCACCGGTCCACTGAGCTCCATGCAGCTCTGCCAGTTCCAGCCTGTGCAAGCACGGCGACCTTGACAAATGCTTCGAACTAGTTCCAACCTATTGTTGAACGGTGTTTTGAACATGTTTGAACCCCTTGAAAAGTCGCAATATCAATGCAAATCATGAAAATTTGATGGGTCATCATGATCATCATGATCATCATCCCAGATAGCAAATGTTGCTAGGAATAGTATGGAATAGTAATACATAGTAATACTAGGAATTCATTTATGGACCTCATTTCTGCACCCCGGACCCGGGCAGTCCTGGATCCCACGGCAACGCACTCCCAGATGAGACCAGTGGATAGTTCAGCTTCGAATGCTCCTTTCGGGGCCCACAGCCCAGTGGATTATCAACGAGAGCTGGGTTTTCAGACATGACGAGCCTCTCGTAGAAGGTACCATGGGTAGTTCGATGTGCTCACCAAATGAGCATAAGCCATGTTCTCCACCATCCTGGAAACGGCCTACTGTCACAGCTTTCACGATGCAGGAACCTGATATGTGCCTATAATATACATATACTTCTTATGCATTGTAATATCAATGCACCATACACATAATCTGATTGACTCTGACAGCGGCATCTCAGTTTCGTGCTCTTGTTCCGGCAAGAAGATTGGGGTGCCAACAGCGTACAAGTCCTGACATGCTGAAGCCATCAACTTTGACCAGTCAACATCGATCAACAATACTGCGCCAAAGGCTCAAGTCGTCAAAATGATCAAAGTCATTTGGCGTACTCAAATTACATGATATTAGAATACGTGGAAATGACGGGAAAACTGGGAAATCCAAACAGGCCAGAAGTGCATCGAAAGATATTATGCCAATATCATGAGGAAATATCACCGCTGCAGCAAATCGATCACCTCGTGATCTCAAGCGTGAGATGATAACAATATATAACAATGATCAAACGCCGACATGTGGCCAAACCGGGCCAAACGAACCATCACTAGACACGACTAGTCTGACTAGTCATCTTGTGCTTCACTGTGGCAGGACGTGATCCAAGACAACTTGGTGAGAGCTGTTTGTTGGAGGCCGAAAATGGCCCGAGCTACAAGACCGAAAGCATCCGAAAGCGCTTGCGAGCTCAGAAATGCAACGAAATGCTAAGAAGATCTAAGAAGCTGGCTAAGGTCAGAATACTTGGTCATGGAGTCTGGCGACAAAAGTCGCTCCCAACATGTCCCAAGTGATGGCACCACACTGCACTCATACTGCTGTTCATACTGCTGTCAAACACTCCAGCCTGATGCTGAGAGTCCGTAGACCTTCCGCCCTGAACCGTGGACAAACAACATTGACATGGCTGTGGCAATCTTTGACACCACATCTATATACATCTATCATCTATACATCTATCATCGATCCACATCCACACTACGTTGCAACCCTGCAAACGGCGGGCCTTCCCGTTGCGATGGCAGGCGCCGAACATTTTTGAAGACCATGCGGAAGGGAAAGGCACTGACATCTGGCACCTCAGATCCCTCCCATTGGATCCATCATGATCCATCATGATCCATCCCATATCCCACTGGTCCCATTGGTCCTGGTTGTCCCGCCCCAGGGGTCCCACCAACTGCTTCATGACCAGAAAAAGGCAAACAGCCACATCCGCCTTCAGCGACCTCGGAAATCACCATGGATTCCTCTCCGAGCTTTCCGAGCTTTGGACACGTGGTTTTGCCAGAATAAGACTTCATTGGCCTTCCAATATCAAGTTCGCCATCCAAATCATCCAGGGAGTTGAAGGCAGCCCAAACGGGAATAATGTTATATATATATATACAGAAATCTCTGAAAACAAATCAATAGAAATCAATAGTAACTTCAATAGTACTGATATATTCGTTGAATTTTAATTGAGTTTAGTCAAGGCCCCAGCATCCACGGAGGCTCCACCTTCCGACTCGACAAAATTTCTCTTGGCACTTCTGGCATCAATTGCGGAACGAAACACACGCGAAAACGTTGGATTGTTGTTGATGTTTTGTTGATACCAGATTTTCTCTGACAAAATTAATGTAGTAAGTATCATTGAAATATACTAGAATATTAGTTGATTGCCAAATTTCTTGATGATTTGGGGTCCTCTGAAATGGTAGCAGTGGGTGATTGCTACCACTGAGATGTCAGCCTCCTCGCGATGCTGCATGGATGGCATACCTGATGCCAAAAGACCAAAATCTGTCGCCGTGTGCAGCTCTGACCAAAATCAGCAGAAAGCGGGGCACCAGTTGTGATTCCGAACCACCTGCAGGAGCAAATCAATTGGTGGTGAATCTTTGGATGTCACTGCTGAAAGTTGGGTCATTGGGCTCAAAAACCGCTGCCAAACTCAGCTATCCACTGGTAGCAATCGGCCAGTTTGAACCTGGCTCAAAGATCTCAGAGGAATCCAGAGGAATCCAGAGGAATCCAGAGGAATCCACGACGTGGCTCGGCAAATCTGCGCAATTCTGGGCATCGCTGAGATCTGAGGGCCCCCACCCACACTTGTCTTTGCAGAAAAATCAAAGATGTGCTGATGACTGTGGGGCCTTCCGATCGGGCATATTCATTCCATATTCATGGCATATTCGGGCATCTCCGAAGTCACGAGACTCCCAGACATTTCCAAACTCTTTCCAGTGGTTTCATGTGGTTTCCGTTTTGGTGGCAACATGTGGCAACTTCCCGCCTACTTTGGCTACCGATGGTTTGGCAATCTCCTTGTTCAACTTTGCACGGCAGAGGATTGTTGCTGTTGCAACAAGCTCGACATCATGCCATGCCATGCCATGTCACGAAAGAGTCGGTTGCTCGGTTCTTGGCACGGAATAATCCCACAAGAAATGGTTGGTGGGCACCTCAGCCAACAGAATTTTCCTGCATTCTGAGATATTGTGAGATAGTGTAACTTACAAATTCTAACATCATGTTGATTCAGATTTCAGCAAAATGTCCCAAGAATCGGTGCACAGTCACAAGAGTCCAACTGGGCATTCGAAAGGTCAGCGGAGCCTCACACATCGATTCGATTTATGTGTCTCCCAATGGGCCCAGATGGATCCAGATGGATCCAGATGGATCCAGATGGATCCAGATGGATCCAGATGGATCCAGATGGATCCAGATGGGAGATCCCCAAGTCTGCCTGCAGCGTGATGAGAATCGGCAGATCTGTGACCTTAATGATGATTGGGGCTCCCCGATCACCGAGCAACATCAACAGAGATCTTTTAAGCCCGTAGCCATCCGCAACATCAAACAAAGCATGGGCCTTAGCAACTTCCAGGTGCAGAATCTACAAAACACATTAAAACACAATACCTTCCCACCCTGCTGATAAGTGTATTTGAGTTTATCATACCCCCAATTTTTTCCAAACATGTGGAGAAAAAAGATGAAAAGCCAGTGCCTTCTCCAAAGCTGGCAAACAAACAATCCCCAGCACAGGAAAATAAATCCAAACAGATTGGGCAGTTTCCATTACCAGGTTGGGTTTGTCGGTGTTTGAAACCCCACCCCACAGTGGCCCATAACAAGTGGCGCCAGCTTTGCCATGCTTTGCCATGCTTTGCCTCACTGAGACGTCGGCGATCCGCCACCACCACAGACCAGCAACGCCGATACCCGGACAAACCTTAGACGGCCCATTGCCTGGAAGGATAGGTCAAGTTGAACATGAGATTAAAAAAAACACATAGGAACACAAGGAACATGTGTTGGAACAGCATGCAAATAAATATAATAAATGCAAGTAATTGAGCTTATGAAGTCAGATAATGTCAGATAGCCTTGACTCCTCTGCCTAAGCCTAAGCCTTGCCTAAGCCTTGCACTGGTCCTCTGCAAGGATTTCTCCCAACTCATCCAAGGCCTCGGTGCAGTGCGTTGTGGCAAGGCATGGCAAGGTGCAGATGGTGCAGGGATGTGCAGGGCATCGCAGGGCATCGCGTCAGATTTGCTCGGAGCCCAACCGGTTGCAAAGGTCTGCTAAGCAAATCGTTCCTGCCAAGGTGAAGCAAATTGAAGCAATGTGATAGGTCCGATATGTGAAGCAAACTCAGACTCTCTGAATGATCTGAATATATCTGAATAAATTCTGAATATATCTGAATGGTGCATTATGATGCATTATGATGCGTTATGATGCATTATGATGCATTATGATGTGCATTACCAGTGCCAGTGCGACCACCAATCTGCTTCGGGATAGATCGACGTGTAGCAGCCCAAGCGCTTGGAGCGTTGCCTCAGCTGCTTGGAGCTCAGCATCGAGCAGAGCATCGAGTGAATCGAGGCGACTTTTCCCGGGCAGCTGACCCTTCTGAGCACACCTGAGGTCATGTCATGAAGCACTAGCCCCCTAGGGCCCTAGGGTCTCTAGGGCCGGGTTTGCTGGCAATGTATCATGAGGGTACCATAAGATGAATCAGAATGAATAAACAATATAAATATGTGTTTCCCAGAATTCAATGCTTGATCATCCACTTCCCCATTCACGTTGCTGTCTTGAGACATTGAGACAGTGGCAATGCCTTCAACATCCTTCAATTTTAAATTACGAAACATAGGATTCAATAGGATGTGATCGGTTTTGATGGCCAAAAAAGGATGGCGAAAAACATGAAAAACGGATAAACGATGATAAAAACGGTGAGTTTCTGGATGTAACGGTGGTGGTTTCCATATAGATTGAGATCGATCGCCTGAGGAAGCAAAGTCTCAGCATCCGGATGGGTCGCCCCAAAGAGCGCCATGTCCTCAACGGCAGCTGCATTCAGCTCACCCCATGGCAATGCGGCAACGCGGCAACGAGGATCGGCTAAGTTTTCCACCATGGAGATGTCCTGAGCAAAAGATCACCCGGTGAAGGCACCAGATATCGCCAGAAACCTCTGGTTCAAGACATAAAAAAACAGCTATCTGAGCAGCCTCCGGTACCACTTCTCTCAATGCCTCCAGCTTCGAGCAACACATCTCTCAGCACCCAACAACACGTTGCAGCAATACTACAAGCGGATTTTGGCACAGCCAAGATGCGAAGACTGGTTCCAACAAGGTCGTTGTGTGCACCTGGAAATAGGGGAGATGTTGCTGTGCTCTTGGCGATGATATCTGATGCCGAATCTTGATGTTTCCGTGCTGATCTTCATTGATAGGTCATGTGTCATCTCCAACGCCTCAATCGATTACGAAGCTGTGATCATTTAAACATATTTAAACATACCATACACATATTACACATATTATAAATCTCATCATATAAACATATATAAACCGTATAAAGCCATAAAAAATTGGTTCTAAAAACAGCATACGCCGAGCGACGCCGAAGGCCGAGATGGCGATTCCTTTGAGCCGAGGCAGTGCCAAAGCCTTCGAGCTGCGCCAGGAGCTGATGGCCTTGGAGGATTTTGAAGTTGAACCAATGTCCGAATTGAAAAAATGCTGTGTATTGTGTATAACATGTATTTATATATATATGGGTATATGTAAATTTGTTTATTATATTATATTATGTTATATTATGTTATATTATGTTATATTATGTTATATTATGTTATATTATGTTATATTATATTATATCATGTTATATTATATTATATTATATATATATGTACATCCGCATCCCTGTGTGTATTTATTTCTCTCTCTCTCTCTTTCTCTCCATCGCCATGTTTATAGTCCTTTATTGATTTATTCATATTTTTTCTGTGTTCGTTTATCCAACATTATCCAACCATCTGATCGATTGATGTGTATTCATCTATTTATCACATTGATCTCAAAAATCACAATGCAGTAAATGATATGCCATGGATGGTATGGGATGATGGACCATGCACAAAAATGACTTTTGACAAAAAAATCACAATTGAAGATGGAAGTCTTCAATATCAGTAAACTCAAAATATCTCAAAATGATTCAAAATGTCACTTGAACTTGGCATATCTTGGTATATCTTGCATATCTGAGGTGCTCCTATCGACATCTTGAGGCTTCAACAGCTTGGAGTTGCCTTTGATAGCCCTCCATGTAGGAATCTCTGGATGCTGGAGGCCTGAAAATGTCGATGGCCATGATTTAGCACCAAGGACCATAGTACCAACGTCAGTGACTCCGCGGTATCCTCCAAACGATTCTAAACGTATATTACATATCTGAATATATCGAGATATCAATCAAACGAATTGGGAATTATTGGCTTTCACATGATTTAAAATCATTTAGATATCATTTAGATATCATTTAGATATCATGTTCTCAGTGGCACCAAAGGTTGAGAATCAGGATTCAGCCCATGGGTCGTGGATCCATGACTGCTGTGCATCCGGACGCTGTCGAAGTGGTTTTTTTTCGCCACAACTTTCCAGTCACCAGATCCAAAGGATTCAACCTCAGAAAGAAAAAATCCATCAATTCTACACCTTTGTTGGATTTTGTTGGATGATTTCTACACCTTTGTTGGATGATTGTTGGATGATTGTTGGATGATTGTTGGATGATTGTTGGATGATTGTTGGATGATTGTTGGATGATTGTTGGATGATTGTTGGATGATTGTTGGATGATTGAAGATGATTGAAGATGATTGAAGATTGAACATGGATGTTGGATGATCCAGCTGTGACCAGCGGTAGAATCTCAGGTAGCCACAGCGTCCGCCATTTGGAATCCATGTGAAAGTTCCATGTCCTCAAAGAGATCAACCGATATATCAACCGTCAATTCACTGTCGACCCATGGGTTTTCAACCCGTCACAAGTTGACAGGTGCTGAGGGTCCAACCACCACCTCAGGAACAGAAACAGCGAAATCGATCTAAATTGGTGCTTCATGGGTTGCACCAGAGACTACCAGTAGATACCTTAAGGCATCTTAAGGTCACATGCATCATGCCATCAAAAACTCAAAAGAATCTGCGTACCTGCCACCCATTGCCAAGCACTGCAAGGCATCGTCCAGCAATTGCCGCTCTCTCCTCGATCCTGGCGACGACCAAGGTATAACACCCTCTGGAATGGCACAGGATTTCACAGGATGCACCCCAAAAAACATCAAAAAACATCAAAAACCGCAAACAGAGAAAGTCTGGTTCAAAAATCAACCAACTTTGGTGGTGTGATATGGTGTGACATGGTGTGACTTTATTTGGAATCAAGGGGCTTAATCCTCATAGGATCCCAAAGCACCAACACAAACCACCAGGCAATCATGGACATCATGGACTCAAGAAATGCGAGGCCAAACCACTTTTGAAAAACGGTCAATAAATAGTAAATATACGTATAAATAGTCCTGAAATTTCAACTTCACAAATTTCAATCTCAGAATCTCAGATCGATTGAAATCCCGAGGCCTCCCCTCCCCAACGGTCTCACACTCCACGACGCAGCACGAAGTGCAGCCGCAAACCCTCAGACACTGCAGAACATGCGCTGCACATGATGGAAAAAAACAACCAAGTTTGGAACATATCAACCAGCCAAGTTTTCCTCATGTTTCATGTTGGTACATTTTGTGTATGAAGTAATGTTGAATGTTGAATCATTTTAGTTTCAGTAACATTCCCACTCACCTTTCACCTAAAGATCCTAAAGGGCAGGGCAGGAGCACCAAACCAAGGCACAACCGGCACAACCGTGTAATCCTTGAGCCGGCGCATCATATTCTTGCCGAGCAGCCAAAGGGGCAGAAGCCATTCAGCTGCCTCGATGACACCTGACGCTGTGGCACTTTCCATTGTGATTTCCATTGCATGAAAGCCGCATTCATCCAGCACCTGCCCCAGAAGAACCTCCGGAAAAACGTCACCTGTTCAGGATGTTCAGGATATCCAAGTCATTTCTCATCAGGTTGTGATAATTGATGATCATCACCATTTCTATCCATTTCTTCTGTGAAAATCTGTGATTCAGATCCTGAACCCGCCTGAACCTACTGACCTACTGCGTCGGCCAAATTCTGCCAAGCAACATGACTTGCTGTGATTTCGCCACCTGCCAGGTGCCAAATTATGGCCCCTGCCCCGTCTATTTCAACGATGTTTCACCATGTTCCATCCGGAAAACCACCAAATATGGTGAAAATTGAATAAATTCATGAGAAAAACCGCTGCTCAGGACCTTCCAACTAAAGTGGCTGCAAGTTGTATTGAAGTTCGCCGGTTTCCACGATGAAGTGACCTCAGCCACACTAAGTCAAAGGGAAATTCACATGTAAAGTGGCAACATTCCAACACACTGCCACTTTGAAATGCTTTGAACCAGCTGTTACTATCACTGACTAATCACTGACTAAATCTGACTAATCACTGATTATCACCAAAGAAACCACAAAACTCCTGTTGTTTTGAGATTTTTGAGGTGCCCAATGGTGCCCAGCTCATGCAGCAAGCTCCAATCACGATGAAATCCTGCCGCTGTCCCCGTCGTGGCACGGCAGGATTCAGCAATGATTCAGCAGATTTCAGCCTCGGCCTTCGCAGTTCAAGACCTCACCAAAAGGCAGTCGAGACAGCCGGTGGCCTATAAGATCCTATAAGACATACGAGCTCATAGAGGTCCAAAAATATCGAAAGAATTCGAAAGGATTCAAACTTCTTCTGGATCTTTGGCACCGATTCGATTTGATAGTGGTTTATAAGTGACTAAAAAGTTACTATTGATAGTTTCATTTCGCATGTTGACATGAATCTTGATAGCAAGGACAGCCTACGTGCAGAAATCACAAAAAGATGTCCGATTATTTCTGATGATTTCTGTATGTGGTAGCAGTATTGCCAATGTGAAACTTTGGATAACTTTGGCGGCCGCAGGGCCTTCTGATAATCAAGCCCAACCATCAGCTGTCCCCTTGGCTGCCATCGCACTGATGTCAGCTTGCCACCGCTTTGGGAGGCAGCTAAGCCAGGGTTTGTTTGATGGTTTTTTCTACGGTTGGAATGTGTTGTCGTGTTGCTGCACCGAAATGCTGAGATTTTCAGAGTTGAAGCATGTTGAAGCTCTTAGGCTGACCGGAAATTTTGGGACTTCATGACTGGAGCTACAGAGGTGACATGACAGGCTATCGACAGGAGAGATGCCATCCTGATAAATCCTGCCATCCCGTGCCTACCGAGGCCTATACCGAGGCCTACATAGTGACCCATACTGTGCCTATCTACGTGAGATGCTTTGAACTTTGATCCATTGATTAACGCTGATCAACGTTGATCCACGTTGATGTTTTATGATGGGATGCCACTCCTTGAGCTCCTTGAGTCGCCCGTACGAGGCTGGAGATGCCCAGCTGCGAAGCGAGCGGATCTGACTTGAGACATGGAATGACATGGACATGTCGTATCGGATATGAAGAAGGAGCGAGCTGTTTCAGCAAACACCGAGCGGTTGAGAATCTGAATTTACACTTAACTCCCAGGCAATCTGTAGAATACAAAGCTTCAACCAGCCCCGAGTGCCATTTCTGCTTTGAAGACGACGCTTCAAGCATGGCTAGCTGACCCAGCTTCATGTCTTGCTTTGCAAGGCGAAGCAGCACTACAGAATCGAAATGTTGATCTATAATTTATATATATATATTGTTTAATGAGGTTAATGGTATTCCTGAATTCCTGGCACCAAATAGACATGGTGTCTGCATCTGGTGGTTCAACGGTTGATGTTTCAAATCCATCGTTTCAGCTTTCAACCTTTCAACCTTTCAGGTCAGTGGATTCCTTCCAGAGCTGCAAAGTACCGATGACCAACACAAAGATGGCGAAGGCTTTACGTAGAACGGCCTGAGGCAAAAAATCGGCACAAAATCCACCTGCAAAACTTCCAAGCACAGCACTGACAGTCACCAAGAGCGTCAAATGCAAGTCGATATGTGCATGGCTCGCATGCCCAATGTAACCAGCAAAGCATTTCATAGATATCACCATCAAAGAGGTTCCAATCGCTTCCGTCATCTGTAAACCACCAAGGAAGACCAGGGCTGGAACCACCAAGAATCCACCTCCAGCACCAACCATGCCAGTAACCATGCCAACCAGAAAGCCATCCAACAAAATTCGCCACAGTGACAGTGGTAAGTTGTGGCTGGATGACCTGCGAGAGCCAGAGGCACCTTTGTCGGAGAACTCTTCACCTTTTTCATTCTCCGAATGTTCATTCGACTCATTCTCATTCTCGTCTGAGTCATGAGATTCATGAGCTATGGCAGGTATGGCAGGCATGACTTGATACTGGGCTGCCGTGTCCTTGCACAGCATGGCCGTAGCAGTGGCCAGGGTCATGCCTGCGAAGATGAGCATCAAAAAATGCTCCGAAATGTAACCAGCAATGATGCCACCCAGAAATGCCCCTGCCATCCCAGCCATTCCAAAGATGGCACCCATTGTCCAATTCACATTTCCAGAGCGGGCATGGGAAATCAAGGCAGATGCACTGGTAACTCCCACCACCACCAGGGACATCGCAATGGCTTCCTTGGCATCCACATGTAACAAATACACCAAGATAGGCACTGTGAGAATGGACCCACCACTTCCAAGCAAACCAAGAGAAAGGCCGATCAAGAAACACAGTAAAATGGCGAAGGTCTGCATATTTTGGGGACTGTCCGCTTTCAAATCCATGGCGACCATGGCGGGATGTGCCTCTGTGGATGCTGCGGATGCTGATGTAATGTCACATGCCTTGCACTACTGTAATTATTCCATCTATTCCGCTGTTTTCATATCTGAATTTTAGGCAAATGATAGGGTGAAAGGCGGCAAGAATGAGAACTAATGGATTTTCAGTGTCTCCACAGCTCAAAAAGAGCGGAGACTACTGGGACCATGATGGCTATGACGGCTTGCAGCCACAACGACAGCCACCTGCTGAACACGCTCGGGCTCAATGGCAACTGTGGAGATTCAATGGACGTGCACAACGCCATCGGTGGCTTGTCTGAAAAGACATGTGTTGATCACTTGATCAGCATTTTCTCAACCATCAATGATTGATAATCACAACCATAACCTCATTGAAATGATCATTAAATGATCATTAAATATAATCATTGAATGATCATTGGCCATACAAACTATCTGTGCAATTCTGTGCACCTTTTGACGTGTTTCAAGTCATGGGGCCATTGCCACCATTGGCCATCCAGCGCAGGAGAGCCAGGCGATCCGCAGGGGACATGGCCTCGCTGCTGTTCTGAACAGGGTACTGCAATGTACTGCACCCAACAAAGGGGGGAAAAATGGGGAAAAGGTCTGAAAAAGTGATGCAAATGTGAGAAAATGGTATAAAAATGTATAAAATACATACATCTGACTATAGACTAGTTACTAGACTTCTTTTTCATGTTCTATGTGGCACCAGCCATAGTGGCTGGCTGAGATCAACTGAATGATACCAAATGGTACCAACTGCGGCAACTTTTTTCCATGTCGGCTTCGTGGTGGACGCACCGCGTGGACATGCGTGGACCACTTTCGCTTCTTCTTCTTCTTCGGAGGCGTCGCTACCGAGACCTGAGGCGTCTGAGAACATTGAGAAAACAGGAGAGCCATGTCGTCATAAGCCAATCGCTTGGCCAATTGGAGAGGGGTTTCATCGGTTTCACCCTCTGTGGTTTTGTTGATGTCAGCGCCATTTTGTAGAAGAAATTCAACTACTGGCCCTTGCCGATTCGACACTGCAGAGTGCAAAGGGGTTGCTCCATTGTCTCTGGTTTGCTTGTTTAAATCAGCCCCAGCCTCAGTCAACTGTTGAGCAATGTACTCAAAACCCCTGCGAGCAGCATAATGCAAGGGAGTCTCGCCATTGTCAGTTGTTGCAGCATCCGGTTCACTGCCATGTTCTAGCAACAGCTCGACAATGCTTGCACAATCCTCCCATGCTGCAGCATGCAAAGCTGTGGCGCCATTCTTGGTGACCTTGTTTTGATCAGCTCCAAATTGAAGCAACAACTCTGCGAGCGTGTGGTCCTGATTGCTGGCCGCCAAATGCAACGCAGTCTCCCCGGTGTCGGTTGTGGCCACATCTTTCTGGGCGCCTTGCTCCAACAGCAGTTCCACGACCTCGACAAAGCCATTCTCTGCCGCCAGCAGCAGAGGCGTCGCCTGCGCGTCGTCCGCGGTGCGACGGTCCTTTTCGGCTCCTGCGGTCAAGAGCTGCTCGACGATCTCCACGGAACCCATCCAGGCGGCTGCATGGAGCGGAGTGGCATCATCATCATCCACCGGGTCACAGTTAGCACCTGCTTCCAACAACAAACGGACACAGTCCTCCCTCCGGTGCATGGCTGCCGCATGCAGGGCAGTCCAGTTCTTGGAGTCGGACTTGGAGAGATCTGGGTTCAGAGGACGTTTCAGTAGAGCTTCGAGCACATCTAGCTGGTTCTCTTCACATGCAAGCGACAGTTCTTTGGCTTGCTCAGGATCAGAGGGCCAGAACTCCAGCATCACCAAGCGCAGAGTCATGGGGGCCATGGGTTCATCATCACCAAGTTCCTGCTGATCTTCAGTATACAATTTCTGGCGGAACCTGGAACATTGAATCAGAGTAGACAGGCGTTGCTTCAAATCTTTGGCAGACTTGCCTTCAAAGTCCGCTGCATCAAAGGCTGCAATCTCTTCACCACTCACTGCCGAGGAAACTCGAATCATTTTCAACTTGAGCGCCAAATGGGCTACGGGCTATGGGCTGCTGGTCTTCATGGCTCAAGCAATCTGTTGGGGCCTTTCTCCGAATCATACCAGCGAAAAGGAATGACAGTGGAAGTCAATAGTTTCAGCTAAAGGGGCTATGTGAGAAAATATGATGACACGTTGAAGTCTTCACCCCGTTGCTTTTGTAAAAAGCGCAAGGATTTCTTCATGAACAATATCTATACTGACTGCTGTGTTTGATGTGGCGGAGAAATGCAGCTGGTACCACGACATCTAGAAGTTGATCATCAAATCACAAAGGTCATCAAAATTCCTGGGTCTTCTATGGTCTTCTGCCCTCGGTCCCTTGTTGCAGCTTGTTGCAGCTACATGGTGCCACGATGTGCCAAGTCACATGAAGAGCATCTGATTGTTGCTCACGGGTTTCGAGGCTTCCTAAGCCCAGGCATCGATATCAAGTGCCACGAGTAAGATCCAAAGAGAGAAAGGGAAGAAAGGGAAGAAAGGGAAACAAAACTGCAAAAAGTGAAGCTCTATGAAACCCATACTGAAACCCTGCACGCGCATCTTTCCAGCCAGCTTTGTTAGGTTCAGGTTCATTCGGTTTCAAAATGTCTCAAATAGTTTTCACCATCTTTCACCAAGAATCAAAATTAGAAAGTTGATGAAAGTTGATGAAAGTTCCATCAATGGACCATCTTTGCCAACCGAAAACGCCGAGACATGCCGAGTAGCTCAGGTGATCATGCAGCTCTTGCGGGTCCCGCCCATCCGCCTGGCGAGGTCCCCAGAAATGTCGAGGAATTCAACAAAGAAACGCTGAGGATACGCTGAGGTATATGTTAATAAGTGATAAGTATGTGTTTAAAAACATGTGCGTGCGTCTCTATATACATAAATATAAATATAAGTATTATATATATGTATATAATTATATATAACAAACAGATCATTGTCATACATTTAAAATATATTATTACATAATATTACATATGATACATATAGTGCGATATTTACCATCTGGTTATTTAACATAGCCATGGAAAATCACCATTTTTAATGGGTAAACCATCTATAAATGGGCCATTTTATATAGATGTCATAGCCGCCTCATCAACGCCAGGGAGCTGCATTAAGCGAATCACAGGGAATGGGTGCACCGTCTTCACCTCTGGATCTGGAAAGGACGCCAGGGGCACCATGAAACCCCATGGGATCCCATGGGCAAATGGATGAAACACTTGTTACAATATACATATATATATATATTTATTTATTTATATTTATTATTATTACTACTATTGTTCTTATTATTAGTATTATTATTGTATTGATTTATAATGATTTATATTATACCTTGATATACTTTGAACTTTGAACTATGTCGGGAGCATGTCAGCAGTGAGCTCCCAGATTGGCACAGGTGTCAGGCAACATCAAGCGAGATCAGGCAACTAAGCATCCAACCGACAAATTGTACATCCCCATGTTTAAACCGCGAAGGCTGCCTAGGACCCGGCTGTACATCTTACGTCAACTTCCACGAAGCTCAATGACAAAGATGCATGCTGATGCAGGTTTAACAGAAACATACAGAAACAAAACACTGAAAGCAACCTGCATCACTACTCATCACTACTCATCACTTTACACTGGGGTGCAGGCCATCCTTCATTTCAGCTGGCCAAAGGGCAAAAACATCAGGACTTCTTCGAAGGGAACCCTTGCTGAAACGAACTGCAACAGCTCCAGCAGTCCGCTTCTGCGCATATTGCCATAACAGTTGGTAAGCAGGTTCCCAAAATCTCAGCTCAACCTCCACACCAATGGGCCGTTCTCCCTGTTCAATTGGAGAAAATACGCAGGGAAGCACTGCTGCTTCCAGTCGTTGTCGTCCAAAGCTGGGGATCCGATTGAGGACCTCCGGGATTAAGACCGGAGTTTCTTCCGGCTCGTCTATCTCGTCTATCTCGTCTATCGCTTCTTCGACCTTTTCTGGATTCCCAGGCACTACCAAGGGAACCGAAGGAACTGCAGGAACTGCTGCATCAGGGCGCTTGGCTTTGGTCGTTTTGGTCGTTTTGGTCGTTTTGGTCGTCCCCGCAGTCTTTGCATTTTTGGCTCGTTCCTCTGCCAGCTGCAGCATGTCTTCCAAAGACAGACCTGACTCAAAGTCGGCGGCCCTTCGTGGCACTCGGACATTGGAAGCATTGGAAGCATGAAAAATGTTAACGAAATGCATCGGTGGCTTCCACCAAAGGAAACATAGGAAACTCAGTACGAGCTCGGCATGGCGATGGCGGAAGCCCTGGACGCTGGCCATGTCGACCTGCTTGAGATATGACCACAATCGACCACATGCAATGCGAGCTGCGTTAAGATCAAATACAAGGTCAACTTATGTCAACTTTGTACCTAAAAGGCGCAAGTGTCACAAGAGTCACAAGAGTGTTATGGTTACCAGTGCTATCAAACGTGCTTGCTTGGAAAGTGATTATTTGAAATTATGTTATTTAATTTCCATTTGGCGTATCATAACATATCTCTGTATTTGTCATTTGTGCTTGAGCTTGATACTTTAAAAACTCCGCGGGCAAATGCAACAAATGCTAGCCGAACAACGACAGCACACATCAACACTTTGCTGCAGCACAGTACGATGAAGCCTGGACCCTACACTGCGACACTGCCACTCGTTTTGATTCCTTATACTGGGTACATCTGGGTACAGTCTCAAGCCATGAGGGTGTTCCTCAGCGTCTTCGCTTGCGGCTGCGGCTGCGCGTCCGCGACCGGTGGTCTCTGTCTTCCTTCCGATCTCGATCCTTGTGCTCTTTGTGCTCTTTGTGATCCTTGTGATCCTTGTGGTCTTTGTGGTCCCTGTCCTTGTGGTCTCGGTCCCCTCGGTCCCCTCGGTCCCCTCGGTCCCCTCGGTCCCTCTCTCCTCGGTCGCCCCGATCACCTCGATCGGCTTTTTCACCTCTCTCTTTCCTCTCCTTCTTTCTTCCCTCAGTGGCTCCGGCCTCTTCTGCCTCTCCATCTCCCAACGGAAGAGGCCCTCCTATCCAGAAGCGCCGCTCAGAATCTCCCAAGCGGAAAACACAAAACTCTCGAGTGAGCTTCTTCTTGGCATCCATTGGCTCGATGGTCTCCATCTTCTTGGTACTTGCTGAGGTGTATCGCTTTGGAGGCTTGCCATCTGAATCCTTCAAGTGGGGATGCAGGGTCATGCTCTCAACAGTGACTGGGCCATTCACTGCCTTCAGGAACCACCTGCTCTTCATGTAGTAGATAGCAGCGTGTTCTGGCCTCACACCTTTGTTGCCATCATACACCATGCCATCTACTTCCTGTGATGATCCAAAAGTGACATGGGACATCTCATCCAGTGGCAATGACCGACTGGTGGCGTTGGGATCCTTGATTTCTTCCATGTCGAAGCAGTACAGCATGAAGGAACCAGGTGGTGGTGCCTCACATCTGTCTGGTGGTTTCCACGGCGGCAACAAGTCCTTGAACTGTTTCTTCTCTTCACCAGGCGGGGCCTGCCAGCAAGAGCTCTGCAAAACTAAAACTGCATCAATGAGTTCAATATAGTTCAAGCATTTTCAAACATGCTGCGAAAACCTGCACGTAGCTGCCACTGCCACAAGAAAATAACATGTGAACGTGACTTGGGTGACTGACTCATGCAGCATCTGTAAACTGTGCTGTGCCAAAACGGGTCTCTGTCAGTAAACTGAAGCTAATTTCAGCAAAATTAGCATCTAGATATATCTAGATAGCAGCATATAGCAGCTAATGTCTCCAGCTAATTGGTGTCACAATTTGTCCAAGTCCCAAGGCCTTCTTTTTGAAGGGCGATGGCCCTGACATGAAGGCGCATTGCGCCAATGGACCGTATGCCATGGCTGAGCCCTCTGCGCCCGCCTACACCGCCTACACCGCCCTCCTCTCCCAGGTGCTGATTTAGCCAGGGCGGTGCCGTGGAGCCACCCCGGGCTGGAGCCGAAACAGCCGAAAACAGCAGCAAACGTCTTGATATGGTGCAGTTTGTTATGGCTTGTGATGACTTGCTTCTTTTTTTGTTAGTTCTTCAAAGAACAACATGCATTCAGCAAAACCCCGTCTAGCGACTCTAAATGACTTGCCACTTGCACTGATTTTGTGCCAAGATATGCACCATCATTTTTCGCCCAAATAGTTTTGTCAGCTGCGGATTGCCCGATGCTCCAAACAGATTCCGGAACTGGTGGGCTGAATTAGTCCACTGCCGTTTCCCTACGCTACAAAGATCATACAAAGATCCCTCAGCGTCTTCGCTTGCGGCTGCGGCTGCGCGTCCGCGACCGGTGGTCTCTGTCTTCCTTCCGATCTCGATCCTTGTGCTCTTTGTGCTCTTTGTGATCCTTGTGATCCTTGTGGTCTTTGTGGTCCCTGTCCTTGTGGTCTCGGTCCCCTCGGTCCCCTCGGTCCCATCGGTCCCCTCGGTCCCCTCGGTCCCCTCGGTCCCTCTCTCCTCGGTCGCCCCGATCACCTCGATCGGCTTTTTCACCTCTCTCTTTCCTCTCCTTCTTTCTTCCCTCAGTGGCTCCGGCCTCTTCTGCCTCTCCATCTCCCAACGGAAGAGGCCCTCCTATCCAGAAGCGCCGCTCAGAATCTCCCAAGCGGAAAACACAAAACTCTCGAGTGAGCTTCTTCTTGGCATCCATTGGCTCGATGGTCTCCATCTTCTTGGTACTTGCTGAGGTGTATCGCTTTGGAGGCTTGCCATCTGAATCCTTCAAGTGGGGATGCAGGGTCATGCTCTCAACAGTGACTGGGCCATTCACTGCCTTCAGGAACCACCTGCTCTTCATGTAGTAGATAGCAGCGTGTTCTGGCCTCACACCTTTGTTGCCATCATACACCATGCCATCTACTTCCTGTGATGATCCAAAAGTGACATGGGACATCTCATCCAGTGGCAATGACCGACTGGTGGCGTTGGGATCCTTGATTTCTTCCATGTCGAAGCAGTACAGCATGAAGGAACCAGGTGGTGGTGCCTCACATCTGTCTGGTGGTTTCCACGGCGGCAACAAGTCCTTGAACTGTTTCTTCTCTTCACCAGGCGGGGCCTGCCAGCAAGAGCTCTGCAAAACTAAAACTGCATCAATGAGTTCAATATAGTTCAAGCATTTTCAAACATGCTGCGAAAACCTGCACGTAGCTGCCACTGCCACAAGAAAATAACATGTGAACGTGACTTGGGTGACTGACTCATGCAGCATCTGTAAACTGTGCTGTGCCAAAACTGGTCTCTGTCAGTAAACTGAAGCTAATTTCAGCAAAATTAGCATCTAGATATATCTAGATAGCAGCATATAGCAGCTAATGTCTCCAGCTAATTGGTGTCACAATTTGTCCAAGTCCCAAGGCCTTCTTTTTGAAGGGCGATGGCCCTGACATGAAGGCGCATTGCGCCAATGGACCGTATGCCATGGCTGAGCCCTCTGCGCCCGCCTACACCGCCTACACCGCCTACACCGCCTACACCGCCTACACCGCCCTCCTCTCCCAGGTGCTGATTTAGCCAGGGCGGTGCCGTGGAGCCACCCCGGGCTGGAGCCGAATGCAAATGTTCGGGTGCTGGAGCAGATTAGCTGGAGCCACCGCCCACTCTGCCAATCTGATCCAATCTGCGCAACTGTCACGGCATCAGCATCCCCCAGGCTAAGACAGTGGTGACTATGAGAGCCAGACTTGGCATCTTCACCATGAATCTTACATTTTTTAGATAGACAAACAACGGTACGAATCATTGCCTTCCCTTGTCTCCCTTTGGAGGACTGAAGTTTCGAACTTTCTTTGCACCTATAAGGTCGTGGTATCTCCTCAGTCTGGCACGTTTTTGCAATTTTTTGCCAATCAGGCAAAAACGCGATTCGTTTTCATGATTCATCATGATTCTCCAGTCCTTCTTTGGAACTGTGAGCCCTGTGTGCTCATGTTTTCGAGCAACGCAGTGCGTCCATGTCAGGCCATGTCAGGCCATGTCAGGCCATGTTTGTGTTCAGCTTGTGCTTCAAACCCTCGATCCGTTTCTTCTGTGCCTAGCATTCGAGAGAGGATTCATTCGAGAATCCCCAGTCATGGGCAGTGACCCATCCGCCGCCATGAAAACATCAACAAAACATGAAGAAAACATCAACAAATTCTTGCCTGAAGCAGGGTTTCCACGTCCATGTTCGCATCCACCGTCTTGGGCACCTGGTCATCAAATATGCAGTGTCGTCACCGCACACCACAGATCTTTCAACAAGAAATGGTATGAAATCCATTGAAATCCTTAAGATCTACAGACTTAGATCTGAAAAATGTCACCCAAGGACAATGAATGGCATCTAGCAAAAGGAGGCAGACTCAGCATGCGGTTCATCTCATTTCATTTTGTACTTTTCTTGTGAGACCAGCTTTACTTCTGTTTGGTTTCGTTTCTGACGGAGATTTGCTGATCTTTGGGATTTCATGGCGATTGGTCAACGGAAATCAGAGATCTCTGCCGTCTCTGCCTGAGACTTTTCCTTCACCAATGGAGCAGAAGATGAGCCTCCGGGGAGACGGAAACAAAATAAACAAAGCTCCAAGCTCAGAATGCTCAGAGCACTGAAAATGTAAGATTGAAATATTAGCATAGTGGCATAGTGTATAAAAATTCTACAACAAAAATATCAACTACTGTTCATTCTGAATCATTTTGACGATTCATTTGACGAAAATGGGACCTGTCATGCCCATGGATTTCTGCTCCCAGCTTCTGGGATCCTCTCTGCCTGAGCGATGCAGTGATTGATTCAATCACTGCAAGCGCTTAGACTCTGAGAAGTACAGATGAGTCTCGAAAAAACTCGAAACTATGAATGAACCACGTGCCAAATGTGGTCAAACGAAATGCACTTGCAACGCAATCAGCAAGTCGGCATGTTTTGCGCGGCAAAACGGTTGATGCAAATGGCTCTGGATCCTTGAGGAGCCAACGGAAATCATGGACAGGATGGATCAATGCTCAGAAGCAACACCAAAATCACACTGCCATATTTTCTTTTGATCCATCTACGTCCCTAAGCTGTATGGTGCTACGCTGAAGCCACTGAATCAATTCAAACATCAGGGCTTTGCTAATCTTCGTGAGGCCGTCTGCCCGTTGAAGATGGGTCGGTACCCAATGTACAGTTCTATGATCTATCAGCTCTTGAATCGATCTAACGTTCACCAAGCTTCGCTTGTCTTGGATGCTTGGGTTCGGCGAAGCTACAGTGTCATACAGGCTTTTGCAGTCTGTGACAAGAAGTGTTGTGAGACGTTTACCTACTCTATGAGCTGGAATGCCGAAAATGAGTTCTCCCAGCATGTAGCTCAAAAACGCAAGCCGATCGGTCGCAGTGTCAGCGCTCACTGCTTCAGCTGCCAGAGTAGAACGGCAAACTCTCTTGCTTCTGCCAGTCTTCCAGTCTGCAATGGCTCCAATTGAAGTGCACTCAGTGACATTCGCAGAGGTCAACATGATGATCTGTCCATGTTGGCTGGCAGATCCCTGTGCGTTCGCCCAGGATGCATCACTGTACCCAACAATCACAGTGCTCTGATCAATGGGGACAGCTCGGATGCAAATGCCAAGTTCCGCAGTTGACTTCGCAAAGTCCAAGGTCTGGTTGAGGGCATCCAAATCAGCATAGGTCGTCTCAGACCCACGATTTGACAAGGAAACTGCGCTGGCTAAGTCAAGCCTGCATTGTCCTGCCAACCATTGAAGACATCCGCTCACTGACCGAAACTCAGGCCAATGCTCATCAGAGATCTTCGCATTCATCTTACCTTTCGGAATTTTCATGCCCTTGTCCAGACTGTTGATGAATGTAGTCTGAGTGATCTTGACATAGAGCTCGTTCTTCTCGTCATGACATATATGGATCTCTTTGCCCTTGAACGTGAGAGGTGCTCCGGGCTGCGCATACTGCTGGGATCCCCATTTGAAGCTGGCTTGGAACTTCTCAAAGGGGAAGCTGGAGTTGTGAGTCAGCAGAAAATCATCCACATAGCAGATCAGCAAAGCGCAAGGTGCAGGAGCGTTGTGAGGATCAGGGAACCAAAACAACATTTTGTCAAAAGAATGACAAATAAAGCCTATTGCTTCCAATCTGCGGCTCACTTCAACAGCCCAAGTATATGGGGCATTTGAAAGTCCATATATATTTCCAGTTATCTCATACAGCTGACTTTTGAAAACTTTGGCTCTTTCGACTATGGGATCCCTTGGAGGTTTCAGATACAGCTTGCCTGCTCGTTCTGACCAATCTGGATCCCCTTGGAGAAACGCAGTGGAAGCGTCTCCGCACCAAAGAAGCCAAACATCTCGACTTCCAAAAGCCTTTGAATTGGCGCCAGAAACAAAGATGATGTACACCAACATCTCTGAAGTCCTCGTAGGAGTTGGAGCCTGTCTCGTCAAATTGACTAGGTCAGGGTCTTGGTTGCCACGACAGACTATTCTGGTCTTAGCCTTCAGCGGTGGAACATTCTTGTTCTTGTCCCGGTAGCATCCCCTGGAAGTGATGATGCGCTTCTTCAACTTCGGGTCATTCAGGATGCGCCGAGCTTCATCTTCAGGAATCGGCTGCAGGGACTTCCAAGTGGTGAAGCTGTTTGCCTCCTTGATGGTGGCTTCGACAAAGGCTTGGATATAGTCGTCAGACTGCTGCATGATTTCTCGCCAGCTAAGTTCTTTCTCCTGAGCCTTTTGCTCTTTCCTTGTTTTTCTAGGCATGCCTTTCGACATGTCATCAAACTCTTCATCTGACTCTGAAAGTGTCGTTTCAAAGTCGCCTTCTTTCTCCGCAAGCTCGTTGACATAGGCAGTGATGAAGGTTTTGGAAGAGCTTGGGAGGCAATTGTCAGGGCTGCCATCCCATCCAGGCTCAAAGGAGTTGAGCTCACGATCGCTCGCAAAGAAGCTGGGAGCTTGTTTCGCACCAACATGCCATAGTTCCGTCAGGGTGCTCAACTCTGATCCAAAGTGATGGGCCTCTTCATCGTCATTGTCGTTGAAGGGACCTTCAAAAATGATGTCGCCCGATGTGGCGTCCAAAGTGCGCCTCCATTTCACTGAAGACATGGGTGGTCCATCTTCTTGGGCGATTTGGTGAGCAAATCAAGCCTTGCCCAGCAGCGTAAGCCTTGAAGAGGTGGCCCATAGAAGCTGCGGTAGTTGTAGAGCTCGTAGGACTTCTGTGCAACTCTTCTGGCTCGTGTGAGTTGTGCTGCCAGGGTTTCAAATGGCCGCTTCAAGACTGATGTTGCTTCAATTTGATCCTGATAGGGATCCTGTGCTGCTTGCTGTGCATCTTCCATCAGTTCTGGCGGAGTCCGTGGAACAAATTGTCCCGGATCATCCAAATCATCTGTGAGATCCACAGCTGGCTGAATGTTGGGATCAGTTTGTTGTTGTGCTGTACGTATGGATGGGTGTAGATGTGGCTGTGGTAGAGGTGGCATGGCTGCTGTGCTCTGTGCGTATGGTGCCGCATCTGTGGATGCTCTGGCGGTGTTGGCGTGTCTGTCAGGTGGGTGTGTAAGTTCTGCTTGTCTGCTTTGTATCCTGTGTCTTGTCTGAGTCGGTGTTCTTGATCGAATTCTTCTGGATGGCATATGGGGAACTGGTGTTCCAGGTGCTGGCTCGTGGAAAATGTTCTGTGTTTGTTGTATGTTTTGATGTAAATGGATTGATGGTCTTGATGATGGTTGCTGTGGTGGTTGTGGAGGTTGAATCTCAATAGGCTGGTTGCTGACTTGAAGATTGGACGTAGATGGGGCTTCGACTGCTTCAAGCTGAGGAGCAATTGGCGCATTCACTTCTGGGTACTCAAAGTCCAAGTCCAATTCCCCAGAAGCTTCAGCGACTTGGTCAGGTGGATGAACTTCTTCTGGAAGGGTCTCGTCAGTCCACAAATCTGACCTGATGTTGTCCTCCGCATTCTTGAGAGCTTGAAGATCTTGACGATCAGGGACATAGTCCTCATAGCCGAAGACATCTCGAACTTGGGTGTCAGCAACTTTGACAGTATGACTGCCACTTTGAAGCCACAGAGTTTTGCCATCTGGATCTTTCCCCAAATACCGCGCAATGCGGTATCCTCCACGTTTGCGATGAGAACGTGTAGTCCATCGCCAGTATGCCAAGAGGGATCCTGGCTGGGGCTCAAGCTGCAGCTGCTGTGAAGTTTTGCGAAGCAATGCCCTTCTCAAAGTCGAAGATGCTGAGGCCTCTGCAATTGCTTTCAACGCTTCGCATCTCATCAGGGCAGATTGCTGCTGAGCCTCAGAGCGAGACGAGCCAGAAATCAAAGCCCGAGGATCGCTCAAAAGGTCTGTGCCAACTCTTGGGATCTTTCCAAAGGCTGCGATGTATGGTGGTCGCCCAGATGACCAAGTGGCTGAGTTCTTGGCCTGAAGTGCTGAAACAATGGCCAAGTCAATGTCATCCGCATCGGTACAAGGCATGGAGTCGACGATGCGCTCCAGGAGCATTCTAAGCATTCCATTGTGACGCTCGATCACGCCCAACTTGTAGTGAGCTTCTCCTGGGATGACATCTAGATAGGCGCCACCTGCGCTCATCTTTTCGTCAAACTCAGCTTTGAAGGCGCCATCATCATCAACTGCAAGCCTCAAAGGAAATCCAAAATTCTGAAGCCAGCAAAGTCGAAGTGCCTCAAAAACCTCAGATGGATTCCTGGAAGTCAACCTTGTGGCAGCATGCAAATGAGTTGCTTCGCAAATCACCCCAAGAACCGGATGGTTCTTCGAAGTCAAATCTCTCAGGTAGAAGATGTCCGCCTGGAGGTTGTCAGCAAATTGCCCAATGCACTGTGGAGGTGCCGCTGCTGGGTTTGGTCGAAGTGGAGCTCGTGAGCGAGCGCAAGCTGCACACTGCATATTTTTGATGCATTTGATCACCTGGTCACTGGTGATGCCATTCAAAGCCAGCAGCTTCAGCATCTCTGGACCTGGAAGATGTCCAAGGTTCTTGTGCATTCTCGACACCGACACCTTGATGGATCTGTCGATGCCTGTGGAGTTGGGAAAAGTGATTTCATCATGGTAAATCTCGGAGTTCTGAATTGGTTGTGAAGCTTGAGATGGCTGAAAGTTGCCTGCCTCATCCACAGGAACTCCATCTCGCATCATGGCCTCTTCGGCTGGGATACCTTGTTCCTCATCAGTCTCATTGGGGTACCCATACCAGAAGATGCCCAGCTCAACAGGTGCCTTGAAGCGTGAACGTGGAAATCTGAGTTCAGTCAAGTCCTCAGTGATGACATCAACTTCAGGATTGTCCACGTACCTGAGAGCTGCGCCTCGATGGGTGTATGGAAAATGCAATGGATGTCGATTCACCAAAGGTCTTCGAGCGACCTGCACCCGAGTGAGCTGCCATGGAAGCATTGCTTGAACTTGAGCATATAGTGGTTCGTGAGGTTGGATGATGGCATCTCGCGAAGTCAAAAAGTCCATATGCTGAGATGCCAACTCCATCACGTTCCTCCAGCTCTGTTGGTCATCCACGGGCATGGAAAAACTAGCCAGGACTTGCTTGGGCTGGAAACGGCATGGGTTTCTCAACTGAGCCACCTTCTTGATGCCCTTGAGAATTGCCTGGACTAGACCCATGGGATAATGCTGTGACAAGGTAACCTCTTTGCCTTCCAGGGGAACGCACAAAGCAAGCTGCTCGGCGCTCAACTTCTTGGTCAAAAACTCCAAGAGCATGGGATTGTTGGATGCAAACTGGAAGGTCTTCTTAATGGGTTCACCTTTTGAATTCTTGCCTCCATATGCTCCAGAATGGCATTCGACGATCTGGCCATTCGTATATTCAAGCATCTCCAAGACTGATTCCTCCGACCAAATCCGGCTTCTTTCAGGATTTTCGATGAGGTAATAGTTGCCGTCATCATGTTGTTGTCGGCACCATTCCATGGATTTGACCACCGTAGGTCGTTCCTCATCTCTGATCCTTTCAAGTACCTCAGGACGGTCGTTATAGTTCATGTTTTCCTGCATGACCAACCATGGAGTGCAATGAAGGCCTTGAAGAAGAACAAGTGGATGCAAGGCCTTTCGAATTTTGAAGCTCCAGTGTTGACCTTCCACCGTAGAAAGATCAGTGCCAGTGTAGTAGTCCAATGGCATGGCTGCTGTCAAACCATACTTGGAGGCATCCTTGCTTATCAAAGCATTGCCGGCAAAGGTCTCCAGAATGTCGACCTTGTTCCTGGAATAGCGATGTTTGTTCGCCAAAGCTTCATAGGTGTCTGCTTCCACCTGCAAGGCATGTCGAGCCTTGCGAATCTTGCCAATCAGGTACTTTCGGTGGCCATCATTCAACCCTGGTCCTCGCCCCAGTCGTACAGATCTTCCTGACTGCCTGTCTCCTGCCACTCCATCTCCAACTCTGGATTGGGTGGGCCCTCTGCGGCCATGTTCAAAAGTCGTTGATAATGAACTTGGTGGATCTGATGGATGTTCTCGGCCGTGAGCAGGTTGAGGTCGTCCAGAACATGTTGAGGAATCTCCTGCACTGTAGGCTTGTTCAAAGGACTCTGAGAAGATGGATGGCCACGGCTCTTGGCTTTGGGTTTGGCTTTGGCTTTGGAGGTTGTTGCTCTCAGGGACCTCGACGTCGAGGATGCCGGCAAAGTGTTTGAAGGTGAGGGCTGCGGCAAAGAAGAGCTTGCCGATTGTGCGAGCCCAATGTCCTCCCAGCATTGACCTCGAGGATCCCATTTGCGTCTGGTGTGACACAGGGTGCACCTGGCGAAACTGCCCTTGAGATTGCCGTACCTCTTCCATTCCGGATGGGTGCATTCCGATGGGTGGTACTGAACGCTCCTCATCTGTGAAGCCAGTACCTCTTGTTCTTGTCGCATCTCCCATCGCTCCCTCAGTGTCAACCATACGCGGCTCGCCAATCCCACTTTGACCATTCGAGACATCCATCGAAGGGTCATGAGCTCCAAGTTGAGCACTGCCAAAATGAGTGCCTTCCATCGGAGCAGCCATTGAGGAACGGGCTGTCGAATCATCAGAAACTGCAAACACAGGGGCTGGCTGATCTCGAGGAAGTTGCTGCTTCAGACGCAAAACGTCACTGGTGGCAATGATCTCTGGATGTGGATCTTTCCAAAAACTCTCATGTGAAAGCGCATGCCAAACAGGATCTTGATGAACATGTTCATGAAACTCTGAAATTGAAACTGCAAGATGTCCATTGATCTTCTGAATCGGCACTGAAACATCCAACGCTCTAAAAAAAACTCTCTGCTTTCCCAGATCAACCACTGTGTCCAGCTGTTCCAAAAACGTGTTTGAAGCCAACAAAGGAATGCTAGTGTCAACCACGCTGGAACCTATCAAAAACAAACATCCACCCAATGACACCGGCATGTAAACTCGGTCCTTGGCATAGATAGGCTGCCCACGGCCAAATTGGAAAGCCTCACAGGTGTCAACATGCTTGACCATCATTCGATATTGGCCGAGGAGATGGACTTGTTGGGATAGCCATTGGGTGCCACAACACATACGCTGACATGCAGTGTCTAAAATCATAAAACCAACCAGTGGGGTCATATCGGTCATCATGATGTCATATACCGGAGTGTTGATATTCACAACCATGAAGGAGAAATAGTTAGGAACTTCAGGATGATCAGTTGGGAGATGTCGAGGCTCAGAATCTTGATCTTGAGACATGGTGAAGAAAACCTTTTTCGCAGGCTTGCCGCCCTTGTCAGGCTGGGATTTTCCATCCTTTGAATGTCCTTTCCCAGCACCTTTTGATGAAACAGTACATTCTGCATCTCCGGCACAGTGCCCTACACTTCCACAAGCGCTGCAGTGGCTGGTGCGTTTCCGGTCCTGAATTGACCGATTGCCAGAGTACTTTCTCCCCAAAGTGATCGACTGAAGTTTCTTGGCTGTGACAGTCAGCACTTCAGCAACTGACTGCAAATCAACACCTTCAGATTCTGCTTCTCCATCAACATCATGTTCCTCAGCTGGCTCATCCTGCTGAGGCTGACCATCTGGTTCAACTGCATCTTGAACATCATAGTACGATTCAGCGTCTGGCTCTTCTTGTTCTTCTTCGACCGGATCAAGATCCTGGTGCTCAGTCGCAAAAGCATGGCGAGGAGCAAAACCACTCTTGCCAGAGCCCTTGCTTTTGCCCTTGTTTCCTTTGGAAGACTGTGAGGCAGCTGAGCTGGTGCTGGCAGAGGTCGAAGAAGATGAAGATGACCAGTCACGCCTTGGCTGAAAGGCTTTGATAGGCTGTCCATCTTTTCCAAACAAAGGTGGCGGCGGCTTGTGCTCTGGAAACGACATGCAAAGACTTTCAGCAATGGCTTCGAAGGACAAGTTGAAGGCCGATCCAATCAAAACCAATCTGCCGTTTTCAGGCGACAGCCGAGATCTCTCCAACAGCCTATTGCCCATTGACTCACTGTCGTACATGCCACTTGCAGTGACACCGACACTCTCAAGGGCTCGTTCAGCTCTTCTGTATCGGTTCACAAAAGCTCTCATAGACTCATTGCTCTGTCTCACAATGGTCTCAAACTCTGACATCAACTTCCTTTTCTGGTACACCATCTTGGTCTCCAGGCCTTTCTTCAACAAACTCTCCACATAGTCAATGCCTGTAGATGAATGCAAACGATCCAAGTCGATGTGCTCCAACTCCTCCTCCGGCTCACCAGAAAGACTCGTATATAACATCAGTGCCGCATCACGCAGAGGCATGTAGGCTTGGATCTGTCGCTTCCAAACCTGCAGTTTGTTCTGCCACTTTGCAAAGCTCCTGATATCATCTCTGGAATAGCGCCAGGCAGGTGGAGCTGGTGGTGCTCCTGATCGAAAACGAAGTCCACGCTCAGGCCCTTTTCGGCTGTTCCAGCTGTCCTGAGACGAGGATCCATCTGCATTGTTAGTGTTAGTCTTTAGGTTCGGTACATTCGCATTCTTCAGGGTCGTTACCAAGTCATTCAAACTGCGGTTGGGGTCACCAAGGAGTTCACCGGAACGCTGACTTAGTTCCGAACACTGAGAACTGCGATCTGACTGAGGTGATTGTTCTACATCAGGTCTTTTCCGGCGTCTTCTCCTGCGAGGCCGCTGCAAATCTGGATCAACCACAGGATCTTCCGTAGGATGCTCAGACTCAGCATGCCTTTCATGGCCATCATCATCCAATGAGCCTTCTGAAGGGTCAGGTGGAGGCCAAAAACGGGGTGCCCTAGAATCCGGCTGCAGTTCCACGGGCTCAACTGAGTGAACAGGGGAATGGCGAGGTGAATGCCGTGGCATGAACATCCATGTGCCCTCAGGAATCTCTGCTTTCACAGTTCTAGAAGCATCATAGTATCTATCACCATCACATTGAACACATCTCCAACAGTCATGTCGCCACTCGAATTTGTGATGATTACAGGCCATGCATCGCCAAAGTGAACTAGAAGCTGCACTAGCGGAATGAACTGGGCTCAACAAATCAACGGGTGGTCCTGGAACTGGCGCATCGAGCAATGGCGAGTCACAGGAGTCGATGTGGGCACGTTGGCCAAACATCTCGATGCACCAACGCAAGCTCCGGTGCCAGATGAATGAACCACGTGCCAAATGTGGTCAAACGAAATGCACTTGCAACGCAATCAGCAAGTCGGCATGTTTTGCGCGGCAAAACGGTTGATGCAAATGGCTCTGGATCCTTGAGGAGCCAACGGAAATCATGGACAGGATGGATCAATGCTCAGAAGCAACACCAAAATCACAACAAGTCCCAACATTGTTCGATATTCGCATCATTTGCCTCCGTGTAATCCTCCACCATGTCTCAGGTCGGGTGGCGTCCGTGGTTTCTCACGGTCGCGCATCCCTGCAAACAAAGAAACAAATTCAAAACCACTCTGAAAACCTCTGCCTTCTCAAAGAAATCAGTCACAAAGACTAAGTCAGACTAAGTCAGACTAACAATACTAAGAAATACTTTTGGCATTGTCAAGCAATGATTGCCAAACCCTCTTGAGGCAGAAAAAAAAAAACATCAGAAAACGCATGAGAAACTGATATTGATCAGGTACCCAGCTGCCTGTGCTCATGGATTTCGGTTCCCAGCTTTTGGGCCCCTCTCCTGTACAAAGCGCAATTTCCGGACTCAGGATTTACGCTGGTTCACTGGTTGCAAAATATAAATATATATATATATAAATATCTATATATATATTATATATATGCGTAATTAGCCTTGAAACCATTGAGATCCAATGAGCCATAGAAAGAAACGTCACGTTTGAACGTCAAGTGCGAACCAACTTGAATTATCAGCATAGAATCATGCACAAGGAGCATACTCAGCATAATCAGCGCAATCCGCATAATCCGCATAATCAACTCGAAAGAAGCAAGATGGATGCAATCTTTCAGCTGCAAGCACTTAGACTCTGAGAAGTACAGACAAGTCTCGAAAAAAACTCGAAACAAGTCCCAACATTGTTCGATATTCGCATCATTTGCCTCCGTGTAATCCTCCACCATGTCTCAGGTCGGGTGGCGTCCGTGGTTTCTCACGGTCGCGCACCCCTGCAAACAAAGAAACAAATTCAAAACCACTCTGAAAACCTCTGCCTTCTCAAGGAAATCAGTCACAAAGACTAAGTCAGACTAAGTCAGACTAACAATACTAAGAAATACTTTTGGCATTGCCAAGCAATGATTTCCAAACCCTCTGGCACTTTGACGCAGAAAAAAAAAAACATCAGAAAACGCATGAGAAACTGATATTGATCAGGTACCCAGCTGCCTGTGCTCATGGATTTCGGTTCCCAGCTTTTGGGCCCCTCTCCTGTACAAAGCGCAATTTCCGGACTCAGGATTTACGCTGGTTCACTGGTTGCAAAATATATATATGTGTAATTAGCCTTGAAACCATTGAGATCCAATGAGCCATAGAAAGAAACGTCACGTTTGAACGTCAAGTGCGAACCAACTTGAATTATCAGCATAGAATCATGCACAAGGAGCATACTCAGCATAATCAGCGCAATCCGCATAATCCGCATAATCAACTCGAAAGAAGCAAGATGGATGCAATCTTTCAGCTGCAAGCACTTAGACTCTGAGAAGTACAGACAAGTCTCGAAAAAAACTCGAAACAAGTCCCAACATTGTTCGATATTCGCATCATTTGCCTCCGTGTAATCCTCCACCATGTCTCAGGTCGGGTGGCTTCCGTGGGTTCTCACGGTCGCGCATCCCTGCAAACAAAGAAACAAATTCAAAACCACTCTGAAAACCTCTGCCTTCTCAAGGAAATCAGTCACAAAGACTAAGTCAGACTAAGTCAGACTAACAATACTAAGAAATACTTTTGGCATTGTCAAGCAATGATTGCCAAACCCTCTTGAGGCAGAAAAAAAAAACATCAGAAAACGCATGAGAAACTGATATTGATCAGGTACCCAGCTGCCTGTGCTCATGGATTTCGGTTCCCAGCTTTTGGGCCCCTCTCCTGTACAAAGCGCAATTTCCGGACTCAGGATTTAAGCTGCAAAATATATAAATATATATAAATATCTATATATATATATTATATGCGTAATTAGCCTTGAAACCATTGAGATCCAATGAGCCATAGAAAGAAACGTCACGTTTGAACGTCAAGTGCGAACCAACTTGAATTATCAGCATAGAATCATGCACAAGGAGCATTCTCAGCATAATCAGCGCAATCCGCATAATCCGCATAATCAACTCGAAAGAAGCAAGATGGATGCAACCTTTCAGCTGCAAGCACTTAGACTCTGAGAAGTACAGACAAGTCTCGAAAAAAACTCGAAACAAGTCCCAACATTGTCCTCCACCATGTCTCAGGTCGGGTGGCGTCCGTGGTTTCTCACGGTCGCGCATCCCTGCAAACAAAGAAACAAATTCAAAACCACTCTGAAAACCTCTGCCTTCTCAAGGAAATCAGTCACAAAGACTAAGTCAGACTAAGTCAGACTAACAATACTAAGAAATACTTTTGGCATTGTCAAGCAATGATTGCCAAACCCTCTTGAGGCAGAAAAAAAAAACATCAGAAAACGCATGAGAAACTGATATTGATCAGGTACCCAGCTGCCTGTGCTCATGGATTTCGGTTCCCAGCTTTTGGGCCCCTCTCCTGTACAAAGCGCAATTTCCGGACTCAGGATTTACGCTGCAAAATATATAAATATATATATAAATATCTATATATATATATATTATATATGCGTAATTAGCCTTGAAACCATTGAGATCCAATGAGCCATAGAAAGAAACGTCACGTTTGAACGTCAAGTGCGAACCAACTTGAATTATCAGCATAGAATCATGCACAGGAGCATACTCAGCATAATCAGCGCAATCCGCATAATCCGCATAATCAACTCGAAAGAAGCAAGATGGATGCAATCTTTCAGCTGCAAGCGCTTAGACTCTGAGAAGTACACCAGACAAGTCTCGAAAAAAACTCGAAACAAGTCCCAACATTGTTCGATATTCGCATCATTTGCCTCCGTGTAGTCCTCCACCATGTCTCAGGTCGGGTGGCGTCCGTGGTTTCTCACGGTCTTGCGAACCTACAAGGCATTACGGATTTACGGATTCCAACTGATGCTAAATGCGTCTGATATATATATATCATTATATATCAGTGTGTGTGTGTATTTTTATTTATCTATTACTATATATATTTTATATATAGGTTAAAATCCATTTGTTCCTGGTCTTTTCCTGAGGCCAGGGCTGGACAATGGAGTTTTGAAACTCGTAGGTTTCCATGCACTCACTGGGTCTCCTCACCATGAGCCAAGTTGCACTTTGATCGTCTACATGGGAAGGCATGTCATTGTAAGATATGGTAAGCTCTCCAGACTTCCAAGCTTAAATGAGTTTACAAGTGATGTATCTATGCGCATGGATACTGGATATCACTGGATATCACTGGATATCACTGGATATCACTGGAATCAGTCCAACCCTAGAAACGTGCCACAGCGGTCATCTTAGACACGTTTGGACCGTCCTCCAAACATACCTTCAAGATCCCGAGATCCAGAAGGTGTGGAATATGCAGAATGCCCTGAATGCCCTGCCGAACAAATGTCAGAAACAAATTTCAGAATTTTTGTCGTAACATGTCCTAACTTGCGCCTTGAAATTCTTTGGGAGTTGGTAGAGGTGGACCAGCCATCCCTTCACGTCCTGCCGGGAAGAGATATGCCTGATGTGCCTTGTGACGACAAAATACGACGACAAAATCCCCGAGTACCCCGCACCTCTCAGCAATGACCTTGGGAGAACGGAGTGGAACGGAGTGGATGCATCGTGATTTCTGATTTTCCCCTTGGGACATGAATTCAATGAAGCGAGATTGAAAACGGTGCCATCACGTGGCATCTGTGTTTAAAAATGCAACATGTGCTGATGGCCTCCCGGATCTCCCGGCCAACTCTTCGGACTAAAGCACGGACCGCTCAGGCAGAGAGCCAACCGAAGGTGATTCTGGTTGATATGGCGGTGGCGGTTCCCTGAAATCACCTGGAAGGTCTCATAACCGACTCATAACCCTCACATATGACCGAGCAAACTGAAAGTGAAATGGCAATGAACTGACTGGGCGTCGCCTTGAGATCTGCTTAAACCGGAGCCGGCCTGTAGGAGACATGGCACATGTCTGGCTCCCCTCCCTTTGGTTAACGGTTCTCCTTGGGTTGTTCCTTCATTTTCCCATCATCAGACTTATTTGTCCAAGAAAGTTGCAGTGTAGTTCAAGTACATTGCAACTAAAGTTGGCTGAAGGTGATCAATATAGCTATGCTGTACATACTGTACATATCTGTACATTGCGTATGGGTATGTATAAATCTAGAAGTTGGAACAAGATGGAACAACTTGACTAGGCGGTTCTCTTCCCTTCCACAGTTTGGAGTCCTGCCTGCATGTGTGGTGGACGAACAGGTCTGAGGTTGCGTGGATTCTCCCAGCCCTGTGATCAGCATGGGAATTGCTGTTAGAATTGCCATGGAATTGCCAGGCCTGAGGGGCATCCTTTCGCTCGAGTTCTTTGTCAAGCGCCTTTCCGACTGAGCGATAAAGAACGGGCAATCATTCTTAGAAGTTGGTATACTCAGTACATGTTGACACTTTGGAAACACGTATCCCGCGTAGGCCCACAAGTTTGCCAAATTATTCTCAAAAAAAATCCACATGTCACACATGTAAAAACATCTTGTGATCAAGTCTTGCTGTGCCAAGTGACATCATAGGCTCCTGCCAGAATACGAAAACTACGCTTTCTCCAGTGGGGCAAGTTATATAACAGTTTTGCCGTGCTGACTTTCATCACATTGATCTGCGCTAGTCTGCATTCCTACCTTCCTGGTTCCAAATCGTTCCAACAACTCTGAGCTCAAACTTCAAAACATCTCAGGAGATCAAAACATCAGAAGCTAAAATGAATCTGATTCTAACACTTTCACATTCCATGCTCAGTATCGAAACACCTTTACACCCAAATGCCCCGAAGTTTGGGAGTCAATGGGAGTCATGATGACCACAGCAAATGAGAAACCGTCAAGCAAAGCAACTCTGAATGAACCACACGCGTCTTCCCATTTGAAACTATCAAATTGCGTAAAATTGAGTACCCAGAAGAGCCATAAGAAACAAGACAAACTGGCTATGCACAACAGGATACAACAGGTCTGCCGAAAAATGCCAAAAAGCCCCAGTGACTTAAGCTTTAGCGATTATATAAATGGGAAAAAAAAACACTGAAAGAACTGGTGAAATTCGGAGAGCCAAATATGATGTGCCTGAACTTCATTCCACGCATCAACGAGCACGGAATCTTTGCCTCTCCTGCACCGTTGCGAACGCCCAGCCGTTTCCAAGCATTCTCCTGGTTGCCTTGCGCAAAGTAAAACTGCACATGCACTTGGTTCCAAATGTTCCAAAATGTTCCAAAATGTATGTTCCACATTGTTCCAGTATGTTCACACTATCACTATATCAATATCTATCAACTGTCTGTTTGAGGGCCCAACGAGCGGGTGAGGCCGGTGATGTTTGGGCAAACTGGATTTCATTGATCTGGTCGTCAAAGGTCACAGCCAGTGAGTCGTGGAGTTTTTGCTCGCGGGGCTTCTGAGCTTTACCTGCGCGCCAGCAGTCACTGTGTCAAAAACGGCCCTGTGAATATGATCCAAATACATCCAAATCATCCATTTGATTTGAACGAGATGTTCAACCTCTGTTCGATAGTGAAGGGACAAGAGATGACAAGAGAGGGCTTGGAGTTTCAAAATTTTCAAACTCAAGAACTACAGATAACTACAGCATATGTCAGCCATGTTATGTTCGTTCTGTCCCGAATCGGCAAAGCTGTGGCTCTGTGGATCTTGATGGCGCCGCCATATGGCGCGCCTACTGCCCTTGTTGGACTCTTTCCGCGGCGCTTGGGTTTCCCGGATGATGTGCTGCCTCAGTTCAATCAATGTCTTCAAAAGTCCAAGAACTCCAAGGTCAACGAAGAAAACATGAGAAAACATTATCCACAGTTGAAGATCTTGTCAAAGTTCTTTAGTTGTTTGAAGTGGTTCATGGTTCCACTCTCCCACCGTTTTTGGGGATTCGGATAGCGGATAAAGGAACAGCAAGTTCCTGTTTCTGTGCCCCTTGCTGGCGCCTCCTGTTTCGAATACTCCAACGTCATTCACAGCATTGACCACTGACTGCGTTAGTTCTGAAGCTGTCATGTACGAACCTGGGCCACGGCCATGAAGTTTATAATTCCATGCGTAAAACAGAAAAACCCGGCCATGATAATCTCAATCCAGTTTTGCAAACTCATGCAGAAACAGATTGAATAGAACATTACCATGTCATAGATTTCTTCCAAAATCATATTATATGAAGTTTTCATGAGGAGCCCATGTTAGAGATGTTAGCCGCTGTTAGCCCATACCTTGGTGTACAGCCACAGCACCATCCCCGAACCATCCCCGAATCCAGGTCATCCAGGTCATCCAGGTAGCGTCTCAGTTCTGTTCCCCGAGGCCTTTTGCAGGTGGGACAGGTCGATGTGCCCGGTGGGATCCTGGACTGGCTGCAGATCTGACAGGTCCAGGCGGCGGTTTTGTCGAACTCGGCATTCCTTGGGCGCCATGCTGGCCATGCTGGGGCCATGCTGGGGCCATGCTGGGGTCATGTGGGACTGGGATGACTGGGCCATTGCCAAAGGGCAGATGCAACGGCAATGGGCACTGGGCAATGGTTGGTGTGTTCCTTGATGTTCCTTGATATCTTCAAAGGCATTCCGCGTTATAGACCATTATAGACCCTAAACATGATTAAACATGGCCAAAGCTGACACTATCCTGACACTATCCTGACACTATCCTGACGCTTCCCCCTTATCATCCCTGATCATCCCTGAAAACTCACCAGGGAATGCACAGCTGACCGCAGTTGACCGTGCCAGGCTGCAACACAACCGTCGTGACGGTGGACTCCACGGGGTTCTCTTTCAGCTGGTCCACCCAGGTCGCTAAAGGTTGATCCGTCCTGATGGAGCATGGAGGATATGGTGGGGAGAGATGGTGGTGTCCCCATGGTGACCCGTGTGGTGTCCCCATGGTGTCCCCATGGTCCCCTGCCTGGTGGCAAATTGAAGGTTCCCCCGCCTCGGTCCGGGCGCTGGCTGAGTTATGTCCCACAACGGCTTCCAAGGCCGCCAAGGCCCAGACAATGAACCGGGCGCGGAACTCCGGGCCAGGCCTTGTACCAAAGCTGCAATCACCCTAGAAGTCCTTAGAATCCCTAGATACCCAAACAGCCTAGACACATCTAAATCATTCTAAATCTAAACTTAACAAGTATCTAGAATCAAGTATATAAATTTATATAAACACATCTAAGGACTACAGTGTAGTGACTACAGCATAAAAAGTGGTGTACCCTCTATGATTTCTTCTGATACTTACTTTTTGATGCTACCATGGTGCTATCACATCCACAGGTGCTCAGCACATGTCCAGATTTCAGGAGTTTCGCACGTTTCGCGCCTGGCAGTTTCGACTGCCTGGGCGGTTCGGGCGCTTTCGGCAACGGCTCTGGCTGATCTTCTCCTCGCTGCACACATCGGGCGGAGATCACTGGAGCATGGCCAGCAGGGCCAGCAGGGCCGTCTCAGTGCCAGGCCATGATGTTCACAACGTTCATGTTCCACCTGTTCCACCTGTTCCACCTTGGCAAGTGGTCCCATGTGGTCCCTCACCAGTGGAGCGGAGTCTAAACCGTTAAGGAAAGGATAGGAAAGGCTCTGGGTCTCAGGCTCTGGGTTGGGTGCCAGCAGCTCCCATCGGTCCATCGCAAGCAGAATTGCAGAAGTGCGGTGTATCAGCTGAAGTTCTGAAGCTGGTGGAAATTTGAAGCCTCACAAAAGCCCTTCAAAACTGCTTCGCTTCTCCTGCAATTCTTCTATCTTTTAAAGGGTGTGAAGATGGGTGAAGCCTCTTCAACTGTCAATGACCCGGCCAGCACATCACATGGCAAGTCGAAAGGCAAAGCATTGCGTCACTTCAAACCGCACACACGAGCCAATTTGCGTGCGGAAAGCTCCCAGATGCTCCCAGCGGGCAGACTGGCCACACAATGATCACAATGCCCAAGAAAAAATACCGACAAGAAATGCAAAGAATCGGCACAGCTACTCAACAGTGGGAAGATGAACTTCACATAAGGGAAGTGGCATCTTTTGTCTTTCGGGCCATACCAATCCGATGCTCAGGCTTGCAGCTGCCATCACACCTTCCTTGCATGTGTCAGAATATGTCCGAAATTAAGTGTCATTCAAGGCGTCACATGTGAAAGTTTGTTTCATGCAAGAGCGCCCAAACAACACGCCTCACGATCACAGCATATATCTGAAGTTTTCTGAACTTGGTGAATTTTACTGTCATGGTTTCTGAGTCGCAACCCAGGGCCGCAAAAGGTTGCTGCCCGTCAACAAACAATCAGCATCAATCAGCACCTTCACGCCTTGCGCACGACTTCGATGCTGGAGTCTCGACACGCCTGAAAGCGTCAAAGCTGCCTTGTCACTGGGTATCAGTCTGGACAGGCTGTGGACAGGCTGTGGGTGGCTATGGACAGGCTGTCCACAGTTCGCCAGGTTCAATGCAAACAATAGAAAGCTGACACATGATGACACTGACACTGATTGTCTTGAGTCTTGACTTCATCTGTCCTGCGACCTGGGGAGAGTGCCCCACATCTTACCAAAGAATTAGCAGATTTAGCAGAATGTCGAAAATGTTCGGAAAAAGCGGCCACCGTAAACACGTGTAAACAATCTGTAACCGCCATAACATCTGGGCACTTTTCTTTTTTTCCGGCCAAGCTCAGCGTGCCAAGTTTTTTGGCGGCCTATGGTTTCGTCCTGCCCAGCTTCTCAATCTTCTCGTAGAACTCTTCCACGGTAAACCGCTGATGTCCTGGGAAGTTGTCTGCGAAGATGCCCTCGGATGTGATGCCAACGATGCCTTCTGCCACCGTCAACAAGAGATCAGACATTGGAACAAAGGCCCACTCGCAGATTGGGAAATCAGGCTCCAAACCTCGAGGTGCTTTGGATCTACCAGCCCAGCCAAACGTCTGAGGTGTCTGGACATCTGCTTTGAAAAGTCCAAGACTCCGCCCATGTGAGGCACCAGCACCACTCTCCGTCCATTTTAAAATCTCTTTCCACAAATCAGCAGCAAGAGTTCGGAGGTCAGGGTGTGTCAACGGCAGCGCCCCATCAGCACCAGATGGAAGAAGGGCGGCAATGGCCAGTCGCCATCGTCGAGCCCAAGCGGCACATTGTCGTTCGGCATCTGCTGCAGTGGTGTCCCAATGACGGCGATATGTGGGTTTTCCATCTAGAGTCCGTCCTGGAACTCTGACGGTCCCACACTCACCTACATCCCACTTGCTACGCATTCTGGTAGGTTTGTTCCCAGGCTCTTCTGCATTTCCCTCTTTGTCTTTTGAAGCTTTCTCTTTCAGCTCTTTGTCTTTGGCATCTTTGGCATCTTTGGCATCTTTCTCCTTCTTCTCTGCCTTGTCTGATTTATCCAATTTCTCCTTGTCTCTATCACGATCCCGGCCGTCCCTGCCATCGCGGCTGCGGCTGCGGCGCCGTCTGCTGCGGCTGCGGCTGCGGCGGCTGGGGCTGCGTCGCCGGCGCCGGCGCCTCGACCGGCTGCGCCGCGAGCGGCTACGGCTGCGGCGCCGGCTGCGCCGGGAACGGCTGCGCCGGGAACGGCTGCGGCTGCGGCGCTGACTGCGGCTGTTCTTCCTCTCTTCGACGATGCCAAAGAGCTTTCCAGGAGGATATTCCACCATGCGCTCCAACTCTAAAGCTTTCTTCCTAATGGACTCATCCTCTGACTGCGCGAAAACTTCTTTCACCAACTCAACTGACTGTTTGAATTTCCATTCCTTTCCTTCTTTAAAATTCAATTTGGTAACAGCCTCTTGGGTGGCCTCTTCCATTAGTTGCATGATCCCCAGCTGGAGGGTCATCTTGCCACGATGTCGAAGCTTGTCGTAAGCAGTTTGGAACGTCGGACCTGCACGGCTTCCCTTGTTGTCGCAATCCATGAAGGCACAAAGAAAAATTCAAAAAAAACACTTGGGAAAAAATGAATAAAAATGAACATTAACACCTTGGAGCTACTCGAACATCTTGAACTGGCTTAAAGGACAACAGAACATGCTTTGAACTTGGTGATCTTAGTGGTATTTTTTTCACGGAGCGATAAGAGAAGAATCGAAGTAAGCCTAATCATGATTCGTTTTCATTCCCCAACGCCATCAACCCTTTTAAGCCCCCAAGCAGCCAGAAAAAAAATCAGAAGGGATCAATTCGATCAAAATGGCTATCACAACAAAGTTCATAGTGCCCGGCCTGAGAGAAGTGTCCAATATGTTTCGAGCAACTTTTGTGCCTTCGTTTGGTTGTCCATCTCAGGTTCCTTCGGCTCCGGAGGCTTTCCCGCATCGGTCTGGCAGGGCCAGGGGTTGCAATGAATTACAAAGTGGTCTCTCTCCCTCTCTCTCTCTCGCTCTCTAATGCTATATAGTATTGTATAGTATCATATGTGTTTCTATTGTAACTCTGTGTATATATATATATGTGTGTGTGTGATATGACGTATAGTGATGTATAATGATGTATACACATACAGGGATATATGGTGGACAACACATGATCACTATCTCCAGGGTATTTGGGAGTTGGTTCCCGTTGGCCCACCGTTTGTGATTTGTGGAAAACATGAGAAAACCCCACTGCCTCGTCTGCATAGACCCTGGTATCATTCTTGGGGTCATTGCTGTTGTCCCAAACATGCAGCTGCAGATGTTCACGGAACTCCCTCCACAAGGCCAACTCGGGGAAGTTTTGCATGATCGAATTCCAGCCGGCTCTGATGTGACCATCTCCAAATTGCCTGGCTTCAACCAACAACAGGCGATTGATGAGGCACAGAAACTGCGCTCGATACCGCTTGGGCGCACAGTCATATGAAGTTCTCACAGGTGTGCCACCAAAAACATCCAGCAGGCCAGGCTTCTGAAACCACTCACTGGCCAACAACAAGGCTTTCTGTGAATTGAAAGTTGCAGCCCTGTTCAAAGCCAATCGATCAATGTGACCTTCCCCTGCCGTGGTGGCCACGGTGTAAAGCACCCGAGTGGCTTCGGCAAAGATGGCCTCCTGCGGTCGTTCCAACATCTCTGCCGTAGCGCTGCGCCCGGCGAAGGCCACCAAGGTCTTCAGCGCGTTGCGCTGCTCCGTCAGGCCCTGCCGCAGCTCATCCGCGGCCTCCGACAAGCGCTTGAAGGCGGCACCGGCCGTGGGAATGGTGGGGTTCTTGTCCGGGTGCAGGGCACGGGCCAACTGGCGATAGGCATAGGCAATGTCCTGCTCACCATAACCACCCTGATGGGCTCCACCGAGGCGAAGAACTGCCTCAAGAGATCAACATAGATCAACATAGATCAACATAGATCAAATATGATCAAATGTTGCGGTGGCGGTTGCGAATGAAGAAGGTGAATCAAAATTAAGGGACTTATGATGATTTGTGATTTATGTGATGTGTGCCGGCCCCAAACTCACACGGTCATGTCCATGAAAATTTGCTGTAGTTCAAACATAGGAGTGAATTGCTCCAGCTTTGTTCCCAGAACACATCCTGTCTATACATTGTCATCATATGTCATCATATGTCATCATATGATCATCATATATCTATACGACACATGAACACTATATGAACACTATATATCAAACGACGTGACTCGAAATGACTCGAAATATCTTGAAATCGTCGCTGGTCCAAGGCTGGTAGGCTAAGGCGGCTAAGGCGGCTATAGGCGGCTAAGGGACTCCTGCTCCCAGAATCCGGCCATTTGAAGGACAGATGCGCTCGACCTCATCGGCCGGTGGTCCCACCAAAATCTTCTCCTCTCGATGTGCTTCGATGACAGAGTCGCGCAACCTTTTTCGAGTCTCCGGATCATCAAACCACAACTCATCCCCAAAGAGTTCAACTCCATCAATTCGAATTGGTGCCGGAGGTTTTCCCACCGGTGGAGGTGGTGGTGCAGGTGGAGCCGGATCTTCCAAATTTCCATTTCCAGTGTTCACCTTGGGTTTTTCGGCTTCATCCCGTTGTTTCCGCAGGCGTTCCAGGATTTTCTGCGTGATGGCGGGCAGTTTGGCCGCGCGCGCCGCTGGCGGCAGACTGCTGGGCAGCGTCTTCTCCGCCATGGCTTTCGCTTGGAGCTCCAGGTCTTCATCACTGGCCATGACCAAGGGCCCCAGGCCCCCCCCAATGGGCCCCCCAGCGGTGCCCGGCCAAGGGCGCTAGCCCAGAATGGCTGCAAAACGATAGAAAATGATAGAAATTACGCACGCAAATATCAAATATGTTAAACATTGTTAAACTGAATGGGGGGTAATCTACTGATGCAGGTTTTGGGCATGGAAAGTCAAAAGAGATGAAAAGGATAGAAAAGGCGTGTGAAAAACGACGTCGACAAGAGAGAAGCAGGTCGTTATCTCCAACACCTACAGGACCTACAGGAACTCACAATTCTGAAGTCCACGCCTGCTGCTTGGCATCGCTTTGCACGTGCCAGGGTCGGATGCTGACTGACTTGGCCGCAGCTCTCGCTAAAGAATCCCAACAGGGGCCTCGCCCTCCTAGCTGGTCAACTGATGTCAACTGCTTTAATCGGAGAAAACCTGTTGCAAAACACGGAGTGGAGATGTGTCAGGACACTGTTCGAGAAGCTTTTGCAAAGGATTTTTTGGATAAAACGCAACTTAAATGTCAACGATCCAACCTTTCTTGATGCCAGCTGTGCAGCTTGAAGAGCCTTTATGGCTGCACTGCATGGACTGGAACGGCTGCCATTAACATCGGATTCGCACCTGAGATGATCTGAGATGCTTCCCACAATCCGTGGCCCGTTGGGTTATTTTTTGCAACCACTCGACATTGTTCCGGTTGACTGCAAGCCTGGCTATCCTGGCTTACTCACATGGGATCATCCATCATCCGATCTCCGGCCTTTTCTGCGACTTTGGGTACTCTATCGTCAGCTTCCTAGCTTTACACGGATGTCGCTTCAAAGTTGCAACTCCAACTGCCTTTTTGGCTCAACATATCTCAACATGCATGAGTTCCAAGACACCTTCACAGCGCCTCAACATCATAAGATGTGGTGAATTCTGCTGGCTTCGTGTGGCCAGCCGTCAAACCCTTCAAACTTTCCTACGTGAAGAGAGGAAGCCCTAAGAAGATCAACTGAACCAACTGCAACTGGATCAGCGGCGCAATGGGCGCAATGGGTGCAGCGGCAGAGATCACTGCGGCCGGACCACCCTGACCATCGCAGGTAGCACAGGAACTTCTGGTGGTACAGCGACAAATGCCACAATTCACTTTGCCAACGCCGCAGGACGAGGCCGGTTGTGTTGCGACAGGTGATGTACCATCCATGCCGTGGCACCAGCGACAGGTCGATGGCTCGACACATTGACATCCACCACAATTCACCAAGCCGAGCTCACAGCCGCCAAGGACACGGGACACGTTGCCGTTGCCGGCACCACGGATCCCATGGGAGATCCCATGGGAGATCCCGGCTTCGGGTTCAGCTGAGGAACACAGAGCCAGCACGAAACATAGAAACAGCCGAAACATCCGAAACATCACTGACTCGTCACTTGGCACATCGCAAGGGCAATGTCCGGTTTTTCACTTCGTGCCCATATGGCTTCAGCATAGATGCGTTTTTTCTACAAACGGTTGGCAACACTTGGTGACATTATGCGACGTTACTCAGTTCTTGCTGCAAGTTCACCTCATATTAAAAACATTTAAAAACCTTGAAAAGTTTGATCCTCTAAATATTTGTCAATTTTCTTCGAGATGTGCCGGAGTTCAAGTGAAAACAAGTGACAGCAAAGTTTGCCTCACGGCCGGGAAATGCCCTGAAATGCCGGGAAGCAGTGCCCCATCTTTTTCTCTCCACGGCATCATGTGGCACTGCTGGGGCTATCAGTGCTATCAGCTTCACGTTTGGAACGGAGCATGGCAACCTCTTCGACAATGGCCTGCCGCTCCTGTTCACCGCCGTTGTCCAACACCGCCTGTCACTGCCAGCCCCCCACTGGGTCTTCATCAGACTAGTGGATATTAAATCGGTTGATTTTTGTTGATTTGATATTTTTTGATATTTTGGGGGTAGGGATGGGTAGGGCATATTACAGAATTGATTCGCATGTGATGGGTTTCAAACATGTTCCGTTCGCTGTTGGCCTTGATGATCCACTTTTTCTTTTTGAGTCGAGCCACCTCCTGGGGCACCATGGCATGGATGCATGGATGCATGTTAAAAATTTCAGAGGATGTTTTAATCTACGTATATCTATGTGTTCTTCTATTTTTTGAGGTTCCCCCTTTCACTGGAACAAGACTGGTTGGCTTAGTTGTCTGTTTTCTTAGGATCTGGCATTTCGCAAGGTCACTGCTTCGAGGACCAGTTGAGAGTGAAACTTCTCCTCAGCCACTGAGTGTCACACCAAAACTGTTGGTCATCAAATAGCAGGTCATCTATCGTCTAGAGAAGGCCAAGGGGAAAAACCAACAATAATGCTATGATCTGCTATGATCTGCTATGATGATGACAAAATTGCATAACTGGCCAAAAAAATCCATGAAGCTGATGGTTCCTGCCGGGCCCCCCACAATCTTCTGCCCAATGGACACCACAGAGCCCGGTTCCGATGCGTCCGAACCGATCACGGCCAGAGCGCCCTTTGGCGTCAGCTCCTGCGAAGGGCAGCATCTGGAAGCACCAAACTCACCAAACTGATCACATCATAGTCAACTTATAGTCAACTTATAGTACTCTTGGTACTCGACTATGGCACTTGAAATCCATGGGAATAAATCAGGAACTGACGAACTAGCAATAAAAACTGATCAAAATATCTACTGAAAAGTTTGGGGGGTGAGACCCAAATGGGGTGAGAAAACCATCTTTAAAAATATGAGGAAACATGGGAAATTAGGGAAAATCATGGAAGATAATGAAGAAAATATGACAACATGACAAGGGGCATAAAAACATGACAATTTGAGAATTTGACAGTTTGCGAGAACTGTGGCTCAAATTTCTCAGTCAGTGCGCTTGGATGGTATCCAGCACGAGTTTGCAATGTCAAGGGCTCAGGTTCGTACAAAGCCTGTGGGCAGATCCATCACATGTGATTCTCAAAGGAGAATCAGGACAGCAGTGGTCTCCTGTTTCTTGAAGGTCAAAACATCTTCAAATGAATGGGCTTCAAATGGCAGGGTCTCACAGAGGGCAAGGTAGGGCAGGGTCTCGCCCATCAAACATCTTCAAACAAATAAGAGCAGATGGCAGGGTCTCACACATCAAGGAAGGCAGAATCTCACATAAAGGCAGGGCTTCACAGAAGACAGGGTCTTGCCCCTTAAACAAAGGCAGGGTCTCCCAGAAGGCAGGGCATCATAAAATAAAACATAGATAAGTTAGGGTTTCTCACACAAGGAAGAGTCTCACAGAAGGCAAAGCCTCACAGAAGCCAGGGTCTCACAGAAGGCAAGGCCTCACAGAAGCCAGGGTCTCACAGAAGGCAAGGTCTCACAGAGGGCATGGTCTCACAGACAGCAAGGTGTGTCACTCATAGCAGGGACTCACACAAGGCATGGTTTCACAGAACACAAGGTGTCACATGTTGAACTGAGGCCTAACTCCCACAGAAGGCAGGGCATCACAGAAGGCAGGGCCTCACAGAAGGCAAGGCCTCAAAGAAAGCAAGGTCTCACAGAGGGCCCAACATTAGGTCTCAGAGAAGGAAGGGTCTCACAGAAGGCAACGCCTCACAGAAGCCAGGGTCTCACAGAAGGCAAGGCCTCACGGAAGCCAGGGTCTCACGGAAGGCCAAGTCTCACAGAAGGTCTCGCAGAAAGGCTTCACAGAAGACACAATCTCGCCCATTGAACAAAGCCAGGCTCACAGAAGGCAGGGGGGTGCCAAGCCTAGTTTGGCTACAAGCATGCGTATCACATATGGCGCAATGCAGGGTCTCACACAATAGACAGGGAAATAAAGGATTCCGCACCTGAAGGTGTTTTCACCCGTGAAATCACACGCTCCCGAGCTGTTGCTCTCCGGAGGGCCTCTACTGCTCCCACACGCGAGCTGCTCTTGCTCACTTTCCGGCCCTGGACACTCTTCCATAACTCAAGCTTAGGATTTTATATTTGGTCTTCGATAGGAGCAAGATTCAATCTATAGACATGCTGCACATTTTTCGATAAGAACAGATGGCAGGGTCTCACACATCAAGGAAGGCAGGGTCTCACAGAAAGGCAGGGCTTCACAGAAGACAGGGTCTCGCCAGTGTCTCACAGAAGGCAGCAGGGTATCATAGAATATAGTTCAGGACAGCTGGTAGGCAGGGATCCGCGCTGATGATCTAGTAAGCAGATTAGGTACACTTAAGTACCCCCATGATAGCAAATTCCGAGGTACACTTCTGCCCACTGGGGTGCCTTTGTTTGTATGTTGTATGTAGCTGAATCTGCCTACTGGGGCCGGGGTTCCCACCACTATGTATATAAACAAATTACATATACCTCAGAATTTGCTATCACGGGGGTACTTAAGTGTACTTGCCAACTAGATGGGCATGGGGGTACAATTCTTACTAGATATTACTAGATCATCAGCGCGGATCCCTGCCTACCGGCCATCCTTAGCTATGAATAGTATCGGTGGGAGATGCACCCTCTGCCAACTGGTAGGAGTGGCGGTCTTGATTTTTCTTGCACCTAGTATCCAATACCCCAAGGTCATGAAACACATAGTACTGCAGTAAGCAGATGGTGGGGGCGGCGGGTTTGCTTTCTTTTTCCCCTCTTCTTGGTCCTTCTCTACCCCATGATGGAACTACAGTACTATTTGCTCCTAATTTGCGGGGTTGTATGGGTCCCCGTGCGGACAGGCAGCGTACATGCATACATTAAGGATAGACAGTATAGACAGTGCTAGTGCTGGTGCTAGTGTTAGTGCCAGTGCTGCTCAGCAAATGGAGCCGCGAACTGAGGCGATGTCTCTCTATCTACCTATATATCTATATCTACCTATCTACCTATCTATTTGTATATATGCACATGTCTATGTATATGCCCATTATATGCTCAATGGAAAGGAGGTGCAGTAAGCAGAAGCCACAATATGTTTCGCACCCTTCTGAGGTACACTTCTGCCTACTACCCCTGGTTGTCCAAAACCTGCGAAAATAGCCCCCCCGCCGAACATGCTAAAAACACACCAAATCGGACACATTTTAGGGCAGTAGCAACACTAAATTTCCTGCCTACCGGACGTCTCAGACTATAAGCCAAGTCAAGGTCTCACAGAAGGAAGGGTCTCACAAAAGGCAAAGCCTCACAGAAGCCAGGGAGGCAAGGCCTCACAGAAGCCAGAGTCTCACAGAAGGCAAGGTCTTAGAGGGCAAGGTCTCACAGAAAGCAAGGTGTGTCACTCATAGCAGGGACTCACACAAGGCATGGTTTCACGTCTGAAACAAAGACACGGTTTCACAGAACATAAGGTGTCACATGTTGAATTGAGGCTTAACTCTCACAGAAGGCCGGGCCTCACAGAAGGCAGGGCCTCACAGAAGGCAGGGCCTCACAGAATGCAAGGTCTCACAGAAAGCAAGGTCTCAGAGAAGGAAGGGTCTCACAGAAGGCAAAGCTTCACAGAAGCCAGAGTCTCACAGAAAGCAAGGCCTCCCAGAAGCCAGGGCCTCGCAGAAGGGCAAGATCTCACAGAGGGTCTCACAGAAAGGCAGGGCTTCACAGAAGACAGGGCCTCGCCCATGAAACAAAGGCAGGGTCTCACAGAAGGCAGAAGCCTAGTTTGGCTACAGGCATGCGTATCACATATGACGCAATGCAGGGTCTCACACAATAGACAGGGAAACAAAGGATTCCGCACCTGAAGGTGTTTTCACCCGTGAAATCACACGCTCCCGAACTGTTGCTCTCCTCTACTGCTCCCACACGCGAACTGCTCTTGCTCACTTTCTGGTTGGCGGCAGAATGACAGGACCGGCCCTGGACATTCTTCCATAACTGAAATTTAGGATTTTATATTTGGTCTATACTAGGAGCAAGGTACAATCTATAGACATGTAGCACATGTTTCGATATAAATTAAACAGACGGCAGGGTCTCACACATCAAGCAAGGCAGGGTCTCACAGAAAGGCAGGGCTTCACAGAAGACAGGGTCTCGCCCCTTAAACAAAGGCAGGGTCTCCCAGAAGGCAGGGTATTATAAAATAAACAAAGCCAGGGTCTCACAGAAAGCAAAGCCTCACAGAAGCCAGGGAGGCAAGGCCTCACAGAAGGCAAGGCCTCAAAGAAAGCAAGGTCTCACAGAGGGTCCAACATTATGAACAAAGGCAGGGTCTCAGAGAAGGAAGGGTCTCACAGAAGGCAAGGCCTCACAGAAGCCAGGGTCTCACAGACGGCAAGGCCTCACAGAAGCCAGGGTCTCACGGAAGGCCAGGTCTCACAGATGGTCTCACACAAAGGCACGGCTTCACAGAAGACCAAGGTCTCACGGAAGGCGAAGTCTCACAGAGGGCAAAGCCTCACAGAAAGCAAGGTGTGTCACTCATAGCACGGACTCACATAAGGCACGTTTTTACATCTGAAACAAAGGCATAGTCACACAGACGCAAGGTCTCACATGTTGGATGAAGGCCTAGCTCTCACAGAGGCAGGTCCTCACAGAAGGCAGGGCCTCACAGAATGCAAGGTCTCACAGAATGCAAGGTCTCACAGAGGGTCTAACATTATTAACAAAGGCAAGGTCTCACAGAAGGCACAGGAGGGAAGGCCTCACAGAAACGCAGGCTCTCACAGACTGCAGGGCCTGACTGAAGGCAAGGCCCAACATGTGAAAGAAGGCTGGGTCTCATAGAAGGCAGGGTCGCACATAGGACAGAAGGCAAAACTTCACATGTGAGAGAAAGCAAGGTCGGACATGTGACAAAAGGTAGGGTCTCACATATGGCAGAAGAGGGTCTCGCATATGACAGAAGGCAGGGTGTCACACACGAAAGAAGGAGGGGTCTCGCACATGACAGATTGCAGGGTCTCACAGATCTAACAGGGTCTCGCATGACAGGAAGGCAAGGCCTCACTCACTGGGCAAGCAAATTAAAATAAAGGTCGTAAACAGGACAGAAGGGAAGGCATCAGAGAAGGCAGGGCGTCATAGCAATTTCTCGCCAAAAAAAGCATCTTGCAGAAGTCTGGGTGCAGCATGGTTTCACAGATGGCAAGGTCTCACGGAGGGGAAGGCAGGGTCTCACAGGAGGCAGGGTCCCACATCTGAAAGAAAGCATCTTATTTGCAAAGGAAGCATAGGAAAGCAAAATGTGTTTTTCCGTGATTTTTATGTTTTTCTCTTGTTTTTACCAAATAATCATGTGCCTTCCATGTTTTTCCTGGCAACCCTGGAAAACATCTAATGGGAGGGGTTTGGGAAGGATTATGGGGTGTGTGGGGAGGTGGGTGGGGGGGTTGGTGGTGGTGGAGGTGGTGGGGGTGGGGGTGGACAGGAGGGAGGGAAGTCTTGCTCGCCCCGTTAATTGCGTTTTCCTCGCCCCGTTAATGTTGTCGAACGTTTGTCGGAGGAGGGGGTGGGAGGGATTAAGGGAGAATGGAAGGGGTTGGGGAGGGTGTTAAGGGGGTGTGGAAGGAGGTGGAAGGGGGTGGGGGTGGACAGGAGGGGGGGTGGTCCTGCTCGCCCCGTTAATTGCGTTTTCCTCGCCCCGTTAATGATGTCGAACGTTTGTCGGAGGAAGGGGTGGGAGGGATTAAGGGAGAAGGGAAGGGGTTGGGGAGGGTGTTAAGGGGGCGTGGAAGCGGGTGGAAGGGGGTGGGGGTGGACAGGAGGGGGTGGTGGTCCTGCTCGCCCCGTTAATTGCGTTTTCCTCGCCCCGTTAATGTTGTCGAACGTTTGTCGGAGGAAGGGGTGGGAGGGATTAAGGGAGAAGGGAAGGGGTTGGGGAGGGTGTTAAGGGGGTGTGGAAGGAGGTGGAAGGGGGTGGGGGTGGACAGGAGGGGGGGTGGTCCTGCTCGCCCCGTTAATTGCGTTTTCCTCGCCCGTTAATGATGTCGAACGTTTGTCGGAGGAAGGGGTGGGAGGGATTAAGGGAGAAGGGAAGGGGTTGGGGAGGGTGTTAAGGGGGTGTGGAAGCGGGTGGAAGGGGGTGGGGGTGGACAGGAGGGGGTGGTGGTCCTGCTCGCCCCGTTAATTGCGTTTTCCTCGCCCCGTTAATGTTGTCGAACGTTTGTCGGAAATCTGCCCTATTCCGACCCTTCCAACTGCTGTGAGACGCTGCCTTCTGACCTACCTTCTGTGAGACCCTGCTAGGCTTCTGTCCTGCGAGATCCTGTTAGATCTGTGAGACTTGCAATCTGTCATCTGTGAGGCCCTTCCTTCTTTCGTGTGTGAGACCCTGCCTTCTGTCATAAGCGAGACCCTGTTAGATCTGTGAGACCTTGCAATGTGTCATGTGCGAGACCCTCCTTCTTTCGCGTGTGAGACCTTGCCTTCTGTCATATGCGGGACCCTCTTCTGCCATATGTGAGACCCTACCTGTTGTCACATGTAAGACCTTGCTTTCTCTCACATGTGAAGTTTTGCCTTTTGTCCTATGTGCGACCCTGCCTTCTATGAGACCCAGCCTTCTTTCACATGTTGGGCCTTGCCTTCAGTCAGGCCCTGCAGTCTGTGAGAGCCTGCGTTTCTGTGAGGCCTTCCCTCCTGTGCCTTCTCTGAGACCTTGCCTTTGTTCATAATGTTAGACCCTCTGTGAGACCTTGCTTTCTGTGAGACCTTGCATTCTGAGGCTTTGCCTTCTGTGAGGCCCTGCCTTCTGTGAGAGTTAGACCTCAGTTCAACATGTGACACCTTGTGTTCTGTAAAACCATGCCTTTGTTTCAGGTATGAAACCATGCCTTGTGCGAGTCCCTGCTGTGAGTGACACACCTTGCTTTCTGTGAAGTTTTGCCCTCTGTGAGACTTTGCCTTCTGTGAGACCATGGCTTCTGTGAGGCCTTGCCCTCTGTGAGGCCCTGGCTTCTGTGAGGCTTTGCCTTCTGTGAGACCCTGACTTGGTGTATTTTATGATACCCTGCCGTTTGTGAGACCCTGCCTTTGTTTAAGGGGCGAGACCCTGTCTTCTGTGAAGCCCTGCCTTTCTGTGAGACCCTGCCTTCCTTGATGTGTGAGACCCTGCCGTCTGTTTAATTTATATCGACACATGTGCTACATGTCTATAGATTGTACCTTGCTCCTAGTATATACCAAATATAAAATCCTAAACTTCAGTTATGGAAGAATGTCCAGGGCCCGTCGTGTCATTCTGCCGCCAACCAGAAAGTGAGCAAGAGCAGCTCGCGTGTGGGAGCAGTAGAGGAGAGCAACAGTTCGGGAGCGTGTGATTTCACGGGTGAAAACACCTTCAGGTGCGGAATCCATTGTTTCCCCCTGTCTATTGTGTGAGTCCCTGCTATGAGTGACACACCTTGCTTTCTCTAAAGTTTTGCCCTCTCCTAAACCTGGCCTTCCGTGAGACCCTGGCTTCTGTGAGGCCTTGCCTTCTGTGAGACCCTGGCTTCTGTGAGGCTTTGCCTTCTGTGAGGCCCTTCCTTCTGTGAGACCCTGGCTTTGTTTATTTTATGATACCCTGCCGTCCGTGAGACCCTGCCTTTGTTTAATGGGCGAGACCCTGTCTCCTGTGAAGCCCTGCCTTTCTGTGAGACCCTGCCTTCCTTGATGTGTGAGACCCTGCCGTCTGTTTAATTTATATCGACACATGTGCTACATGTCTATAGATTGTACCTTGCTCCTAGTATAGACCAAATATAAAATCCTAAATTTCAGTTATGGAAGAATGTCCGGGGCCGGTCCTGTCATTCTGCCGCCAAACAGAAAGTGAGCAAGAGCAGCTCGCGTGTGGGAGCAGTAGAGGAGAGCAACAGTTCGGGAGCGTGTGATTTCACGGGTGAAAACACCTTCAGGTGCGAGGTCCTTTATTTCCCTGCCTATTGTGTGAGACCCTGCATTGCGTCATATGTGATACGCATGCCTGTAGCCAAATTAGGCTTGGCACCCCCTGCCTCCTGTGAGACCCTGCCATTGTGTAATGGGCGAGACCCTGTCTTCTGTGAAGCCCTGCCTTTCTGTGAGACCCTCTGTGAGATCTTGCCTTCTGTGAGACCATGGCTTCTGCGAGGCCTTGCCTTCTGTGGGACCCTGGCTTCTGTGAGGCTTTACCTTCTGTGAGGCCCTTCCTTCTGTGAGACCCTGACTTAGTTTATTTTATGATATCCTGCCTTCTGTGAGACCCTGCCTTTGTTTAATGGGCGAGACCCTGTCTTCTGTGAAGCCCTGCCTTTCTGTGAGACCCTGCCTTCCTTGATGTGTGAGACCCTGCCGTCTGTTTAATTTATATCGACACATGTGCTACATGTCTATAGATTGTACCTTGCTCCTAGTATAGACCAAATATAAAATCCTAAACTTCAGTTATGGAAGAATGTCCAGGGCCCGTCGTGTCATTCTGCCGCCAACCAGAAAGTGAGCAAGAGCAGCTCGCGTGTGGGAGCAGTAGAGGAGAGCAACAGTTCGGGAGCGTGTGATTTCAAGGGTGAAAAAACCTTCAGGTGCGGAATCCTTTGTTTCCCTGTCTATTGTGTGAGACCCTGCATTGCGTCATATGTGATACGCATGCCTGTAGCCAAGCTAGGCTTGGCACCCCCCTGCCTTCTGTGAGACCCTACCTTTGTTTAATGGGCGAGACCCTGTCTTCTGTGAAGCCCTGCCTTTCTGTGAGACCCTGCCTTCCTTGATGTGTGAGACCCTGCCATCTGTTCTAATTTATATCGAAAACTGTGCTACATATCTATAGATTGTATCTTGCTCCTATCGAAGACCAAATATAAAATCCTAAGCTTCAGCTATGGAAGAGCGTCCAGGGCCGGTCCTGTCATTCTGCCGCCAACCAGAAAGTGAGCAAGAGCAGCTCGCGTGTGGGAGCAGTAGAGGAGAGCAACAGTTCGGGAGCGTGTGATTTCACGGGTGAAAACACCTTCAGGTGCGGAATCCTTTATTTCCCTGTCTATTGTGTGAGACCCTGCATTGCGTCATATGTGATACGCATGCCTGTAGCCAAACTAGGCTTGGCACCCCCCTGCCTTCTGTGAGACCCTGCCTTTGTTTAGTGGGCCAGACCCTGCCTTCTGTGAAGCCCTGCCTTTCTGTGAGACCCTCTGTGAGGTCTTGCCTTCTGTGGGACCCTGGCTTCTGTGAGGCTTTGCCTTCTGTGAGACCCTTCCTTCTCTGAGACCCTGCCTTTGTTCATAATGTTGGACCCTCTGTGAGACTTTGCTTTCTGTGAGACCTTGCATTCTGTGAGGCCCTGCCTTCTGCGAGGCCCTTCCTTCTGTGAGAGTTAGGCCTCAGTTCAACATGTGACACCTTGTGTTCTGTGAAACCATGCCTTTGTTTCAGATGTGAAACCATGCCTTGTGTGAGTCCCTGCTGTGAGTGACACACCTTGCTTTCTGTGAAGTTTTGCCCTCTGTGAGACTTTTCCTTCTGTGAGACCCTGGCTTCTGTGACGCTTTGCCTTCTGCGAGGGGCCTTCCTTCTGTGCTGCCTTCTGTGAGACCCTGCCTTTGTTTAATGGGCGATACCCCGTCTTCTGTGAAGTCCTGCCTTTCTGTGAGACCCTGCCTTCCTTGATGTGTGAGACCCTGCCATCTGTTCTAATTCATTTGAAGATGTTTGATGGGCGAGACCCTGCCCTACCTTGCCCTCTGTGAGACCATGCCATTTCAAGCTCTTTCATTTGAAGATGTTTTGACCTTCAAGAAACAGGAGACCACTGCTGTCCTGATTCTCCTTTGAGAATCACATGTGATGGATCTGCCCACAGGCTTTGTACGAACCTGAGCCCTTGACATTGCAAACTCGTGCTGGATACCATCCAAGCGCACTGACTGAGAAGTTTGAGCCACAGTTCTCGCAAACTGTCAAATTCTCAAATTGTCATGTTTTTATGTCCCTTGTCATGTTGTCATATTTTTTCATTATCTTCCATTATTTTCCCTAATTTCCCATGTTCTCTCATATTTTTAAACGGGTTTTTCTCACCCCATTTGGGTCTCACCCCCCAAACTTTTCAGTGAAATATGTCCACCAATCCAATCCAGGAATAAAATGGAATAAGCTCTCAATAAGTGAATAAAGTGAATAAAGTGAATAAAATGAATAAAGAAACATTCCACTTCAATATCTTCAATATACAAGTGGATGGGGATGATACAAATGCCCTCCACCTCATTTTCCATTGGATCGGCATCCCCGTCAAACTCCATGGCTTTGTAAAACACCTCGCGCCAACTCAGGGCTGATGGACATGGACCACTGAACTTCGCTGTGAGATGTTGATAGATGTTGCAGGTCACTGTAGGTCTGAAGTTTAAGAGAAACTTTGAGGAAAAAATGAGTTGTATGATATTTGTATGATATTTGTTTGCACCTCTAAACGTCGATGCAGCTCTGCATTCTCGGATTGGAGATTCTGCAGCGCCGCTTGTTCTTCACCAAGCTTGGACTGAGAAACCTGGCGGCAATTCTTGAGGAATCGTTCCACGTCAAGTAATAGACCGAAAAAAAAAACAATCCCCAAATTCACCAGAAACAGCTTGTATAAACCATGAAAAGTTGGAGGTAAATTATTGGTTTTACCACGCAACTTCCCGTAGTCCGATTTCCAAGTCGTCCACAATTCACAGCACGAAACTCAACGATTCAGCTACGCCATCAACCCAAGGAGTCCCAAGGCAAAGCTTCCATAAACGTCCATCAAATGAGTCCATCTCCCAGATATGAGATCGCATGGGTCAACATCGGGCTCAACATTACTCCCAGAAATGGAGACTTACCCTCCACTAATCAAACATGGAGCTTTTTTAATCAGAAAATCAGTCTATACTCTATACATCTGGGTTTTAAAATCATCTAGTCTATATACTCTATACATCTGGTTTTTTTAATATGTTTTTATATGTGTTTCATGGATTTTTCTGCCATGACCACCATCAACCCAATCGTTGCCTCCAAATCTTGGATCTTCCCATGCGCCGCCAGCAGCTCTTCTTCCAAGCGTCTCTGGACGTCTCGGGCCTTCTGAAGCTCGGAGAAGGCCTGAAAAATGTCGATAGCGTGGTATGGGTTGATGCTATGTATAAGAACAGAATAGAATATAATATAATATGTATATATATATATGTATATTATATATATATGTATATATATATATTGGAACATAACCAACAACATGGGGATAGATGGGATAAAATATGATATATGATTATATAACTTATTATGTAAAATCACCACGATATCATCATATGCCATTCAATTGAAGTAGTGAACATGGTATAACATGGTGAAGAGTCCTAAACAATCTGAAACCGTGTTCACATGTTCATTTGGAGAAATCAGTAGCAAGATGTTATCAGTAGAAACACCAACATCCACACACCATAAAAACATTGTGACATATTGTGACGGTGTCCTCCATGGCTTCACTGCTTTTCTCTGCAGCATCTGCCTGATTGATCTGACGGTTCTGTGGTCCCTGTGAGATCTGTAAGTCGGAGCCTTCAATAGCTTAGCAGACTTAGCATCTATAGCAGAAACGAATCATCCCTGAGCTCTCTGAGCTCTCTGAGTTTGACGCCGCATCTGTCTGAGGAGTGCGATCCGAACCGCAACAACTGCATTTGCTCCCAGCCTGACATGGCTGCATTTGCTGCATTCGAGATCAAGCCTGACTCACTGACAGCCTAAAGTTGTGCTTCAAGGATCTTGGTCGTTAAGGGGCTTCCTGGCCTGTAGAGGACCCTAGATGCAGAAAAGGAAAAACATGAGCAAAGCATGTTCATATATGTTCATATATGTTCTTATATGTTCATATAATGTTTATTATGAAACTGCGTTAGCTTGAAATCTGATTGGCTGATTGGTTTCAATTCCTCCAAGCCCTGTCGATGACATGCCGAAGAGGCCACGCTGTCAAGCGCCGTCTCGGCTGATTGCACGGATGCAGCAGGAGACTCCCGACCATCCCGACCAAAGGTTGAAGCCTGCGACGATTGGTGTGCAAAGATTCGCATCCATCTGCATCCATATATCATCCATATATCATCCATATATCATCCATATATATATATATATCTATCTAATTATATCATCCATAGCAGAAAGACACAGGATGCGATTGACTTCTCTCAATGGCCATGGCCATCTATGGCCATCTATGGCCATCTCCGACATTCTCCGACCTTCGGATCCTTCGGCGGCTTTGGCGGCCACTGTGTTGGGCCTCACGAGACCCAAAGGAGGCCAGACCAAGCTGAGAAAATGTCAGAAATTTGGACCGGACCTTCTGGCACCACTGGAGGTAAAGAAGCTGGCCTGACCCAGAAAGTTGCAGACATCCGACGAAGCTCTGATTTGTTTTATTCCACATGTTCAAACAATGATACGTATTGATACATATTGAATATCTGAAAGATCTGGAAGTTGCAACCTTGGCTTTGGCTTTCGAGGAGAAGGCTTGGGCCCATCGTAGCCACGCATCATGGCCTGCAGTTGAGCTCATGGGTACATCCACATCTTTTCCACCCGGCTGTTCATCCATCAAGTGCTGTCTCGCATTTCGGGGGCCATATTGGGGTGTCTGATATTGGGGGAAGGGGCCGTACATTGTACATAAAAGATCATAAAAGTGCTGCATAGATTTGCATTAGGATGTAGGTGTAGGGGTTGGTACATCAACAAGCTGATCAACCCCATACCAATCCCATCTGTCCCATCTGTGTTGTTATTAAGTTTTACCCTACATCAACATGGGGTTTACATATTACATGCTGCCAACCTTCGCCAAACAGCCGTCATCCATCAACCCCTTCCCATGTAGGACAATGGCCACGAGAACCCCCATCCCATAGCATCCCATAGCATCCCATAGCCCCATCTCGCTACCAAGTGACATCAACTGCCGCAAACAGCTCCTTTCCCTCTGCGCTGTCCGACTTCGACCGTGTGGCGAAGGGCCAATCGTCGCAGCTGGGGGATTTCTGCGCTGCGCCTGTGGTAAAGGTTGCAGTTTCCAAACCAAGCAGTACCATCAGTACCCCACAATCCCCACAATCCCCACAATCCCCACAAAACAAAAGCAAACTGAAACAGGAAAGTCATTGAAGACGAGTCAGCCAACCTTGAATGCTTACCCTGGAATCCTTTGAACATTCCCGATATGATCGGATATGTATCAATATGTATCAATATACGTATACATCCCAGTTCGTCCTGCCTTGAACAATCCTGTTGAGGGTGGAAGTCGCGGAGTTTGCCTCGTGGCCCTTCTTGGGCTTTGCCCTTGACTTGGAGCTTTCACGCGAACTTTCTGACACCGTCTCTTGACCTTTCGCTTTTTCGGATCTCTCCCTGGAATCGCTCCCTTCATCGAAACTCCATCGCTGCTCCGTACCCGTCCATGTCTTGGCTCTGGCCGCCAGGTGCCGTGGGGCCACAGCTCCATTAGCCGCATTTCCAGCTCCATTTCCGGCATTTCCTTCCCCGCCAGGACCAGGATGGATATTGCCATTGCCATTGGGTTTCGGGTGGGTTTTTGCCCTAAAACGTGGAGGTCGGGGCCGGCGCGGCCCGGGACCAGTGGCACCGGCTGCGCGCCGTTCTTCTTCCAACAGATCTTCCGGGAGCTCCGGGAGCTCTAAGACTCGGCGCAGGTAGTCGTGCGCAACGACCAGACGGGCCTCCAGTTGCTGAATCAGTTGATCTTTGGGATCCAAATTCACCACAGGCTGATTTCGAATGCAGGCAGCTTGGGAAGCATACTGTAAAGTACTCAGATTCTCATCATCTTGCCTCTCAGAGGGTGCCAAACATGCAAACATCACCAAGTAGCTGTTGCCTCCCAAACTATTCTGCAATAAGGACGTAAGCTTCGATTCTCGGTATGGTATATGTACAGATGCCTCCCTTGGATTGGCTTCCCGTTTGCTGAGAGCAGTGATGACTCTTCGCAACACAAAGAGGGACTGGTTCACGTTCACGGCCTCCTGAAATCTCGTGGTGCCCTTGGCTTCACGACCGCTGAGGACGTTGGCCACGCTGCGTTCGGATCCCGCCAGATCTATCAGGGACAACTGGGAGACCACCTCTTGACAAGGTCGACCTGGTCGACGTCCACATGGTCGACCTGGGGTTCCACCGCCATCCTCACCTTCGCCTTTTTCGCCCTCTCGGCGCAAGAGGGTCAATACCAATAAGGTGTGAGATCTGGAGGATGCCACATTCATCGTAGTGGAGGCCACCTGATATCTTTCAGGCAGATTCCGAACCCTTAAAAATCTTAAGACTTAAGCGCATCTTGAGCCATTAGAAGTCTTATGAAACCACATCTTGATGGTGCATGACTATAACTAGAACATACTACAACTGCACTCAAAACATTCTTGGACCCGTACGCATATCATTGAATCCCGTATGCTAAGTTTGATTATATAGATTTGTTTCTTCCAGCATGCACCTGCTTGTTCTGAATGCCTTGCTGGTAGTGCTGCAAGGCCTCTTCAGCAGAGGAGCACTCGTATTGGAAGAGATTCTCCACAAAGAAATGCCGCTTTGCAGCATCCCAACGCAACCGAAGCCCTGAAAACTCATCACCACGACCTCCAACTTCTCGCTGCGAGACAGTGATGGAAGGGTTCAAAAGGTCAAAAATCTTTTCGTTGTAAATCTGCAGAAAGGAGAGGCGCACAACACACGACGTGGAACCTCCGGATGAACCTCCAGATGTGCATCCACCGGATGCACCGGCGGATGCTGCCGCTGCCGACGGCATGGCGTCCTTCTCGGCCTTCATGGCTTCCACGCGCTCGAACAAAGCCATCACGGCCCTGGGGACGATGCCCAACTGCTCCGGCGGGGTGGCCTTCGCCTGGTCTTGGTCTGGAACCGGGTTAAAGAAAGAGAAGTAAATCTCAACCATCATAAGAGAAACCCACCAAAAAAAAAAAAGTAGAACTATAGTCATCATTTCATGAACATATTTGGGTTGTTTGAGGTGTATGTGTGCTAGTTCACGGAAAAAAAACTGCGGGGAGTCTACCTAGGGGGCTGCAGGTCTAATCGAAGCAGTCGAAGGAAAAGGGCCCTGGTGAAATGGTGAAACATGGTGAAACGACACCAGCCTTGACACGTGGCCGCGCTGCAGCTACAGTAGGGGCCATGCCACAATGATGCTCATAAGTGTAGCCCTCCATGGTGTGAGTCTTTCCAGTTCCAGTCTGGCCATAAGCAAAAACTGTGGCATGGAAACCCAGTGCCACCTTCTTCACCACAGCATCAATCCGAGACATGTCCCAAACCTCCTGTTGGCTTCGTTCACCACCGATGACAGCATTGAAACGGAAGTGACGGTGGCGACCATCCTCCTTCAGAGCGACCGTACCATCAATGCCTTCCTTCAATTCCATGACGCTGGGATCATATCCCTCCGCCTTCTCCCACTGAAGCATTGGTCTCACTCGCACACAGATCTGCACCGCAGGGACGGGTCGATCTACAACTGTCGGCTCTGCACTTTCCGCGGTTTCCGCAGCTTCGCAGCTTTGCTTTTCATCTTTTTCATCTTTTTCATCTTTTTCATCTTTTTCATCTTTTTCATCCTTCCCCGTCTCTCTGTCCTGATCATCATCACCCAATTCCGCAGGCTGGGGGAGATCATTGCGATCATTGCATTCAGCGCTGGCTTCAACGGTGGATGCGGCTCGATCACTTGGAGATCTCAAATCTGGAAACAACCTTAATGCATCGGTGATATCGATGATATCGATGCTGTGCTTCCCAGAAAATCCCGGAAATAAATCATGTCTGACATATTGACATGTCTTTCGTGTGAAATAAGTCCTTCAAGAATTCCTCAAGCCGCATGGATGCTTAGGGGACCACTTTTGGATGCCAAGAAACCCACCCATTGTCGGCTTCTCAGAAGTGTGCAACCCATCAAATGATTGCAGATCTATAAGTGGAATTATATGGAAAATGTTTGCTTCTATCATGTGGTTCTTCACGGATCTTGAACAATCAGAACTGGCACCTGAAATAGACCTATAGATTCCTGAGTAACATATACTATAGTATTTATAGATTCCTGAGTAACATATATAATCAATTATAATCATATCATAGCACATTGATAATCAATGATATACCGTATGCCATCGGAATACCATCGGACAAATCGCTACCAAAACCAAGGCACGTCTCATCGCCCGGCGAGGCGATCAACTCAGCTGCGGTATTCGCAGCCTCAGACGTCGGCTACACATTTTTCACCTCACCAAGATGAAAACTGGTATATTGGCTGGTATGACTGGTATGTTTATGTCATCAACTAGTTTATAAATGAATATGAATGAATTCAAACATAGACTTATATATAACTTATATGATCTTATATGTTCGCGTTTTGAATTTGATATCTGAATATATCTGAATATTGAATAGGCTATTCTGGCTATTCCATTTTATCCAACCCCTTGGGAAAGCGTGGGCTGTTGAAAGATCTCGCCACCAAGGCACCTGCATGTTGAGCCAGGGCTCGGCTTTTGCCGAGCTGTTTGAGCCAGCCGCGGAAAAAAAATCTGCTGTCATTGGCTGCTGTAGTCACTGTCACTGACTGTCACTGCTGACTAAATCTTGAAACATCGTGTTGGGGAAATGGGGGGAAATGGATGGAAATGGATGGAAATGGATGGAAATGGATGGAAATATGATCTTGTTCTTGTTCAGCTCTCCACTTTGTGGATCCACATAATTTTGCCTCTTCCCCTATCTAGAAACAATGGCATTGGTCGACAGCTGCTGTAGCTCTTGAAATCTTCAAGCCCAAATTTTCCGAGGAATTCTGTCACTTGGATCACTTGGGGTCGCATTAGCGCGATGGCTCACAAAGGAGCTTTGATTTAATTGATATGAAATAATTCATCCCATGACCCCGCTGCTTCGACAGAATGATGCCCCAATGGGCGATATTCATGATATGATGGTAGATGATGGTAGGCACAGCTGGTGATCAGATTCAACATCTTTCAGTCTTTGGGACCGTTCTCGCAGCAGGGGCCGAGAAGTGAGTTTTCCGCAGTGTGCTCGCTAGACATGGCCAGACTCTCACCAATAGATGGGGCATGAAGACCCAATGCATGAGATTCAAACAATTTCAAAATTTCAACCACAACTAAATGTGTAAGTGTAAAATGTTCCTGAATGTTCCTGAGATTTTTTAAACATTCTGACTTGGCTTGCCCAACGATCAGCGGCTAAAAAGACAAATGGGAGGATTGCGGGCTTGTACTCTTGCAATTGGACCTGTCGATCGCCTTGCGTCGAGTGCCTACGGTGCCCTCTCACTCCTCATCCTCGTCATCATCGTCGTCATCGTCGAAGGTCTGCAAAGGGAGCGACGGCAAGACATGAGCAGAGTGACCATCAGCTGAAGAACAATCGATTGCATTTTGTATCATTTGACAGCATTTTGCCATTTTGCCAACTGACCAAGTCACCATCATGTCTGAGATGTGATGCTCAAAATCTTAACCAGTAGCCATGCCAATGCCTTACTACTGCCTTTGAACTCGTTCTTCGATTTGCCCTTGCCTGCAAGGGTCCAGAGCAGGGAAGTGCCCATTGGACTTTGCTCCAAACATTGACGATGCGCATTTGAAGAACTGGCAGCTCTGGCCTTTGTCTTTGCCCTTTCCCTTACCGTCCTTTCCCTTCTTTCCTTTACCGTCCTTTCCTTTGCCATCTTTCCCTGACTTTCTGCGTCAGGATGGTACAAAGGAGTATCAGACAGTGGCATCACATCAAAAGCTCCAAAGAGGGAATCGCGGCAATCATATAATATAATATAATATATATAATATGTATATCATATCCTTTCCATGCCTCCATGTGACAAAGTGCCCCCCCTGGTTATCTGGCAACGTCAATGAGGATTCGAAATGAAGTGCGATGTATCATAATGTATCCGGTTGCCATCCGGGATCCCACCAATCCCACCTTTTTTGCCCTTTCCTTTTCCTTTGTCATCTTTTCCCTTCCCTTTCTTGCCTCCGGGGCTAGGCATGGCTAGGCCATGAAGAGGCCCATGGCGGGAAAAAAGAATACTGACACCATCTGACAGTGCACTATCACCACCTGGCGACCAGAGATGCAGCCATTCTCCGTAACCGTTTAGCGACCACTGCCTCCGTCTTTGCCTTTGCCCTTGCCCTTGCCCTTATCATCACCTTTGGTGTCAAGTTTCACCTGCAAGACGTGCAGGAAAAAAAAATCACTTGAAAATGATCAAAAACAGGCTCTCAAAAATGTCTGTGACCTGTTTTTTGATTGGTCTGTTCGGCATCCCCTGCAACTATGCAGGATATTGCAGGATTATGCAGAAATGAGATGACGGAGATGCATCATACAGTACATACATGTCATAGATGTCATAGACCGCAATGCATCACCATTCTCTTCACCATTCTGAATTGTGGTTATCTTAATCAGATTATCTTTTTATCAGATTTGGCAGATTTTGGCCTGCAGAGTGCCCTTGCCATATTGATCTCCATCATATTCCAGAGCTTTGTCCGCGCCAGCTTTGCTTTTGAAGGTGATGAACACAGCTTTGCTGGGCATGGCCAATTCCTCGATCTCACCGCATTCCCCAAAGTCGTTGCGGATCTGTTTCTCCGTGGCATCCCAGGGAATTCCTGGGGATTGAAGAAAGTGGAAAATCGCGAGGAAAATCAAGACATCTCCAGTTCATAATGTTGATTTATCGTGATTTATCATTGATGTTCATAATCTCTCTCCATCGCCATCTCCAGTTCATAATAGTTCATATGGTTTGTCTAAAAATGAATGGTTCCATGATTCTACCCATTTCATATGGGGGGAAGAAGATGATAAATGATAAACCATTTTCAGAGGTTTGGCGCGCTATATGTTTTCAGACAAGCCCAGATGTCAAAACCCCACGCACTGCAGCCGGATGTAGCCGTATAGGAACCTCAAGCACAAAATGGCTGTGTGAGCCACTGTCCTCGCACCATCACTTTGGTGGCTTGACCTGCCGTCGCGCAACAACTCAATGAAGAAAACGAAAAACCACCAGGAAACATGGCATTCATTCAGTGAAAACAGCGAACCTAAATGATCCAACTGCGTTCAAGTGCCTCCACCCTCTAAATCCACCCTCTTCTTCTTCAGTGGAGCTGCTTCTTCCTCTTCCTCCTCCTCCTCCTCTTCCTCTTCCTCATCATCGTCATCGTCATCTTCTGCTGCTGCCTTAGCTTTTCCTTGGGCTTTGGCCTTAGCCTTGGGCTGCGGCTCTTCTTCTTCTTCCTCTTCTTCCTCGTCGTCATCATCATCGTCGTCAGCCGCTGCCTTGGGTTTGGCAACGGCCTTTGCCTTTGCCTTCGCTTTGGGAGCCGGTTCATCATCGTCATCATCGTCGTCATCGTCATCGTCATCGTCCATGACCTTCTTTTTGGGCAGCATCTTGGCTTTTGCCTTGGCCTTCGGTTTGGGAGCGGGCTCATCATCGTCATCATCGTCATCGTCATCGTCATCGTCGTCCATCGGAGCAGCCTTTGCCGGTTTAGCTTTTGCCTTTGGAATTGGCTCTTCTTCCTCGTCATCGTCGTCGTCATCTTCAACGGGTGGAGGCTTTTTGCCAATGGTCTTGGCTTCTGCCTTGCCCTTCTTACCACTTTTAATCTTCTTCTTCACCATCGCTCCGGCTCTTGCTGTGCCCCGGAAGTATTGGGAGGCTGTTCTCTGACACTCTTCTGAGCCACAGAGAAATAGCAGTCGCACAGGTTGAAACGTTAGACTGCCTGATACAAACGATGCAATCACTTGGTTTCATCATGTCTCGACGGCCAACAGCTACCTTGGTGCCTTGTTTCAGTATGGTTCAGGCGTGCTGATGTGACTCTGATGTGCATCATTTCTTTTGGCGATCTTCGAGTCGCTCAACCTCGCTCAGCGAGGGGCCTACCAGAACTCAAATCCGAAATTGAGAAAACTACGCCACTACGAAATACATCGCTAAAAAGCACCACGGGGCTGCGTCAAAAAGGTATCACGCTCACCTCAGTCTTGAGACTAGATCCATCTTGTAGCATTTGATCTGAGAGTGTCATGTTTCATTAAGTTTCATTCGTTTTTTTGCAGTTTGCACTGAATATCATTGAATCATCTAGTGACTAGTGGGAAGCTAAAAGTCTGGAATATTGTGGAATGCTTCTGAGCCGCTTTGGCGAACATGAACCTCCAGCCTTGGCATCACAGCTTTCAAATCCAACAAACCGAGACATACCGAGACAGACCGAGATTTCAAAAGGTCCCAAGAGCGCTGCTGCAAGTCAGCTGGACCTAGCTCTGTGGTGCTTGTGATCCTCAGAAAAGACTCTGTCGAAAGAATGACAAGTTGTAGTGGCAGATAATTAGTGGCACTTTCTGGTCAATGTTTGGTCAATTTTCAGGTAATCTCACTGATCTGTTTCCAAATTTTCCAATGTTTCCAGCTTTTTGTCGCCTTCTGCCTCTCAGTTCTTGACTCCTCCGCGCCAGTAGCTGTACAAGGTCGGAGAAGGCCTCAGAATCCAAGAAATCACTGGGTTGCCACGGATCAAACTGGAGCATATTGTAATCATGGTACACCTGATGCATTGTCTATCAGCGTTCCTGAGGATTCAGAAATTTGAGCCATATGATGAGACCTCATCCCTCAAATCCGAGGGAGTAATATGAAAAGAATGCTATACGGCTATAGGGCATCATTGTGCAAATATCAATTCATCATCACTCTATAGATCTCAATAGTATGACTCAATAGTACTTTATAGTACTTCATAGATCTCAAATGATCTCAATGAGGCTATGACCGTGCTTCCAACTTCACATTGCTTCATCGTCTCCATCACCTCCAGCAGGAAATCGCCACTCGCATCCTGGGCGATGACGTCGACTCAGAAAATCCGCTTTTAGTGCGTCGATCGTCGAGCTCTGCTCGCTCTGCTCCTGCAGTCTTGAGGTCAAAGAGTGCAGGAGTTCGTCTGCAATCTGCTCCAACTCCTGGCACAAATATGCACAGCAGAAGCTTCAGGACGAGAATGAAGTTCTGAAACAATAATGAAAAATGAAAATGAAGTCAGGTTGAGGAAAGATATGAAAAGTTATGAAAGACTCAGTCAGTTGTACCAGTTTCTGTGAGTTGACATGGTGCGGAGACTTAAGCCATGACTTCAACAAGTCCTTCCGTGAGGCAGCCGTGAAGCCATGTGCCATGGCAAAGGTCTTCACATGACCTGACGAATCTGACGAGTCGCGTCGCAGTCGCCCACATTTTTCCACGACACGACGACACGTCTGACACGTCTGACAGGTCTGGGCCACTGGCGGAGCATTTTTAAAACATCTGGAGGTGTGACATCATAGGCTGCAGCAAGAAAGCGCCAAGCAACAGGCATGCACTGGTCCTTGCGAGACGTTTCTTATGCCGATGCTATGCATGCTAAGGTATGCTAAGTAGATATCGAAATATAAAGACATAACAATCCAGGAGAAATCATATAGAAATCACTTCGCAAATCATATGCTAAGTATAAGTTGTTCCTTTTATCTACAACATTACTTAACCACGGTACATCGGTACATCGTGGCATGGAAAAAGTGAGGTCTCCTCCATGGCTTTCGCCTCAATGAGCTCCTCAGCTCTCAGCAACAGATCCTGAACTCGGCTATGGCTGACTTCGCTTGCTGGGGATATCATGAGGAGATAGCCAAATAACACGGGTATAGAATGTACATAGTGATAGTTATTTTATTGGTATAGTTTCAAAGGAAAAATGATGCGATAAATCCGGGTTCTCTCACAAAATGATGATTTGCGCCAATTTATAGCCTGCAAATGAGGGAAATGATGATGACGTTGTATGTATATATATATATATATAACATTATATAACCATGATAAAGCATGGGATGTTCAGAACTGTTGGGCTGTTAGGGGTTCCTACCTTTAAGACAATCTGACATGGGCATAGTACACAGTACGGAACGCCCCACGTGGCTCCTGGAGGTCGAAACTGCGCGGATCTGCATATTCTTGACGAGGCAGGGGGCCTTCAGGGATGAATGGCATCCACATGGCATACATGGCATGGAAGAAGTGGCACAAATCAGAACCTTCTGGCCGCGGATGAGCCGCCTGCAACCAAGCCACAGGACAAATGATACAAATGTGAGCGTCTCTGCAATTCTCATTTAACATACGGCCATAAACAATCATACCCATGGCCTAGACTGTCAACCATACTTTCAAAAATGCGTCACCATGCGTCACCCCATGAAATGCCAATGTCACAATGCCAAGGCACATCGAAAGATCTGGTGTCCTCGAACGCTTCGAGCACTGCATGTCGAAGGGGCCAGTCTCTGGCCTGGAAAGGCCCATGGGGCCCATGGCTGCGCCGGATGCGTTGCACTGGGGAAAAATTCTGTCCAAAGTGCCTCTTCGTTGGCCGAATGCACGGCCATCAGCCATGGCCTTTCGCATTTTGAAAATTGATTGCAAAAGCGGAAGGATGCTGAGGGAAACCTGGCCTTTACATCTGCAACTTTATTTGCCGAAACATAGGATGATGTCTCCCTTCCTCTCCATCTTTTTCTCGATCTAAAGAATTCTTGGATGATAGACCCTGATTATCCTGATTTTCAATATGAGTCATACATTCAATATGTTATAGGCTATAGGTTATAAGCTATTCGCACTATTCGCAAGTCATGGCCTCCGAAAGCCCTTGCAGATCTTGTTGCCAGCCGCCAGGCGCAAGCGAAGCTCCAGTGGCATCCTGCCACATCCGACGACATCGGACGGCGGGACATCGGACGGGTCCAGGAGTCAACTGACGGCCTCAAAGGATCCACGTCCAAAGGCGGAACCGGAAGCACTGCTTGACCTGCGGCATCGGCATGGCACCCGATACATGCGAAAACGCATCAACATATCTTGCCGATACAGAGAGAGAGGGAGAGAGAGGGAGAGAGAGAGAGAGAGATATGTATATTTATATTTATATACGTATATATAATTTATGTTTAACATATTCAATAAAGTTCAAAGTCTCTCCAAACATTGAGTCTCGAAAAGGATGGCAAAGCATGTTTCTGCATGTTCTGTTTCAAGCACCGTCGGCCCCACCTCTGGCCCCGAGCAAAGGCGAAGTCCCTCGTGCAACCTCTGCCAGCCGTTCCTAGCATCTATGCTGAGCTGAGCATTCGACATGGATCTTATGGGACATGGAAACATCATGAAAAACATCGTGAAACCTCCAATATCCTCCAACATCCAACCCAAAAACATCCAAAAACCATTGAAAAACCATTGGAAAACCATTGGAAAACCCGGAAACCACATGGCCTCATCATGATCAATCATCCCCCTTTGCAGCTCATGCATTCGCGCACGCCGTGCTAAAGATGCATTCTTTTGCTTGATGACCAGGTCAACTGAACCTTGGCACATCTGACATATGACAACTGAACAGATCTTAACAGATCTTAACAGATCTTAACAGATCTTAACAGATCTTAACAGATCTTAACAGATCTTAACAGCCCAAATGACAACTCTGAGTAAAGACGGGTGGGCTGGGCATCCGACTTTGGGATGGCAATCTGTCCGACAGGGGCGACCGGGGCGACCGGGGCGACCGGGGGGACATCGGAGATGATTGATATCTCGAATGCGGGGATTGCGGTCTCGAAGACGTGGCCGTCGCCCGCGTGGATGGCGTTGCAGGTGTCGTGGGTTTGGTCAAGTGACCTATGCATTCCGAGGTATGACATGTCTTGGATGATCTCACCGGTGCAACTTGAAGAAAGCAACACCTGAAAAACAGGTGAGGTAGGAATTAAATTATATTAAATGATATTACAGTATATACATGTACAGTACTGGAGTTGTATGAAAAAATGAGTGGAATTGTTGCCTTTACAGGCGTTGGATTGAGGTGATATTTGTTCACGCGCACCTCCACATGGAACCCACGCTTCAGCTGCAACCTGTCAAGATCTGTCAACAATCAACGGAACATGTCTTTAAAAAGCGCGGAAGATGAAGATGTTTTAATGCGGATATTCCAGGATATTCCAAGATATCCTAATTTTCATCTGAATCATATCCAGAACTATAGAGCAAGAATGACAAGAATGAGCTCCGAAGCGTTTTTTCTCCGAAACCAATGGGCTCCAGCACACACCGTAAGCCGCCTGAGCTGCCTCAGTCCGGTCTCCAAAGAGGTCCGAAAATCTTTCCAGTCGAAGTCACGTGTGAATCGCTCCAACTCGACATGGCAAAGGATAGGCTTGTCTGGGATCATCTGGGATCACATCTTCCATATCTGTGCCACTCTTGTTGGCTTCATTTTTGTATTCAAAAAAGCGGCGTTTGATCTTCCCAACATTTCCAAAGTATCCAAAGTCGATCCCTGTCGCCACACCCGATGAGTGCCTACATTCATCAGGTGTGGCCACAGGGATGGCTCCTCATTATCGTCTAATTCGTCTACATCAGGCTTGTCTGAGACCTTCTGCTCGCATGCACTGCATGCACGTGCTCAGGATTTGTGCTCTTGCTATGGCAGAACAATGCTGCAGCCCTTGCAAGTTGCAATCACTTGTCTGGGCCAAAGATGCTGAACCTTGCTTCTCCTCATCAGCTGTCTTCTGCTAATTCAACCAACGCTTCCGAATCCCTTTCGGCCTGATTCTTTTCCAAAAAGTCTGAGTCAACCAGGTCGCCCTTTTTGAGCTTTTTCTTCAGCTTTTTCAGCTGCCCCTTGAATTTTGAGAGCCCCTTTTGTGTCCAAAGGAGGGCAGGGTCCTGTCCAATGTAGGAACCTCCCACATCTGTGTCCGTTTTGGCCTTGGTGTCAAACTTCGAGAGTGTTTGGACCTGCTCAGGAGTCAGGACTGAATCGCACATCCTTTCGCGGCTGGAGCCGTTCAAAACATTAAATTCTGTGCAGCATTTCTCTAGCCACGAGACCTTCTCATCTTTGGAGAAAAACGGCCATGCCATGCAGCCCACAGGCGCGGCCGCAGCAACAAAGAATTTCCGCTTCGACCTTGCGGACCACACGGTCCTCCATTGTGAACAGTGTCGAGTTTCATCCACGATCTCTTCACACTCATCTGTGCAAACATGCTCCAGCAAGTGGGTCTAGGCGGCCGAAACCTTTCGTTCCCTGATGCATGGAGAGTTGAGCTGCTTCAGCAAATTCCCCTCCACTTTGTTGAAATGCTCCTGCAGAGCAAAGAATTCACCTTCAAGTGATTGATATTGTAGTAGTCTTAGTAGTCTTAGTAGTATTGTCTCTTGTGGCTTGTTGCCATCTTGCCAGCTCGGCACAGAACTTGAGAGCTGAGACCTAGAACATCAACGTTCCTTGGCCGAAGCTTCACAGCATCTGGAGCCGAAGACGTTGGTGACAAATGTGACCAATGCCAGCGCAGTGAGCGCGTCAGTGACGCTCTTGGCTCCGAATTTCTCACACGGGTCCTTCAAGGAAGTTGCTTGATGCTCCCCGGCCGAACTGCATGGACTGAAGCCGCTGAAGCAAAGCCAAATAATATGGAAGTTAAGAGTAATAGTTTATAGATGTTTATAGTAATAGATTTAATAGACGAAAGCACTGCCAAACACACATTGCCCTGCGGTGAGACTCTTCAGACAATCTTGTGCCGAGAGACTTCGGAAAGAAACGAATCAGTGAGGCCCATTGACTACCGCACTACAAACAAGTGATATGGTATAGATTTTAAATATAGATAAATACAGATAAATACAGATATGTATAGATATGTCATGATATTTCTTGAAATTTCTTGAAATTTCTTGAAACTCTACCTCTCTGTTACTTCAGCCGTGCAAGCTGCAAAGCATTGCAAAGCTCTTTGTGCCAAGCGAATGGCCCACCTTGGCAGGCCTCTCCGCGGATTCCCAGCCTCGGAACAGTGGGTTTTTACCAGCAGATCATGTCTCAAACTGAAGGAAGTCATCTCACAGTCTGTTGTCGGTGTTGAAATCATTTGAAATCCATCAAGTCATTTTCCGACACATAAAACATTACAAAATGATACAAAATGACAAAAAATGATAAAACTGCAGAAATTCGGCACTTTGCGCAGATTGAGCCATTAAGATCATTAAGATCACTAAGATCATTAAGCCCCGCTCCTGGATTCTGCAGGCAGAAGTCCAAGAACGTGGCACCGCGATCCTTCAGAAAAAGCTCCACGTTCTCCCTGCTGAAGGGTTGAGCCGGTTGAGCCGGTTGAGCATCTTCCTTCCGGGCGGCGCCGGAAGATCTCGGAGCATCAACCACCTGGGCAGCGGCAGAACGATGTCTCTGGGACTCCTCAAATCTCCTCAACCTCAAAAACAAAACGCTGGGAGATTCGGTGTCGGTTGGGCAAAATATGCGAAAATGATGTTCAAGATTGATCCATGGAGAAATTGGAGAAAATATGAAAAAATACGGCCTTTCAGAATCTTTCAGAATTCAAACCTGCCTCCGGTGCCAGTGGCCTGCTGCGGAAGCCACCTCAGCTGCGGTTTCCATTCGCTTCTCTGATTGCTGTGAATAGATCTGCATGATCTGCATGATCTGCATGATCTGCAACCGTGCGCATGAATGATGATAGATGAAGTATGATGAAGTGATATATGACATCTATTGTACATCTATATAATCTATCATTTGTGTCGAGTTGTTGATCTATGACCATCCCCAGCTAAGTGTTGCACCTCCACGGATCCGTCGTACCTGGCAGCTTCATCATCATCATTCATCAACATCCATCAACCATCAAAAAATCATCAGTAGATCATTAATATACATCATCAATACATCACCCTATATCAACAATCATCAACATCCCACAATGATTTTGCTGTTCTGATGGGTTCCACATGTTCCCCCGGCCGTTGCCTGCGGCATTGCGCCAAAGGCAGCCAGAGAGGCCCATCCTGCCCTGGGAAAGCCTTGAAGATCTTGGGATAAAGCACTGGAAGACACTGGAATTTCGAGGCATGACATGTGGAAGTACAGCAACAGAACGTCAAATGTATGTATATAATCTGTACAAAACATGTTGCGGGACGAAAACGAATCCATCTGAACGCTTGGAATGCAGATTTTGTGCCGTGCAAGGTGTCGAAACAAGGTACTTCAATTTGTCACCTGCTTTTGCCTGATGCACGGGCAACATCTGGCAACAATTGCAGTTGAAAGTCTGTGTTGGTCCTTTAAAGCCAAGAGCCTGCGATGGACACAAAACTGAGGTCTCAAAGCCTATAGTGGTATCATGATCAACATTGCTGTGAAATCACAGTGCTGCTGGGTAACACCTAAGTACTACGAGTACTAATATCCTGAATAGCTGAATACGTGTGCAAAATTGATCAAATTGGTTCAAAATATCTTTAAAAAAAAACAAATCTATGCTCCCTGGTGTCTGATGGCCTCAGCGATGTTTTCTTTCGCTAAGTCGGACATGTGGCAATGCCGCTGCGCCGGCGCATCGCTGTACAGAAAACCTGGGCCACGACTCCTTGGGAGTGGCACACTGGTCATAATGTCCTCGTGATGTCTATGGTCATCTTCGAGGCATCGAATCGCAAGGTCGAAGCAGTCCGTGGCAATGTCGAGCTTGGAGACGTTGTCGATACGTTGTCGATACGTTGTCGATACGTTGTCGATACGTTGTCGATACGTTGATGGGGGCCCACTTTCACACTTTCAAACCTGATCGGCCTGGTCGACCTGATCGGCCTCGGCCTGATCGGCCTGATGGGCCTGATGGGCCTGGTCGTACTGGTTGTCTATGTTGTCTCCATCACAGTCACATAGAGCAGTTCCAGTCTTTACAACCCTCTTTTTCTTCTTCCTCTTTCCTTTCTTCTTTCCGGGCCCCTCAACTGCCTCTACATCCTCTACTTCTTCCATTGCAAGCATTTGTGGTGGAGCTTCAGAAAGGGATGCTGCCTCGCGCAGCATTGCAGAGTCGTTTGCAGAGTTTGCATCACGGTGATGTGGCACCAGCATGGACTTGTGGTTCGAGAAGTCCTTCAAAGTGTCCAAGTACTGCGTGGTGACCATGATCTGCATGGCTTCAGATTCCGACATCCCGGATGCTGTGATGAACTGCATGGAATCGAGAATGCCATGTGCCATTGCGGCACGCATAGCCGCCATCCCGACACCTGCCAGCCGTTTGGCTTCTGCTTCTGCTTCTGCTGCTTTGATTTTCAGAAACTTCTCAGCTTCGCCTTTCTCAATCGCTGCCTCTCTCCGCCGTCTTTGGGCGTTGATGTTGTTCATGGCAGCCATCACTGACTGTTCGGGCTTAATGTCAGTAATCAGCACCTATCCCAGCACAAGACGTCAAAAAACAACGAAAAATGATAGGGGAAGATTCTTCGAACGTGTCTTCCCTTTGACAACAAAAAGAACATCAAGTATACTTGACAACTTGACAACTTGACATGAACTCATAAGAACTTGACTCTTCGTTCACTCATTCTGACTCATTCCGCTATAAGATCTATAAGCTCAGAACATCACCATGACAACTCCCTGGATCTGGAACCTTGATGATGTCGTAGCCGTATCCCTTCATGGCATCCCGAACCGTCGTCAAGATCTCTTCTACCATCGTCTCTTTCGCTTCGTAGCTTTCATCCAAGGTCATGCTAGGTAGAGTTGACCGAAGTACGCTGCCCACTTCTGCTCGGACTTGATCCATTGGCTCCTCAATGTCAAAATATGCCGCCTTCACCGTGTCCTTTTGGATCTGGTATTGCACGGCTGTTCTGACTGTGACTGTGACGCTATCTTTGGTCTTGCAGTCTGTGTCGCACTCATACTGCTGCACGGCCAGGGACACCGCTCGCACGGTGGTGATGGGGAAACAGATGCAGCGGAAGCCGGGCTCCTGTAGCCCTTGGTACTCCCCAAACCTCTGAATCACTCCCAGCGAGCCCGTTGGAACGCACGAACAGCAGGACATTGCCCAGAACCGCTCTTGGACCATGCTCCAAAAGCGACAAGGTTTTTCCCGAGGAAGCTCATCAACACTGAAACCTCATGAAGACCCTAACTGAAAGGGTACTTTTTCCAAAACTAAGGGGTCAATCATAAGGCAAACATTTGGCAGCTGAAGAAGCAGCCTAAGCAGTCCCACATACGCGGTACCAACGTAATGCCAATCAGCTGCAACAAGTATATTAACAATGCAACGCCCTACTAAAACCAAGAGAAGTGCCACACGTTCAAAAAAATCTCCGAATCCGATTGTTTCTGCCACAGACCATCACTTGTCGCAGCTGACAGCACCACAAATGGTGCTGATGGCATCTTATCAGTAAAAACAAGGCTGCATATACATGTAGGGTGTATTATCATCATTATGTGTATGTACACATGTATATGCATCGTATGTTCAAACTATGCCAAATGAATTAATTAGACTACTTAGACCTTGAACTTTGCCCGCATTCGCCCATGCCCAGCCGATTTTTCAGGTGTGAGTGATTGCGCCTGGATTAGGCGTCCGTTGCCTAGGAAACAAGCAGGACATCTTATCCTGCAAACCTTTTCCTGTGGTCTCCCAGCCCTAGATTTCAAATACTGTCGCTGTGATTTCAATTCCATTGGTTCACTCTTCCGGTCTCTTCAAATCCATGACAGGAGATTTCCACAGTCGCTATCTACAGAAATTTCCAGCTTTACACAGTTTTACATCTCTTCCAGCTCCAATTGCTTTGGAGGCTCCATCTGTATCTCCGCTACTTCTGTTTCTTCATGCGGGGGTTTCCACTGATGTGGCACCAGCATGGACTTGTGGTTCGAGAAGTCCTTCAAAGTGTCCAAGTACTGCGTGGTGACCATGATCTGCATGGCTTCAGATTCCGACATCCCGGATGCTGTGATGAACTGCATGGAATCGAGAATGCCATGTGCCATTGCGGCACGCATAGCCGCCATCCCGACACCTGCCAGCCGTTTGGCTTCTGCTTCTGCTTCTGCTGCTTTGATTTTCAGAAACTTCTCAGCTTCGCCTTTCTCAATCGCTGCCTCTCTCCGCCGTCTTTGGGCGTTGATGTTGTTCATGGCAGCCATCACTGACTGTTCGGGCTTAATGTCAGTAATCAGCACCTATCCCAGCACAAGACGTCAAAAAACAACGGAAAAAAAGGGGGGAAGACTCTTCGAACGTGTCTTCCCTTTCCCTTTGACCACAAAAATAACATCAAGTATACTTGACAACTTGACAACTTGACATGAACTCATAAGAACTTGACTCTTCGTTCACTCATTCTGACTCATTCCGCTATAAGATCTATAAGCTCAGAACATCACCATGACAACTCCCTGGATCTGGAACCTTGATGATGTCGTAGCCGTATCCCTTCATGGCATCCCGAACCGTCGTCAAGATCTCTTCTACCATCGTCTCTTTCGCTTCGTAGCTTTCATCCAAGGTCATGCTAGGTAGAGTTGACCGAAGTACGCTGCCCACTTCTGCTCGGACTTGATCCATTGGCTCCTCAATGTCAAAATATGCCGCCTTCACCATGTCCTTTTGGATCTGGTATTGCACGGCTGTTCTGACTGTGACTGTGACGCTATCTTTGGTCTTGCAGTCTGTGTCGCACTCATACTGCTGCACGGCCAGGGACACCGCTCGCACGGTGGTGATGGGGAAACAGATGCAGCGGAAGCCGGGCTCCTGTAGCCCTTGGTACTCCCCAAACCTCTGAATCACTCCCAGCGAGCCCGTCGGAACGCACGAACAGCAGGACATCTCTGTTGCCGGTTGGCTTGACACGTGCAGCTGCAGCACCAAATGCGCACCGTGATGTGTTTTTCACCATGGATGCCTCTGATGCCACAATGTGAAATGTTAAATCAGCACAATAACACAATACGTTTCTTTTTTTGCCGGCGATCTGTCTAAGCATAAGCTGCCTTTGGCGGGGTGCTAAAATATTGCCTGTGGAAAATGACGCTGAAATGGTGAGACGAGATTGTCACTGGGAACTTTAACATCACCGCTGAGCTGTGACAGGTGCCATTTTTTACGGGAAGTCTCATTTAAAAAAACGCGATGCACCATGTCATATCATGTCGTACAATGTCGTACCATGTCGCCGTCATTGTTTCATGTTGTCTCTCCCTTCGCCGGCTCCGAGGAGGTTGAGGCTTTCTGATCTTTCTGCGCCGCGCTGACGGCGCTCCAATCCAAATCCCAAACCTGGCGGAAAAATGGCGATGTGAAAATCGCAAGCCAAGGGCACAGTGAAAAATGGCGGAAAAATTGGAGAATTTGGAGGGAATGAGAGGGACATAGAGGGACTGAATGGCTCTGACCTACAGACTAGAGAGAAGGCGAAGGAAACGCTCACAAGCCTCGTCACCTTCGCTGTCATCAGCGAGGGACACTTTCCCTGACAAGTGTAGCTCCCCATCTCCTTCACCCAATCCACAAGTTCCACAAGTGACAGGACTCACCGGCCTGCACCGGCAGCCTGAAAGGTCTGAAGGCTGTGCCCAAGAATACTTCTACAGATGCAACGGATCATGCTCGAGGCGCACAGGGTCACATTCTCTGAGCTCTATACCTGTCCAGGTCCTTGTTCCCTATGCTCCTGCGCATCTTCATCGTTCAAGGAATGCCTGGGCGGCCGGAAAAAATCGATCAAATCTATCCCGGATGTCTGGCTGATGTCCTCCTGCCCTGGACCCCAAAAAAAGTTGACCGTTCTGAGCTCTCAACTCCATGTAGCCATTCTGGGCAGAAGCTGTGGCACCTTTGAAAAGGGCCTCCAAGTGAAAAAAACTGCTGTGAAAATCTGCTTTCTAATTTTACAGATCTTTCCATCAGCTCCAAAGTGCATACCCACCATGCCTGCTGGAGCATACCCAAGCTACGGCGTTGCATCTCCAATCGGGCCTCTTCCTCCTTCAACCTGCAGCCCATGTGGCCCATGTGGCCCATGTGGTTCGAACGGTTCAATGTCCATGGATCGTTCCAAGGAATGTTCTAAGCATTCTAAGCATTCTAAGCCACCCAACGTGGATGCCATCTGCATCTGCCTCAGGCAGTTGCCACATGTTGCCACATCTCCCAAGATGCGGTCTGGACTCAGCTCACCAGGGCCCCCCACGCGGATTCTTCCTGAACGCCCGCGTACAATCTGTCTAAGAGTCTAAAATCCCAACATCTGGCACTGTCTGCCCCTACCACTTGATATCATCCCGTGGCACTTCATGGCACTTTGTGCACTTGATTTGGCTCATAAATTGATCACTTGATATCACTTGAAGCTTCTTAGCTCAGCTTGATATCACTTGGCTCCTCCAAGAATTGAAGTTCCCGTTCTTCAGCTCGTTGCCTCAGTCACGTTGGATGCCCCGTGTCGGCCGTGGATGGCCGTGGCCCGCTCGAATGATTCGAATGTCTGAGGCCCGACTTGGCGGCCTGCTGTTGGACTTCCATTTCTTTGGCAGCCGCTTCCACCTGGATCTGGGTTTCCATGGTGGATATGCTATAATTGCTATAGGATTTCCCAGGTTTTTCTCCAGATTTCGAGAAAGTGCCACACCCCAAAAAATGACATATCTCAACAACTGTCACGTATCTCCAAGTGCCAAATATCATACGAAACACATCACAAGATATACCAAAAATATATCACAATGCTGGAATCATAAGACAAGATCACTATATGATCTACATGTAACAGTTACCACCTGTTGATATCTGTTGTTTTAACCTCTGATTCATCATGATTCCATGATTTATCAGTTCGTTTTGGGTCCCCATCTCTTGGTGCCTCCTCCCGCAATCGCTGGAGCTCAGCACGCTCCTCCTCCAGCGCCTGCGTGGCAGGAGACATGTCGCTCTCAAGGACCTCGGATGGGTCGAATGTTTCACAGACATGGTCGAACTATGTCGAACTGACCACCCAAAAATGACCGATACCGAATATCTTATCCCACATGTTTTGGCCCATGGATGATGATCATGGACCATGGACTATCTTCTGCGGTAGGGTGGAAGGGTGGACAACGAATTCTCAAATGAAAGCGGGATCCAGTTCTACAATCAAGGCAGCAACGAAGGGAATTCGCACGGGCACGGGCTCCTTTTGCTCCTTGTCACGCCAATTGGTGGTTGAGCAAAACTGACACGCTGTGTGACTGAGCTGGTGGCTTCCCGTGCTGCATCAACCTTCATCGTCCAAGCGTGAGCATTTCGCCCCAAAAGTGCCAAGAGCAGAAAAGTGAAGAGATCTTGAAATATCTTGAAGATCTTGGTTTGGAATGGTTTGGAATGGTTTGGAAATGTTTGGAATGGTCTGGAATGTTGAGGTTCCATCTCCTCTCTCAAGACACCTTGTCCCTTTCAGCATCTTTCAGCTGTCGACCCGCCTCTGCCCGCCGTTTTTCTAAGCGTTCCTCTGCTTCTCTCAAGGCTTCCTGCGCGCATCACAACTTGCATCACAACCTGGGATGGGACTTGTCGCGGAGGCCTCGCGAGCCTCAAGTTCTCTGGCCCGTTGGGATTGTGCCTGCAGTTGTGGTCAAAATCTGGCCAACTTTGGCCGTTTGGAGGAATATTTGGACTATGAATATTTGAGGTATCTCTTAGAATCTAGGTCTGCAATTGCTATGATTGGATATGGTTGGATGTGTGAAGAGAAGCTATATGCCATATGGCCATATGGCTGTACATTATACATCTTCTGTCTTCAGCAGCAAACTGCAAAAGAAAAGAAGGTCAACAATCCCATCAGCGCCTCTGCCAGCGATTGCAAGCGAGCTTCTTCCAGTTCCAGCCTTTCTCGTTCCGACCTAAGGCTCTCAGGCCTTTGGGCAGTTGGAAGGCTCCCCATATCTCGATCAAATCTCATACATCATACAACAACTTATACAACTCGAATTGAATTCGAATCTCCTGAATTTCTCTCTTAAAATCTCCATATTTTATCATATTTTATCATTGGTTTTCCCATTAAATGTTCATTGGTTTTCCGTTTTCCCATGCCGCCAAGGACGCTGAGCTTCCGGCTGGACCTGGCGCCGCGGCTCCGCCGTCTCCGGCGCTTGCGGCGGCCTGGAACTCGTGGAACTCGTGGAACTGGCGCAGGGCACCGGATGATCTGGCCTCGATGGAAGCCACAGGCTGCGTATACACTTATTACAAGCATAAATATATATATAATATTTACACATATAATTCAAATAATATATATATATAGAGAGATAGATAGATAGATAGATAGATAGATAGATATATATTATAATTATACAATTTATATGTTATGATTATAATCAAACACACGCGTTACACCGTTACACGATTACAGTTGCATCACTGACTTCACACGATGCCAACACGATGCCAAGGAACGGGTAGCCAGCTGATGCTGTGACATCCTGGCGCTAGCGGATTCACCATCTGGCGATATCCGGCGATGTCTTAAGAACTTTCCACCAAGCCTCCTCCACAGCCGAACTGTCAATCTGTAAGGTATTGACCTGACATGCCCACTGTGGCCCAAATGCTCGTGCCGTATATTATCTTATATTCCTGCACGGAAAAGTGTATAATTTTCGTCTAGAATCCATATGTGCGGCATATGTGTACACGGTTTTCGGAAGAGACTTCTGACTTCGACTCACGACATCTGGCACACCAGCTCCAGCAAATCCTCAACGTTCAAAGCGTTTAAGACCTGGAGCAGTGGTTCGCAGGCAACCCAGGCAACCAAAGCAACCAAAGCAACAAGGTGGCATCATGTGGCATCAACACAACCAGTATGGATCTGTGGATCCCATGTGGATTCCCGCTCTGCGCCTCATCAGAAGCTTGCTCGCCTGCACTTGCCAGCCTAGATAGAGACCAATCCAAAGCGAGACGGGAAAACAAAGAAAAAACAGAATCTCCAGAATCTCAATTATCTCAATGCAACAACTGGAACTTTGAGCACCATGCATTTCTTGGGCCAATCTCTTCAACTCCTGTCAGCAAAACTCGCAAAGTTTCAAGCTTGAACTGCTTTAAACTATGACAAAATGATACAAAATGTTGACATGTGTTGACCATGTTGACAGGCACCTCGCGATCCAAGCACTCCGCCGTCTCGGGCCTCAGGCGACCGGACTGGCCGGACTGGCCGGACTGGCCAGACTGGCCAAACATCCATCGATCACCAGCAGCTCCTGAGATTCCCAGGAAGCCTCACGCCGCTGGTTGGACCACCGGTTGGACCGGTTCGCTCCTGGCCTCGCCACCGAACCACCGGGAACCGAAACTGGTGACCCGCACCGCGCAAGCTGCGCAAGCTGCGCACCTGGCGATGCCTTGGAGCCGCTTCGAAAGCTGAAGGCCTCAGCTAAAGATTCTTCGGTATTTCTGTTAGGTATTTCATCTTAATTTCATCTTAATTTCATCTTAATTCATTAAACATTGAACAAACATATTTAAACTGCGGTTGACTTATGGTTGATATTAAGCTGATGCCTGGCCTTACTCCAACTCCTGCATAGGTCGGAAATCTTAAAATTCCTTGAGTTGGATTGTGCATTCATTGCATTCTGACCCCTTTGAGTGTTGGGATCACTGAGACTTCGGCATGTCCAATGGATCCAAGTTCTGTGCGCGGATGGATTTCACGGAGCCATCTTGCCTCAATCTCAGGAGAACATCCTGTGAGACCTCCAAAAAAGAGAGAGTTGGCGGGAAAATCAATGCAAATGATATGAACATGATATGAAATGTCTAAGTGAGTGTTGTGCCCCTTTTTTCGACCCAGCAAGTATTCGCTTGACCATTGCAGCTCGCGACATGAGGTCATGGCAAGCTCACAATCCATCTATGCGTCGCTTCATCCTTAGAAAACAGGCGCAAACCCCACCGAGCGTCCCTGTCATCACGGAGCCATGGCTCAAATTCGTGGGGCTCTACAAGAATACAGAAATGATCAAAATGTTGTCAGACATATCAACAGTTATCAACATATCAAATCCATTGCAAGCCGCCCAAGGTTTGCTGAATATGTCATATCCACTCTTAAAATCCAATAAAATCCATGAAAATCCAGTAAACCTCACTATATTCCTATTACTGTTTGACACATACTACACTGTCATATATACAATATTATGACTATATTCATCTATATTCATATTCATATATATTCATATATATATACATATACTATATATTCCTATGTCACTTTTTGGAACTCAATGGGAGGCCCGGCGAACTTCTGCAGCTGCACCACCCGGCCGTTCAGCTCCGCGGCCTCGGGACGCGACCAGCGACGACCTGCGACGACCCGGAGAGACGACGGCGCTGCGGCGCCCCACGGAGCGAAGGCCGCGGATCTCGGGGCGCCACGACATGGAAAAATGGGTTGGAAAATGGGTTTCGACATGATTTGACTAATTTGGTTGAGATATGTGGAAACCATTTACTTCATTTACTTCGCTGATCTTCCAAATCCGATTTGATGGAATCATGTGGAATCATGTTGGTTTCTAGTAGAACTCTTTCTGTCTGTTTTTGTCTCTTTTTGTCTTTTTCTGTCTTTTTCTGTCTCTTTCTGGCTCTTTCTGTCTTTTTCTGTCTTTTCCTGTCTTTTTCTGCAGTTTTGTAAAAGCAAACCATATTGGGCCATACCCCATTGACTCAAACCCTGTTTTATGGGTCCTGATCTACAGTGTAGTAACTGTTGAAGTTTTGTTTCAACCCACTGGCACACCAAGGCACTCGAGCAGAGCTGCCGGCAACCAAATCCCGATTCACCTCTGCAGCAGCCACCTGCAAACTTGGCATCTGAGGTCTCTACCAGCATGATACCAACGTGTTTCGATGATCATCAATGTGCAACAAAACCTGGTAACATCGTAAGACCCTTGTAAGACCCTTGTAACTAGTGCTCTTTGTTTGTGGTTCTGCCTATTTTTGTTATGGAAAATGGTAATGTATGGTAATGTGCAGTAATATACCATATCCAGGGCTGCTGTTCCAAAGGACCTTGCCATGAAAAGTGGCAAGCGACTCGACATTCTCGACTAGCTGAACGGACCGCCCAATGCATGCGGCACTTTTTCCGCTGGAGCAGGCGATGAACTCGCCGCCTCAGGAGGCACAGTACGAGGAGCCTTTCGACCTAACGAGCTAAGCCTTATAAGCTCCATGCTCATTGATGTAACATGATGTAAACCAACATGATAACATGTAAATCTTCAACATTTCGGAATATTTCGGAGCAGCAAAATCACAGGTGGACCATTCCTGGCCTCTTCTCTTCCTCGCCCATTTCCTGCCAATGCAGTTGCTTCATATGACCCCCCACTGGACTGTTTGCACATGTCAAACCCCCTAAGGAGGCTGCTTCGACGCGAAGTATCTGGCATAAGCCTTGCACACGTGTAACTTTAATCCCGGCTCTCAAATGCCAAGGGAAACAAAGAAGTGAAACATGGCGATATATGGCGAAACTCTATCACCATTATCACCCAAACTGAAGACAGAACCGAGGCCTCCAAGAGAACATCTCTAGGATCGTTGGCGCCTGGTGGCAAGCGCTGCAGGGGGGTCTCCCACAGCTTGGAGCGTGGCTCTGGCGGCTCCGTGCCTCCAGCTTCAAAATGTTCGGCACAACTCTGTGGACCTCGGCTGCGATAACCCACAGACCCACAAGAATGACCCTTTTCCCCAAAGAACTGAGAAGTCTTTGAGAAGTTAGTTCTTCATTTGAAAAAACCAAACAATTTCTCACAGATCGCAGTGTCTTTGCGAAAGATGGAGGCAAGTTGCTTTGACAGAGTTCTTCGGCCCAAATCGCCAGGGGAGACTCAGCACCAAAGAGGCTGACGCAGGATTCCCAGTGCCGCCGGCAAGCATCCTGCAGAAGCGAGCAGAACCCACGCCACTGTTGTTGACATCGGTCGACATCGGTTCCACCCAAGGTGTCGACAGTTTCAACCATAAAGTCTTAACAGGTCACAAGCACCCAGAGAGAGGAGGATGAGGGAGAGAGTGAAACATGAGTGAAACCAGAATGTCACCAGGCCTTCAATATGTTAAGACTCTGTCAAGATGTTTCAATCCAAAAAAACTCAAAAAAAAAACATCAAACTGGGCCAACCAGTGGATCTCCATGGATCTCCTCATGCCCCACTTTTGGCGCAAAAATGCTTTGCATCAACAGCAACGCTTGTTCAGCTGGAGAGTGGACACTTGGGCCGTGCAGTTTCTTCACCTCTGCCATTTGTCATGTGACTTTTGAAGTGCGGCAGCACAACAGATGTTTTTTACATGTTTTTTTAACCAATATGATGTCAACTGATCCAACTTTGAAGTCGAGATGTTTCATGATGTTTCATGATGTTTCATGATGTTTCATGATGTTTCATGATGTTTCATGATGCTTCATGATGTTTCATGATGTTTCATGATGTTTCATGATGTTTCATAATGTTTCCATATTTTATCATATGTTGTTCACTCGCCTGCTCCAGCAATTTTTGCACATCGTCAGAGTAGTCTTGTCGCTCACCCTCCGACGCCTGAAAGCGGCTTACAGCTGAGATGTTCAGGACAGAGACCAGATCAAAAGATATAAAGATGCATGAAAACTGTGGTTTCAGCACCCGCTGCAAGATGGAATGGCAAACAGCGAGCGCCAACTTTTTTACACACAGGGCACTTGAGCCAAAAGTCCGGATCATGGAAAGGTGATCCCCTGACCCACTGGACGGCTCAGCGACATGTCTTTATGCCTCAGTGCATGTACAAACTGTAGATTCCTTGAGTTACATCTTTGATGTAAAACTGCACCAGTATTTCATTGCATGCAACACACTTACGAGGAAGGAGCCCAAAGGCTTCACGACCAAGGCATTGGTGGTGTTTCTACATGATTGAAGTTGTGACACATACCCTTCCTCTGGTGATACATCTACTTGGTACAAGTGGTATATGTGCTTGAATTTATTCTTCTGATACCGATTTTATAAATGGATGCTTTCCAAAGCAATCAGAAAAATGTCAGGTCACATCAGATACATTCAGATCCATTCAGATATCCAACTGCATCCCACTAATCCGTACTAATCCAACACGAGACGAATTCCACGACTTGACAACCCACCGCTCATTTCGCCTCTGGAAGATCTGGCGGTCGTAGGCTGCAACCTGAGTTGATCTCACCATTGTCCAAATGACCATTGGACCAATCCTTGACCTCTTGGGTCCTTTCAATTAGTATGTGATAATAAAAAACACTTACATATGCATATATAAATCCGCCCGCACCGAAGGTGCTGGGGCGTGATCTTCCGGATGGCACTTGTAAAAGGGTACAGGTTTACCTGGGGGGGGGGGCATTTTTCGGCCAAAACCTCCTGTTTTTGATAGGTCGTGACGCTCGCCTTCAAAAAACACTGTAAAAAACAGTACGGAAGACACCTGTTCGTGAACGCGCCCGTCCAAAATCGGCAAGCGAAAAGTGAAAAAAACCCGTGTTTTTCAACTTTTTGACTTCAATTTTTTGGTTTGCAACATCTTTTTTTGCGGTTCCGCAGGTGGCCTGGCCCGGAGGCGGATTTTTGAGTTTTTGGACCCGTTTTCGGACTGATTTTCGTCGTTTTGTGATAGCAGAAACACTGGTTTTTACAGTGTTTTTCTGTTTTCTGCATGCTTGACGGCTAGCTTCAAAACTTCCAAAAACCTCGTAAATTACGCTGTTTTATGTTACGGTGTGAATGAAAACATCGTAAATACCAGTGTTTTTTGACGTTGGTTAAAAAAACACTGTAAATTACAGTGTTTTTGGCCACCTGACCCTCAAAAACCATGGTATTTGCAGTGGTTTCTGCTTCTCACCGCGCAAAAACACTGTAAATAACAGCAATTTCGCCGTTTTTTCATGTTTTTAGTTATTTTTTGAACTGCGTTGGTCCGCTATACATGGCCATCAAATTCTTCGCCTTTTTTTTTCCGACAATCAGTACTTTCGGATGTTTTTGGTCTCAATGCCCCTGCTGTGTGAGCCCAACGATGCGGTGCGGGCGGTTGCCGTCGCGAAGCGACGTGAATATATACGATGTATGTATGTATGTATGGATGGATGGATGGATGGATGGATGCATGAATGAATGAATGAACGAACGAACGAACGAACGAACGAATGAATGAATGAATGAATGTGTGTGTATATGCATGTATCTATCTATGTATGTATGTATGCATGTAGGTAGGTAGGTAGGTATGTAGGTAGGTATGTATGTATGTATGTGCGTGTGCGTGTGCGTGTGCATGTGCATGTGTGGGATCTAGTAGCGTTGGTTGAACAATCAATTTCATGACCAGCTCCAATTTCAAGTCAGCACCC